GGAGAAGGGAGTGGGCACCAGGCCGCTGTTGCTCGTTACTCTTTAGCGTAGTTTTGGCCCACTCGCATCAGGCAACGCACCGGGACGGTCACAACGCGGGGGAGGGGGTAGGTGTGGGGGAGAGCATGTACATGGAAACATCACAGCAGTCTAGTCTGGGTCTCCTTCCAAATGACACTCAATACGTACATACATACATACATACATACATACATACATACATACATACATACATCACATGCATGCAGCCCCCGTTCTTCTCGCCTCCGGAAACAAATCGGAGTCCACCAGCTGGCACAGATCCGGGGCGACGAGGAAGAAAAAGTACCAAGCACAGAGTCAGAAACAACCACCTCCCGCCTCACGATGGACCGGAGGCCTGGGGTAACCCAGAGCGGAGGTCTCCTTGTTCCGCTGTGCCCCACCTGTGTGGTGTGCTCATTGCGTCGAGGTGCCTCGCTGCTTTTGTGCGTCTTCCTTGCACTGGTATACACCAGAGCACAGTGCACAAGACGAACGTTAGCACATGCATCTGTCTCCTTTATCATGTTTTCCTCTCCTCTGGTCCCCCCGAGCTTCGCAGTCTCATCAGATGTAACAGGCAATATGCATACCTCTTTGTTCCTTCTATATCCTGCCCCATACGCAGCCCATTGCTATGTGCCTAAATGAGCGACTCGGCCCTCTGCCACCGCGTCGTCTGGTCCGGTCGCAAATGCTCGTCTCCCCAGGCCCCAACCCAGTGCAGAGCTGCGTGCGCCCTGCACTGTGCGGATTAGAGTCAGCAGCGTAGAGCGTGGACGAACCGACACACCCGGTGGTATCCGTGTCGTCCTAGTCCCCTCTTGTCTTCCTACCCACTCGCTCTTGCTCGCTTGCTCGTACAGCATTCGTCGTGTATGTAAAACGGAGGCGAGCTGTAGCAAAAGCATATTCGATCCCACGTCGGACCGGCTGGCCCGGCCGAAAACAAACATAGGATGGAGACGACCTTCCACATGCGCGACGGCGTCCAGCTGCGAGGACAGATCCACGACCCTCCCTCTTGCACCACCCCAAAGGCACTCTGCATCATCGCGCATGTGAGTCAGCCAGCAGCAGCAAGTGAGCCTGCGTGATCTTGCCTCGTGGCGAAATGTGGAGAAGAGCCCTCCTTCGGGTTCCCCCACGGCGAGCGTGCCGGGCCACCGGCACTCGGGTGCACATGGGGCTCCCCCCTTTCCGGCCTTGACGTTGGCTTGCCGGGAACGCCTGCTCTCGTATCTTGCACAATATGCGCTCGCGCCTTTGCAGGTTGGAATATGGACGACTCTCGAGCTCCAAAGGCCGAGGAAGGTCTGAGCAGGCAAGCTCCATCTGCCTTGGAGAGCGCATACAACCTTGTTCCATCCGCCTATACATGTGTGCCCTTACCCATTCCGCACGTCCACACCTTCATACGGGATGCTGCTGGGTAGCATGATACTCTCGCAGACGCACACCGTCACCGGGAGTGCCGCCGCATTGCGCAAGTCGGCTGCCCGTCTCGCGCGCCCTTGGAGCAGGCAGTAGGTACTGACCAGCTCCTTGCTCTTCCTCCATTCGCTCCCTCTTCCACCGCGGCAAACGATTCATACTGGCCCCCAGCCGTATGCACGCCTCGGCGGCTCCCTGGACGACCATGTCGTCCAGTCGCTCGCGTATGCGCTCTCTTCGGCCTCCTCCCCGCAGCCTCACGCTGCAGCCACCGCCACCGCCACCGCGCCGCGCACATGCGTGCCAGCACGTGTCGTCCTCGTCAACGCTCGTGGCGCGAGCAGCGGCAGCTACTTGGCAGGAGCTGCTGACGCTGCCGACTCGGCCGGTTCGGCCAGCTGGACCGGCAGCACCGAGGCCGCAGACTTTCAGGCGGTGCTGGACATTTCGATCGAGCAGTTCGCAGCCGCATGGCCACATGCAGCAGGGGTCCCATTGGTGCTATGCGTACGTCCTACTGCTAAACTGCCGCAAGTGCGGACAAGTTCCGACAGCGATGCCTGAACTATGACATGAAACCCCTTCTTCTGCTTTTATCCCCCCCCCACGCACACAGGGCTACTCAGCCGGGGCATTGTAGTGAGCGGCAAGCTGCGCCTACCTATCTGGCGGCACGCACATGTGTGCGTATCCGATATTGCCCTTGCTAACACACCTCCCCTCCCCCTTTTCCCGCACCAGTGCATCCTCTGCGCGGCGACCAGCCGAGCGGCGCATCCAACTGCAGCCCGATGTGACACCGAGCGCTGCGGCGTTGCGCACAAAGTACGTCCTGCTCTCCTACCCGCTCGACGTGCTCTGGGCCCTCTCGCTCTTTCGCAGCGGTACGTATACCAAGCGCCTCGAAGCGCTCTTGCAGCCTCCGCAAGCGCCACGCGATGCAGATCAGGCGATACCTATTGACGTGTTGATGGTGCATGGTAATGAGGATCAGTTCACCAAAAAGACGGTACGTTGTGCACTCCTCATCCAAAGCTGACAGTGACGCTGCTGCATCTCTTCATGCGCACGGGGCTCTCTCTGAACTTGCCTTTCCCATTCGGCAGAGCTACGACAATCTGTGCCTGCGTTTGGCCAGCATTGCAGCAGACTCAGCTGTCGCGATGAGCAATAAAGCGGCCGATGCTGGCGCTGCTGCTGCCGTATCTCCCCCCGCTACTTTCCGACACCACTGCATCGAAGGCGCGGACCACTTCTGGCGATCAAAGCGTCAGCGCCAACAAATGATCGAGGTGATCATGCGGTTCCTTGGGCCTGAGGAAATTTAACCAAGCTTCATTGACCATCGTATGCACATACATTCGGCCTCCGGCGGCGACCCAGCTTCTCTTCGTGCAGCTCTCATCCAACGCTCGAGAACCCCTCCCCCCTTCTTTCTCACTGCCATACAAAGTGACCGCGGGTCAGCGAAGATCTCCCACCTGACGATATGAAGATCAGGAGGGCCAGGTGCGCGTCGGCGGTCGCCGCTGCCGGATGCTCTAACTCGCGTCACCCGAGGAACATGAGCATTCGTCGATATACCAGCACCCAGTGCTTGCGCCACCAAGCGTTGCTCGGCATCGACGCGGATCGTCGACGAGTGCCGGCCACCTCGCTCTGGCGCGAGGGCTGGACCCAGCGCGTCAAAGTCCTACAACGCGCTGTGGTTGCCAGTGGGCCCCTGCCAGGCGCTTAGACAAGGCAGGAGAACGCACCGTCCTTATTCAACGGGGACACGGCGGCCCGCTGGCAAGACCCTCGTGCGTTGCTCATGCTGGACCGTGCTCTTCGATCGTGGTCTCCTCCGAGCCCGAGGAGAAGCGATCGATGATTTTGGAAAGCGGAAGCGTCTGCGTGAACGCTAGTGTTGAGGCGTGTAGGTCTGTGTAGCGCGCCAGACGGCAAAGGAGCGGGGGCAAGCGACTCGGGTTCAATGCTAAGCGGGTAGCAGCGTTGCACCTTGGCGGATGGAGCGGTAGCAGAAAGCCTATGATGACGCTCAACAGGACGGGCCGAATCAGACCAGTTCCATTTGACCGGGGACGAACAGGTAGCGCACCTGCGCAACCGATGGCCATGACTATGACCTGCGGATGTGGTTGTGGCGTAGAAGTCTAGTCGTAGACACAGCACGCTGTCTAGTGGTGCCTGCACCGCGGCTCCAGCCCACGCGTTCTGGTGTGGTGACAGCTTCTTCCGGATCCCGACGCTCGAAAGGCACGTCGAGGGAATGAGCTTCTCTGGTCAGCTTCAACCCAGCAACACCGATGGATAGGTGGTACCCAAGTGTAAAGCGAGGATAGAACAGCCGGCTGTGGAGGCATGTATGGCCGCAAGAGAAAGTCGCAGAAACTCGAGAGTTGGAATGTATAAACAGGTGATATATCCCTGCGCATGAAGAGGTATAGACGCCGAGTATAGTACAGATGCAAATGAAAAAGAACAGCGTCACCCCATCATCATCTCGCAGCCTCCAGGGTACGCAGAGACGACGCAAGGACGCAGGCTGAGCCTGCCGCCAGCCGCCAGCCGCCAGCCGTAGCGCTAGCCGCGGGTACATCACCACTTCTTGACATCACCCAAGTACGTGTCCTCGTGCGGCGTGAAGCTCTTAGAGGGGAAGAACAAGGGGAGGCAGAAGAAGGTAAAGAGGCAGAGAACAACGCTGCCCCAGAGCAGCGACGTGGCCATGATGACGTGCGGCGGCGTGGCGAACGCGTGCGCCTCAGGCTGCTTGGTGGCCGGCTTGTCCCCTGGGTTGGTCGTGTTCGCCACGTCGGGGAACTTAGGGATCCCCCAGTCGTCAAGGAAGATGCGCTTCAATGAGACGTCCGTGCTGATCACTGCAGCGTACGTGGCAAACGTAGAGAGAAAGACCAAGAAGAAATAGATGTCAGCTGCGCCATCACGCGCCTGGAGGTGGCCCCCTCCGCCCGGAACTACTGGGACGGCAGAGCAGTACTCACTCGGGTAGTCCTGATGCGAGGTACTCGCGACAAAGTCGACCGTGTGCGACTGGGGAAAGCCGCCGGGCATGTTGCTGAGACTTATCACGAACTCCGCGCCGCGCTGGAGATGTGAGTTGCCCTGCAGGCTGGCCTGGCAGTGCGTGTCGCCGGGGCCGTTGTCAAGGAGGGCAAAGGCGTAATGCACCTTGCGGCTGCGGTAACGCTCGACAACATACGACGTGTTGGCAATGACGTCGTTGCGTGCGTACTTGCTGATGGTGTTCTGGTTGCCGTTGAGGCCGTAGTGCCACTGGTCACCGGTCGTACCCGTGCAAGTCGCGTTCGTGAACGGCCGGCTCGAGGAGATCCAGGCATACGAACCAGGGTTGCCGATCCAGAATTTGACATTGTTGTCGTACACCTTGGTCTTCTTGAGCAGTGCGTAGCGCTGCGTTGCCTGCCCACCCATCGAGTGCCCAAGGACGACGGCGCCCTTCATGTTGGGGAACTTCGCGGTGTCAAACACCATGTCGAGAAACTTGTCCACGACCTCGTACGACGTGATGCTGTGCGCCAGATTCGGCGAGCGCGAATTCCCGCCGTGGTTCCACTGCGAGCCGTGGAACACGAGCTCGTTCGCTTGCGATGCACCCGCTTTTTGGTCGACCTCGTTCATCCACGCCGGGCCGATGATCAGCACCGACTTCAAATTGATGTCCGGATTGGTCCCACGTTTTACGATAATGTTGAGTGCGTTTTGAACATAGTTGGTGCTGCAGGTTGGTCCGGTCAGCTCAGCTCAGCTTCGCCTGCCTCTATCTCTCTCCCTTTTAGGCACTTGCTCTGCGAATGTGCAACTCACTAGGCCCATGAATCGCGCGGCTTGCCTGGCCAGACGATGATCGTCTTCTGAATGTTTGCCGGATCGTAGTCGGAGTTGACATAGAACGGCATGATCGCGTTCTCCTTAATGACCATAGTCCTGTTCAGCGTGAAATTGGGAAGATTGGTCGGCAGGGCCGTCCAACCACCAGCATCATCATGGGTTGCATTCGCATTGGGGATGTACGGAGTGGGAAGGTTGATCGGCAGTTGTTGTCCTCCTTCCACGTCGGTCGGAATGAGTGTGCCCTGCTTGTAGAAGTTGTTGTCGGTCTGATTCAGACCGGGCAGATTCAGTGCCATGTAAGCGGCCCCCAAGGGATCCGTCGCGGACTTGTTCACTATCGCCTGCTGCTGGTCTGCTGTCGGGGCTTGCATAACAGCGGCATTTGTCTGTTGCCGCGGTTGCAGCCGCTGCTGCTCGTGTATACCGTCCCCGGCGGGAGGAGCGAGCGTCTCGGCCCTCCCCAGCCCCGCGAGCTTGGCGTGTCGGCTGCGCAGGGAAGATGCACCTGCATCGGTTCTGAGGGCGCTATGCACAGAGGAGGCGGGGAAGGTGCCGCTGTTGCCGAGGTTCAACACGTCGAGTTCATCTGCCAGCACGCTGCTGCTACAGCTGCTGCTGGCGAGCAGGGCGAGCGAGAGCGCGAGGGCACGGACCGGACGCATGGCTCGCTGCTCTGTTGTCCACAAGTGTTGATTAGCGGCTCGCCTTGGAGGGGGCGAGGGAGTGGGTCTGACGAGGGGCGCGGATAGGAGTCAAAGAGAGGCAGCGCTGACGGTACATGCAATAACAATTCATCGTTTCCAAGTAAGCAGCGTCCAGGTCGTGGTGGTGGAACCTGGAGTGCCAAATGATTCGTGGGAGAGCGAGAGAGCGAGGTGGGGCTCTCAAACTTTGTCATGACTGTCTCATCTCGCATCCGCACCTTTTGAGCCTCGTGACACGCGGCGACGGGGAAGGGAGGCGAGCCAGTCCGCCAGCCTCGAAGCGAGAAAACAAAACCTGCCAAGGGATGACTGGCATGCTCGCCAAGCCATTCCTTACGTAAGCACACTGGCTCGTTCGCTCCCTATCTCCCCCCTTTTGTTTTGGCAAGGGACTCCTCCTCGCTCATTTACATGGACACATGCACCACATGGGAGTCTCAGCTCATCTCGTGTCGCCGGGCGCCGTCGCGGAGATGACCATCACGGATGGCACCACCAGCTGCATGTAGACCTCGAAGCAACAACACCACGCGAATACATCTGCAGTCATGCATTTATATATACATATACACTCGCATACATCCACGTCTCACACCAGGACCCATCCGATCTGCATGTACACGTACTCGGTCCGCGTGCCCGCCCGGCCCTCGCCCCCCTCTTCCTCCGCAGGGCGTCGCGGCGCGAACCTCGACGAGCGCCACCGGACACCGGCAAAGTCGTCGTAGCCGACCATGACACACTGCGAGAGCGTTCGCAGCTGCCAGTCCTTCTCTTTGCCGCCGCTGCTGCTGTGCACACCAGCCGGAGGAAAGACCTCATGCAGCTTGTCGATCTCCCCTGCATGCGTTTGTCGAAGCGGGGACAATACGTGCATCAGCGGCAGCGTGCTAGCTACCCCTGGCCCTGCACCCGCACTTGTACGTTCATCTCCACCATGCTGCTCGCCGTGCGCGGACGCCAGCTTCGGCTTGGCCAAGTGCCTGGCCGCGACAGCGCGGATCCACACCGGATGGGCCGTGTCGTAAATGCAATCTGCCACGATTAGCGTGTCGAACGTTCCCGTCAGCGTCGGCGCTGCGCCATGCTCGCCTTCTCCTTCTGCTTCCTCCTCCTCATGAGCGTGTGCCCGATCGGTAGCGAGGACCGCTGCCGCCGGCAGCGTCTGCGCGGTCGAATCCCGGCTCGTGTACGCTGCGCCATGTGCATCGGTCCCCGGCGCGCCTTCGGTGGGTAGCGATGCGCGATATACCTCGTACCAGTCCAGCTCGCAGCAGTCGATCCTACCCGCCACGCGGCTCCGACTGGGCTGCTGCTGCTGTTGTTGTTGTTCTTTCATCCATAACTCGACGTTCTGGCGCAAGTTCGCCAGCACGTTCGGATGGTGATCGGTGAGCACCAGCTCGTACGGAGGAGGCATCACTTGCTCGTTTGCCGCATCCTCTTTCGCGACCCTCGCGCTGTGCTGCTGCTCCAGGAAGGAAGCCAGTGCGAGCCCAGCAAGGCCTGTCCCGGCTCCCAGCTCGAGAATTCTTCGCGGTGCGGCAGTCGGCTGCGGCGCTAGCGGACTCTGACCAGCTTTTTCCCCGCCCGGCGCTCTACGCGTCGTAGCCGCCAGCAGCTCCCACGCGAGCAGCGGCGCAGCGCCCCATGTTCGCCCTCCCAGTGCGTCTGCGACGAGCGTCTGGTCGCGCAGCGTGACCTTGACTTCCGCTTCTGGTGGAGGGGCTGCGCCGGCAGGTCTGGTTGATAGGCTCTTGTGGAATGAGTGGAAACGGTACGTAAGGGTCGAGGGGCCGGAAGCTGCGAGCAAACAGAAAAAGGGAGGGATGAGAATACTGTAGCTCGAACGATGAAATGCACACATCGAGGCATGCTACACACCAGATTTCCCGGCAGTCATGGAGAGCAGTACAGCAGCATCATCCAATGCGAGATCTGTGTCCATCATTTCGTCCTTTAGCGTCCCCCCTTGACCGGATTCCATGCCGTGTTTCCCATCGTTCCGTTGACCAACATCGTTGACAAGCGTGACCTTCCCCGAGATCAATCGCTGCAGCCACGCGCGAGCCGTACGTTCCTCAAACTCATCACCGACGGCATCTCCGCCTGCGAGTGTAGGCACATCATGCACCCCCTCACCCTCTTCGCTTTCGCGCTGGTGCTCTTCATCACCACCCTCGACGTAGACTGGCGGCCCGACATGATGTGTCGTGCCACTTTCCCTGCCGCGGTCTGCGGGGGAGCTCCGTGCGGGGAGACCGTAGCCTCTCCTCAGGGCGTTGAGAGCTCGAAGAGCATCACCAGTGGACAGAAGAGGTGTGCGCAAGGAGGGCAGGTCGCGTGAAGGAATGAACGCGCCTTCATCGTCGTGTGGCTGCCTCGACACCATCCCCGCTCGCTTCTGTACTAAACTTGTGCCCTCTCTTTCCGCCAGGGCCTTTCCCCTCGCAGCATTGCTCGTCGTCTGTAAAATGTGAAGGCTCGACCCATCATCCGGCCGGTGTATGAGACTTCCTGCGTTTCCGGGTTTCAGAGCTTCAACGAACACGCGTTGGTCTCGCCACGTGGCGTGCGTGGCGCACAGACCGCTCGACGAAACGCGTCTGCACTTCAATACCTACTCCATCATCTGCTCACTTTCCTCCTCGTCTCACATCGCCAAGTGCATTCCACATGAGCCATTGCCAACTGCTGCAGTTGCGCTTTGTCATCACTGATCGTGAAACGTAGGATACATTGTATGCGACTACATCGCTCATTCGCAGATGATCAGATGGGCACTGAAGACCGAAATCGAAGCTGCAATTGCTGAGCCTCACATCCGAGGATGGGAGCAGGAATGTACGTTTCACGTTGGAAAGATGGCCTGCAACGATCAGCGCTCTACCAAGGAGCAATTGCTTTCAGCAGCTTCTCTCTCCCGCATCGCAGTGGGTATCATGTTACCTTGACCACGGTACCATGCTCTACGATACCGCATGGGGTACCCTGTCGTCGTCCCCTTCCCACACGTTCTTAGCGGTTTCAGACCGGAGAGCGAGGTGCAGATTGGCGCTACCTCAGATCCTCTACAATTCATTCCATCCCAAAGCGCACAGGACAGAATTGGCCGCATGATCAGCGGAAGACAGGATGGCGGATGCGTCAGGTGCTGGGAGCTACCTCGTATCCATCGCCTGACGGCTTGACTCGCGATTGCGTTCAGAACGCTCTGTCATGTTCTCCGCCTATCGCGACGGGCCGAGGCGTTGATCTGGCGAACATCCGTTAGATGGACCGAGCGACAAGGCGATCATGGTAGAATCACGCTGTCGTATCACGGCCGCACTGCGCCGGTGACGCGATGCGCCTTTTGCCCAGGTTGCAAGCGACGATTGCATGTTATCTTAAGGACACTTCGCCAGCATTCACTCAATGTCCTCCAACGGCAATGGTACGCTTGCTGCTTTCTGGCGTCCGCGCGGCTTGGCATCTTGCGCCTGATCAGTGGGAAAGAATGACTTCGTCATACATTGCACTTTGGATGGAAGATCCCCAATTCTTTTATAAGGCGAGCTCCTTACTCACAAGCCGATATTTACTGAGCCACACTTTGCACACCATCTCGTAATTGTCGAATCCGAGGATCCGCATTGCGCAGAGTATATGCTCGCCAGTGATCGTTTTTCGTTTCTCGGCCATGCACCGGTCATTTGCCTCCGAGGTGATGAAGCAAATGAATTCCGACAGACACTCTGATACTGCTTCTTTCGCCTCTCTCGAGATCTTCGACGTGGCGGGGAGCGTCGCTTTCATCAGTCGGGAGATATTGGCGCTCGGTAGCAACTCCGGCTGAAACAGGGTGGCAGGAGGATGGGGGGGCGACGGCACGGCCGCATTGCTTTGCTCGCCGTCGTCTCGCATTGCTCGCAATTGCAGCTCGATATCCGTCTGCGACACCCCGCTTGCAAGCGCCTCTGCATTTGCGGATGCGTGCTGATCATCAATCTGATCTCGATCGGGGTCCATGATCTCGAAGCCGCTTGTTTGCGCGCTCTCTGTTTGTGACCGCGGGGTGCCTGGCACTTGCAAAATGAGAAAACACAGCAAGAATATGCTGCTGCCGTTGTGCTGAGCTCACATGCGTATAGAAGCTAGGAGCACCGTGCTCAGCTTCACCTTTATGGAATGGACAGGCCAATAGCCAACTGCAAAGACAGAAACCATCATCGCGCGTAGGTCGATCAAGGTTGAATCATCCATCATCCTTCCTATAATCTCGGCAGTCGCGTCGTGCTCGCGCTTTGGGGCCGGTTCCGCACTCCACAACAGCTCCTAAGAGTGCAGAGCTCCTTAAGAAACAGACCTTGTCAGACACCAAGCCTGACAGCTCCCATTTCATTGACGGGCAGCCATCCTGTTGAGGATTATGCAATGCGACCTGGCAGATGCTCCCGTGCAAGAGGTCGTCCACTATTGCTATCTCGCCACTCAGTGGCGGGCTCATCGACCATCGCAGCGTCCTGCGCCGAATCATCTCGACCACTTTCGACTAGGACGCCACCGTGCGGCTGCTGACGAGGACCGAGGTGCACAACGCCTTTAAGCGGTCCCGAGGCCTCCGATCCTTCTGATCTGGTCGTCAAATGCTCAACTAGCATACAAAAAAAATTGATCACACGATTAGAACAGTTCAGCACACGTCTATACGGTCACAATTTGCGTGCTTCGGCGCTGTCAACGATCACAAGATGGATATCCTCAGTGGCACGAGCTCCTACGTGGGAATGGCTGCCAGCCCAAGTATCAACACGCTTCAGGAAGCGGCTACGCTCCCAAGTCCTACAGGAAATACCGGTGCTCCAGAAGTGGACAGAAATTGCCGACTACTAGGGCCTTGTGAGATTACACCAGCACCTTTGATTGTTGAGGCTCCGGAGCTTACTGTCCTGACGGCGGCAATCAGTCGCCTTGGTTTTACAAGGCGTGATGGGCTTGCTCGTCATTGGCTCACTCATATACAAACGAAATCGTGAACACCCGCGACGAAAGTGGAAGGTCTGGTGAGGCTATCATATCGTCTAAGCTGACTGGCCACGATGATGTTTAACACATAGCTCTCGTTCAGGATCCTCGACGTCACCAAGCAAATGACCGGGCAGGTGTTCGTACATGTACTGGTATGTAGGAAATGCACCTCGACAGTCTCCTTGATATCCAGAACACTCACGCATGGCCTGCCACAACGTTCATCTGCAGAACATCATCCTGTCCGATGCGGTAGCAGCACACGGAAAGCGAAATCCATGCTCCCTCTATTTCCTTAATATCATCATCGATACGACCTTTGGTGAGCCGAACATGAGCCCTTGCGCTTGGTAGTATATATCAGCTGACAACAGTCCACTGCATACCCTTACGCAAAAGGCGTCCTCATCATCTACATCACTCTACATTGGCTCACGTATCTAATTACCGAGGTCTGGGGTTACGATGGTTTCGTGTCCGGGCAATATCGTCCGGCGGGTACGCGTGGGCGACCGAAAGTCGAATTTTGGTTCAAGCAGCTGGCGACGTACCTCGTCGCTATCTTGATCATGAAGCTCATCGTCACTGTCCTTTTCTGGCTCTTCCCGTTCCTCGTCGTGTTTGCCAAGTGGCTGATTAATTTGTTTGGCGAGCATCAAAAGGCGCAAGGTAGGCATCTCTTCTTGGCTGCGTTTGCCCGGGCGCGCTACTGACTAGCACTCGCCGTTGACGCTCGCGCCTGCAGTCTTCTTTGTTATGGCGGTCGTACCGCTCGTAATGAACGTAATACAGTTCTGGCTGATCGACTCGCTGCTTCGCCACAACCCAGAGACGAGCCGCTACTCGAAAGTCAGCGTTTTGGAGGGCGGTGCAGAGGGAGACCACGGAGATGATGATGACTACGATGAGGAAGAGGCCATCGACAGGCTCGAGGACGCGCGGGATTCGATCGGGCAGCCATCACTCCAGAGCGGTCCCGGGGTCCGGTATCGAGTACAGGAAGGGATCACGCGCGATGGCAACTCAGCATTCGTCCTTGGAGATGGTGAGGACGGGGAGGCGAGCCTGGAGGCGAACGCGAAGCGGCACCGTGGCAATGCGGGGCCTTCACAGCCGAGCAAAGGATATGGCAGTACGCTCAAATCACCGCCACTCCGGCCGCAGTCTTCTGGCCACGGTTCTCATCGATCTTCACTCGACGAGCTGCGATTAGAGGCTGCGTCAATATTGAGCGACGGTAAAGCCGCGAGCGCACGTAACTCGAATGAGAGCAAGAGAACGTATGCCTCATCGCCGCCACCGCGACGAGGCGAGGCCCATCACCTTTCAAGAAGCGTTGACTTCTCTCAGGAGGGTGATGCGTGATGGCAAGTCTGTGGTCGAATAATATGTATGGTTGCAAAGCGGAAACAATTTGCAATTCAAAGGTCCGTCTCATGATACATGCGAGGGTTGACAACGACATCAGTACGAGGAGGGCAAGTGCAAACGTGACTTTGGAGGGAAGAACTTGCTGTGAGGGGGAAAGTGATTTTGCAATGGGCAATAGAGCTCAAGCATCTCCACGCAGAGTGTCGTCGATGGCCTTGTTGATGAGTACTTTGCGATCCGCGATTGAAGGGGCGTTGGGGAAGGAGGCGATCACAGCCTCTCTTGCTGAACGTTTGGTGACATTCATCAGACTCGGCTGTGCCGCAAGATATGTTCGAACAGCCTGGGTAATCTCGATATCCGAAGGATCGGTGCTTGCACTGGGTGGCAGGGGGACGGCAGGGGATGCGAAGGGGTTGAACGTCGACTGTGGCCTGCTGGGCGCCAAGGCGGCACCCAAGTCCTGAGATACGGGCTGCATGCCGAGGGCGCTCGGAGCTGGACCCGCTGGCATACTGTACATGGATGGCATGCCGTACATGGACGCCATCGGCCCCGACGGAACACCGTACATTGAGCCTTGCATTGGCAGCGCATACATGGACGCGAATGGCGTGCCAGGTGTCGTTGGGGCGCCGAAGCCCATAGACGGCATCCGTGAGGGCGCCATCGTGCCAGTGTGCAGAGAATTGGGGTTCGAGCCCTGCCTGGAGTGTGAGAGGACGTTGGTATTTTGGAAGAAGTCGCCTCCATAGTCCGACCCGGCTGGAGATGGGCTGTAGTGGCTGCCCTTGTAGACGCTGCCCGGTGTCGAGCCTGGCATCCGAGGTGGATTTGCGAATGGAGAGCCGCTAGCGCTTGTGATGCCAGTTCTGGTCGACCCTTTGTCCCAGACTTCCTGCTGATATTCGCTAAACTTTTTGAGTGGGATCATTGAATCGTGGTAAGGCTCATCGTCTGTACCAGCGACAATTTTCTTGTTGCCTTTCTCCCCGACGACGATACGCGTTGTTCCCCACGAGAAGTCATCCATGTGCCAGAAGGAGTACATTGGCAGGAAGAAGGACCAGACAGGGTATGCCAAAATCTGTAACGAAACAGGCAAAGTCAGCAGAGGAGCAAAGGAGAAGCGTGCGAGACATGCTCAGACGCACGTAGATAACCATCCAGCCAATGTACTGCCATTGCCGTTTCAACAAGAAGATGAATGCTTGTAGACCATAGACAGCGCCGATCATGACGATGGAAATGATCGGGAGGGGGCCGTTACCAGTAGTGACCTCTACGATCAGGTATATCAAGTAAATGACCGTTGCTGGCGCTGCGATGGTACCAAGGAGGTCGATGAACACGATGAAGCGCATCGAGAACTGTAATCACAGACGGTGTCAATTTCGTAAAGGTCAACACTGTCGAGAAAGCAGTAATACTCACGAAGCAGAACCCGCAGAGCTCAGCCATGAGCATCAGCTCAGCAAGGTTGTGAACAGTCGAGTTGATCCATCGACGACGCTGAGAGAGCAAGATGCCCCAGCGATCGGGCGCCGAAGTGTGAGAGTGAGCGTCGGCCGTGAACTTGGTCCTGAACGCTGGGAAATGTTTCAACAGTAGAGTGGTCAGGTATCTGTCCTCCCCAAGCGAAAGTAGATTCTTCTTGTGCAACGTGTCGACCTTGTTCTCGCTATAGTCGTCAATGATGCGCGAGGACACGAACAACGGGCGTCCTTTGTCCGCGCTCCTAACACGGTAGAGCGAGCTGTCCGCGAGAAGCGGGGTCAGAGAACGTCGAGGGCCCTTGGGAGCGCAGGCGTAGACTCACAAGCATCCGGGAAGACATGTGACACTGCCGAAGAGAGACTCGAATGCCTTGGCCAAATTGTGCGAGATAAAGTATTCATACACTGGAACATGATCATAAATTTATCAGTGCATGTTCAGAATCATGGTGCAATTGGCCTGAACTTACCCTGGATCATGGTCCACCAAGAACCCTCCTCGTTGTCTAGCTTGGTCTCACCGCACAGAGCGATGATGCGCGAGTCATCAGCCGCGACGGCGACAAGGCGGTTGAGCGAGTCTTCCTCGACGGACGTATCGGCGTCGACGGTCAGGACGTACTCGTAGAAAGCAGGGTCAATACCAATGACGTTTTTGCACTGATGTGTGATCTCGAGCTCCAGAGGCGACATAGGTGCGTCAAAGTGGACATGGTTGAGCCAGCGCATCATCATGATCTGTGTGTCGCGCTTGCCACGGTTTCCTGGGCGTGCGCGCTCGCTGGGGCGCCCGCACTTGACGACGACAATGTAGGGTACGACATGTCCTTCAAATTCGTACAGACCCGAGTAGACCTTGCCATAATTAAGCTGCTTGGAGCCATCTGCAATCGACTTGAACATCAGAGGCTCAGGATCAATGCGAGGGTCGACGCCGAGGATGTCAAGCACGATGCGAGGCGTAGGGAGCTCGTTACCGCTTCCGACAATCATACCATCGCAGATAACGAATATCAGCTTGCGCTTGTCGTCGTATTTGAGGCCGGCGAGCGAATCGATCGTCTTGCGCAACGACTCTTCACCTTCGGTGTAGCATGGCACCTGGCAGATAACGAACTTGTCCTGCTGCTCTGGGTTGCGTTTCGGTGTCAGCTGTAGTGCGGCCAAGAACTTTGCCAGGATGGTCGCGACTAGGATGGCGGAGAAGGCGAGGAGTAGGTAATTCTGCACCTGGCACCTGGGCGTCTCCCTGTAGTCGACTTTGCCGACGAGGAAGTTGTTGTTGAGACAGGCCATGTTGGCGGACCGAGTGGTGCTGTTCATGCTGGCCAGAATGAAGTTGAAATCGCTCGAGACATCCGAACCGCGCTGCGTCCTGAAAAGGTCTGTGAGGTCTTTGTCGAGGAAGCTGTACAGCGTCGACTGCGGCGTGTAGGAGATGGTATAGAAGTAGTCGGTCAGATCGTAAACATTCTGATTGGCGATGACCCAGTATTTGTAGCTGCCTTGCTCGGCGATCTTCTTCTTGCTGTAGACATAGTGGCCCTTGTAGTACTTGCGCATGAACGGCAGGAACCGGTCCGGGTACCATGAATCTTTGGCCAGCTTGGACGTCTTGTCCTGCTGCAGGTTGCCACTGGTGTGCACAGCCTGCCCGGGCACTACGTTAATGATGTTAGTGTTGTTCGGGTTGTTCTGCAGCTGCATGGTGTTGTCCGTCACGAGGCCGGCGCAGCCAACGGACAGTGGGACGGGGAAGAAGAGTGTCAAGTCCTTGCCGGCGAACATAGAGAGCGTGTCCTGGTCGGTCAGCGCAAAGTTGCTGGCGTAATCCGAGTGCGAGCCGCGCCAGAACTTGCTGATATCGTAGACGGAGCCTGCGACAGCAACGTAAAACTTGTCCGGCAGTTCGTACGCGCTAAGCTGCTGTTCGTTCCAGGCAATGTTCTGGTCGGGGCAGAGGATGCGGCCGAAGGCGATGATGTAGAAGAGGATGATGCCATTGAACAAGAGGATGAGCAGGCAGATCGCTGTCTTCTCGCGCCACGCGAAGCGGACGTCCGGGCGCTTCATCCTGCCGCAGCTGGATAATAGGAAGCTCGGGATCCACCAGGTAAGCGTCCAGACGATGCGCTTCCACCATTTGCGAACGGAAGTTACGCCGCCTTCCTCCTCGATCGCGTCGAGTGGCTTGGCTTTCAGATCGCCTTCCTTCTCTAGCGCACCTGCCATGCCTGGATTGACGTCGCCGTATGCTTGGCGCTCCCATTCACCTCCAGCGCCAGCAACACCAGCCGCGCCCCAAAATGCCTGATCCTCACCTTTTCCGCCGGGCCCATCGGCGGGCGAGCGGAAGGGATCAGAGGAATTGGACAGCTGGCGCGGCAGATCGTCGACCCGCAGGTTGCGCAAGCCGTTCTTGTCATTGGCGTCATTGCTGCTGCTACTGTTGAAGGAAGGCATGCGGGACGTCTTGCCGCTACCCGGTGGGTAGAGGCTCGGCGAACGGGCCTCGTCGCCAGCGCCGGCGCCGGCGCTGGGAGGGTGGTACGAGTACATGTCGACTTCTGTGGCGCGCATGCGATCCTCCATCTTACGCCAGACGGCGTACGAGAGCCAGACGTTGCTGCCGCCGATCGCGTAGTCCTGCCCCTCCCTCCAGGCGTTGGCAATGGCGACTGCTTGAATCTTGCCCTTGGCGTCATCCGCACCGGTCGCGATGGCGATGGGCACAACAAGCTCGGCGTAGCGGAGGCAGAAGTCGCCGTGCGTGTAGGTGGCGACGAACTCGGCGCGGCGGCGCGCGATAAGGTCCGGGAGGAGCAGCGCGCGGACCTGGCTCCTGACGCGGCGGACGTCGAACGAGTTGGCCTGCGAGATGTCGTTGGGGCGGATGCACAGCACTGACCAGACCTGCCCCAGCCCGGCGGCGGCGCGGTCAATCGCGCCCAGCATCTCGGAGAGCGTGGCGTTCAGTTGGCGGGTGACGCCGTACATCTTGGTCGGGTCGAGCAGCGGCTCGGTACTTGCAGCGCGGGGGTTGTCCAGCTGCGTGATCTTGCGCAGCGGGCGCACGGTGACCTGGGCACTGGCGATGACGCTGGGGTCGAGCGGGTGCTGCTCGGTCGCCAGGCTGGGGCCGGCGAAAAGCTTTGCGACAAAGGCGTCGGCGCTGTCGCGGAGGAGGCTGACGAACTGCGCGTCGAACGCGTCCACCTCGTGCTCGACGAGGTGCTCGGACGTGTACGTTGTGTCACCCTGGTAGTGCTGCACGCCAAAGCGGCCACGGCCGGCGCCTAACTGCGGGTCGGCGTTGCTGTGCGCGTAGAGCGCGTGCGACGAGACGTATGCGGCGTGCACGGCAAACGTATCGAGCTCGACGAGCAGTGCCGCGTCGGCCTCCTCGGTCATCTTGCCGGCGCGCACGCGGTGCACGGCCTTGTCCATGGCGCCGAGAATGCCAGCGGGCTTGCGGTCCACGACGCTGGCGCCGATGGCGCTGCTGCCGCGCAGCAGCTCGACGCACGCGGTGTTGTCCGCGCCGCCGCCGGGGATGATGGGCGGGAGCGGGACGCCGTCAGCGAGGATCGCGGCGTTCGGCGGGAGCGCATCGTCAAAGACGCGGCGCGTCTGCCAGTTCTGCACAATCTCCGCGAGCAAATTGGTGCAGAACTCCTCGTGCTGGCTTGGCAGCCCTTGCGACGATGCCGATCCCGCCGCAGCGGCTGGCCCGCTGACCGAGCTGCCGGCACGGCTCTGGTAGCCGGGCGTGTCGAGCTGCACGATGAGCGTTGCGGTCGCCTCAGCGGCAGGCGGCGCGGCTGCACTTGCGCCTGTGGCTGCGGACGCAGCGGTCGGCGCAACCTTGTGGTTGGCCGTCTCGACGATGAATGCGAAGAGGGTGGCGTAGAGGTCGCGCATGAGAGCGTCGCGCTGCGCAGCTGCAGCATGTGCGTTGAGGAGGCTGGTAACGAGCTCACGCTTGACGAGGCGGGACCGGTGCGTGAGCGCCTGGCGGAGGGCGTCGGCGTCGACGCAGAGCAGATCTGCGGCGTCGGCGAGCACATCGGGGTTGGTGATGTGCGCAGCTTCGAAGGATGCATCGGTACCGTTGTGGTCGCTGAAGGCGAGGTTGCCGAGAAGGAGGATGGCGGAGAGGAGAGTAAAGATGGACGTCATGTGTTTGGACTTGAACCCGAGCTGCTTCATCGCGGCTCGCAGCTCGTCCAACATGATCGAGTCGTCACTCGATGGCCCGCCGGGAAGGCGGTAGCAGCCGGATGATGCGAGCAAGTCGTATGTCGTGACGTCGTCGAGGCGGAGCGCGTCGCGTTCTTCGGCCGTCGCGCCCGCAAGGATCTGGTAGAAGACGTGGAAGGTGCGCTCCTCGCTGGCGAGCCGGTGCATGCGCCGCTTGTCGAGCCCGAACGTGAACACCTGCGCGCCGCACAGGCGCCCCTCGGTCGTATAGTGCAGCTCCGAGTAGCGGCTGAAGCGCGAGGCATTGGCGTTGGAGCGCGTCTTGGCGTAGCCAAAGGCGGTGAGGACTGTATCAAAGTTTTTGACCTGCTCGGCCAGCTTGCGCTCGCGCTTCGTCGCCGACGCGGATAGCCGCAGGAGCTGCGACGTGACGAGCTTAGAGGTGAACGACTTTCCTGACTCGGTGGCGCCACTGGGGGAAATCCGATCCGCATTGCGCGGGCGAGACAGTCAGGCCCGCCCACCAGAAACGAAGAAAGAAGAGCGAGAACTCACGAGTACACGATCGCCTGCGACTTTTTCGTGCGGCGCATGGCATGGTACGCCCTAGCGGCGAGCTCATACGGATGCGGCGGTAGCACGTCGATTGGGCTGGTCCGCTTTTCCTGGTCCCACTTGGTGTCTGCGTAGCACTTGAGCGCATACGCCTCTGCGCTGGCCTCGTTGAGGTTGGCAAGCATACGGAGCGGATTGACGACGACGAGCGTGCTTGATGCGAGCCGCGTGTACGGCTGGTCGCTGCGGAAGCGCTGCTGGAGTAGAGCGAGGACCGCATCGTCCGACGGATAGACGGTCGTGCTCGCATTGGACGAGACGAGCGAGACCAGGTCGGCCGAGGAGCCGGTGGTGAACTGACTCATGGTGGTGTGAGTGGCAGCACGGCGTGTTGAGTGCCGTCAAAAAAGCAAAAAAAAAACAGACAGCCTTCGCTTCAGCGCAAGATGAGGATAAGAATGTGGTCCGTGCTGGGCGGCGACACCGTTTGGCGTTCGCGATAGCTGCCTGCGATTTCGAGCGATCAGACAGTGCCGGTGTGATGCTGCCGGCGGAATTTATTCTCCTGGCACCTGGCTAAGGATGGAAGAGGCGAACCGGCAAGCAGAACCCCACCAGCCAGCCGGCGGGCCAATGAGAGAGCAAGCAGCCCGATTTCTGGCGGTTAATGAAATTGAATGTGGTGGACCCCCCCTTGCACGTTGCTTGCCGCTGCAGGTGGGTGGATGAGTGGACGGATAGATGGGGGGCGGTAAAAGATGAATGCACGCCTCTGTGTGCGCCTGGAGATCGTTGTCTGCCAAGCCCCTTTCTCTCTCTACTGGACCCCCTTTCTCTCTTGCTCTTGTACCCTTCTTCTCGATGAAGAGACGGCGAGGTAGTGGTGGTGGTTTGAGGGGATGGCATGGCATGGGCTTTACGCAGCAGGCAGGCATCAGAGCGGAGAGGAGCGCGGATAATTCGAGTGGTGCGTGAATAATTCATCCACCCAACTATTATGGCACGCTTAGAGACTAGTAGCGGTGTCCCGCGGCAGTCCACTCAGCAGACAGAGAAGGGGGGAGGAAATAAATCAAGCATGGAAAAAGAAAGAATGGTTTGCTTGAATTTGCCGGCATCCACGCACTCTCCCAGCAGCTTCAAGTGCCCAGTGTGCTATGGTGGGTGCCCAACCCTTCCCCAATCCCTTTGTTTCTTTTTTCCTGCATGTAGCAACTCGCTCCTCTCCTAACGGGCGGAACGACATGATTCGATTGGATTCGATTCGATCCCACCAACCGCTTCTCTCTTGTAGAATACAAGCGCGCACGCCGCCGTCGTTGTTCCGAATCAAATCAAATCGGCCGCAGGAGGACAAGCGGAGCGATCGGGGGACGTCATACATGGTGGGGTGGATGTTTGCTACTGCTGGTCGATTTCAACCCGTTTCGATCGCATGGCAGCAGTACGTAGCTGGTAGGATAGGTGCGAATTGCAGTCGGGAATCGCCTGTGCCAGGCCTGCTTTGGCTCAACGAATTGATCAACACATCGATTAAAAAGATTGTCCCTCGTCGTGTATCATCGATCATAGTACGTGTCTAGCACGGAATCATGCTTGCCGCCACCGCCGCCTAGAGGCTGCTGCTGTGGCTCGTCCTCTCCAGCAGCACCGGAAACGTACTGCGCGTAGATGTCCTCAAAGTTCATCGACGACTGCCGCGACGAGCCGCTGACCCCCCCGCCACGGCCACCGCCATCGAAGCTTGCACCACCATGGTGAGCCGCCTCACTGTGCAGGTGCTGCTGTTGCTGCGGCGGCGGGGCGCTCCCAGCCCTGAGCTGTGCAAAGAAGCTCGAACCTTCCTCGGCTTCCGCATCGGCGTCGGCGTGCGAAGACGGATAGATCAGCGGCACAGGCTGCCGCGCCTGCATCTGATACTGCTCTGCAGATGGCTCCTGGAACGAGCCCTGCTGGCCATATGCCTGCCCGTAACCTTGATGCGCGTATGGTTGCTGCTGCTTCTGTTGATGCGGCTGGTACTGCCGATGATCCGGCAGCTGTTCTTCCGCGTACGGCATGTATGCACCCAGATCCGGCAACTGCTGCCGCCGCTGTGGCCCCGCCTGCGCCTGTGGAGGCATGGGAGGCGGGTACTCCAGACCCTGCACGCCGCTCGTCTGCGCATGCTGCAGTGGCGGAAAGTCGAGACCGACGTCTGCCACCATGGTCGGTGCCGGCGCCATCGGCGGAGCCGCCGCTGCTGCCGATCCAGACTCCGATACTGACCGTGACACAGGCCCTGACGCTGACCTCGAACCGAGAGGCCAGCCTTGTTGAGAATGCGACTGCACAGGCGCGAGCTTCGGAGAGTAGCCCGCAGCAGCGTGGTCTGGGGGATATCCGTACGGATCGGCAAACGGTGCGCAGGGGGGCACCATCTGGCCATGCCCGTGCGAGGGGGCCCAATCACCACCGCCATTGCCAACGAGATCATGCATGTGGCCTTGGATGCGCACCGGCATGGCGTCAGGGCTGAGCGTATTCGGCGTGCTCCACCCGTCCGTCCCCGCGACACCTGCACCGCCCATGCCGCCCGCATAACCAGCGTGCGCCACCAAGTGCGCACTGCTGGCATTTTCGTCTGCGCCGCCATACATCCCGCCGCCACCGCCATTATCATAGTGTCCGATCGTGCTCGCGGGTGGGGTCATGCCCATGCCGATAAACGCACCCGGGGGGAAGCCAGGACTTTCTGCGAATCCCATGCCTGGCACATCGCCAGGCGGGACCATCGCGCTCGCGACGCTCCCAACCCGCTTGTGCCCTACAACAGAGCCAGCAGCACTGTTCGGGTTGGAAGCCTTGCTGTCGTCAGCAAGGAGGTCGACATCGAGCGTCGGAAGTGTCGGCTGCGGGATGGCGCGCCCAACGATTTCGCCCTTTTTGTTCTTCAGGTGAGAGAAATCGCCCTCGGCCTCTCTGCGTGCGATTGCTGCCTGCTTGGCCAGTCGCTGCTTTTTCTTGAAACGCACCAGCTCACTGATCCGTTTATCAATCTTGTGGCAGCAGTACTCTTTTAGGTTGCCCTTGATATAACACAGCATAGGCAGGTACATCAGGCCCGCGATCAGGAGCAGAATCATCGAGGCCGCAAAAACGAGGACGGTGAACAGCATCGTGATGAGCAGAGCAGCGGTGAGCCACGAGCCTTCGTAGTAGTCGCTGAACTCGGTGCTAAAACCCTTGCACTTGGCAAAGTTGAACAAGGTCAGTGCGTTGATTGTTTGGCGAGGACCATCGGCAACGAGGAGGCGTTTCCATCCTTTGAAGGTGAAGAAGATGAAGAAAGCAAATTCGTCCTTCTTCTTCTTTGAATTGTTGATCTGGCAGAAGAAGCAAAAGTGGTTGTAACTTCGCATCGAGTAGTAGTTGTTTGCCATCACGTTCCTGAGTTGAAACGCAGAGAATTCAGCGGACTTGACCTCTGTCTGATGCCTACATTCTGTATGAACTCACGTGTACGCATAGCTGATATCTCTACTTCTGACAATTGCGCGAGTTTTGTGCGCTTCATATGCGAGGAGCAGGAACGAGAAGAGGATACAGCCGCAGAAAATCCATTTTGAGTAGTCGATCGAGACGTAAAAGCTGCTGCCACCATTCTTGTCGCAGTTCTGGTAGATGCTCGAGCGGAAGTGTCCGATGGCCAGCAGTGTCACAGCTGTGTAGATGTCGGCAATGTACACTGCGAACGACTTGGCGATCAGACTCCAGAGCAGGCCATATCTGTGCATGTCGAAGGTAAAATTCGGGTACGCGCATAGATAAGCGACAAAGGTGGATAAGTCAGCTGGCATGAGCGGATATGCTCACCTGAGCTGAGTCAGGCATCCCCTAGACCGATAATCCCGGACATCAATGAAATCAAACTGCGAACGTAGAGCCATTCACTAGGGTCAGCCCAAGGTACACGAGACTCTGCGTCGTAGCCAGCACGACGCGCCTTGTGATCTGGCACCTCCTCGCGCTTCCAATCTGCGCTGTGTCCACAAAAGCACATTATAGCTATGCAAGCACGGCTCAAGTCCCCGTGCTGGAAATAGTGTGATTAGCATCGCATTTTCAAGGGGGGAATTGCGTCGACGTTGTGAGATGATGTGTCTTACCCAGTGGCGTGCAAAGCGTGAGCGCGAATCCGATCGCCCAATGAAAGTGCGTGAGTTTCAAAGCCTGAAGACGGATATATTTCGGAGGTCGTGGTCGAAGAGCTGCTCGCCAGCGAGCCGCTATCCCACCATCTACTCTTGGATGTTAGAACTGACGTTAGGCGTACGAGAATTGAGAGTAGAGGAGTGACGATTGCGCGTTCGGGAGAGGGAGCGGCTCTGCCTCCCCTCGTGACGACACACACGAGAAGCAGGGTGGAGCCGGCAGGGGACGGAAAGGGGAACGAGGGAGAGAGAGGCCGAGGAGGGTCGTGAAGGAAGGCGTGAGGTGAAGGGGGTGTAGAGAAGCCGGGGGAGGTTGAATAGTATTGATGATGGCCAAGGCAGGGAGCTAATGAGTTGGTTCTTGGGAGAGCAAGCTGCGAGAGGTGTTACATGTAGGCACAGGAGCAGTGTGCCAGATGGCCGGCCAGATGCCGCGAGACAGCGACAGGAGTGCCGACGCGTAGCTGGCGGCAACGAAAGCCTTTGTGCCAAATGTATGTGGCACCGGGGCTGTGTGTTCCTATCCGTCACGTGCCAATGCATTGAACCAAATCCATATTGCCAGGTTACTTCTCGTGATTGTATCAGTCGCAGAATCGCCTTGAGAATCACTTCGCGTCGAATGTGGCATGTATTGTAAGAGAGCATGGTTGGATCTCGGATACATGCGAATAGCACCTTGACCGGCTCCACCCGGCGGTAGCTTAAAATCACCCTGTCCGGTTCCCATTGCCGCCGACCCCATGCTTGTGCATCACCGCAAAAGCTCACACGACACGCTCAATCCTCCTCCATCGCATTCGGCCCGCGGCCGGCCGCGATCTCGTCTCGTGCCCAGTACACAAAGTCATCAATGACCGACGGCCAGGCACCTTCGAGAAAAAAATGGGCAGGTGGGCAAGCAGATTCGCGTGCCAGCGTCAGTCTCGGTTGCTGTTAAAGCATGATGGCACGCGATCGCAGCCTTGGCAACACGACGTACCATCCTCATCATGGTTCTTAAAGTCTTGATCGATCTCCTTTGTAAATTCGAGGAACTATGTGTCGAAGGATTGAAGCGCGTAGGAAGTCAGCGTTTCCTCGTAGTTGTGCGACTCAGGAGCGAGAAAGGTATAGCACGCACCAGTGCCCAAGTATCCTTTGACACGGCGCGGCCATCAGTCTTCTCTTTTAGATATCGTTTCCACATCTCCAACTGGCCTTGAGTAAAGCTCCCGTTGCTGCTCCCGTCCGACTTTGCAAATGTAGGAGCATGTGGGATGATCAAGTCCCAGAATGCAATGGCAGTCTCGAGATCTGTCACATGATGCAGGGCGACGGTCAGCGATGCCGTCCTGTTGCTCACAATCTAGCGTCACACAGTACAGTTGGGCACATACCTAGACTCTTTTGACCTTCCCGCCTCGCAAAGCCGTAGGTGAATTCGTACGTCTTTGTGTACAGGCCACCGCTCTCTGATGGCGAGCCGTTCGCAACGTTGTTGACGCTGCTGCCCGCCTCAGTCCGAACGCGCCTGTCTTCTTGAAAATCTTTTCGAAGGCCAACAAGAACCTGTTTTTGCGCTTCGATCGTAGCCGCTTTGTCGAGCAGCAACCACCCTTTGATGAAGTCTGCTCGTTTGAATTTGCCCATGGCAGGGGCTTTGAGGTAGAAGCAGAGCGCGAGCACGACGACGTCTTCTAGATCTAGCCCGAGATGCGCAAAGTACTCTTGTGTGCCTTCGATATCCATCTCGTCCGCACCTTCTTCTGAATACGTATACGGGGCGAACGTCAGTCGTGTTACAGCCCCATGCTCGAAGCTAGCTTCCACGGGCAGAGTCACCGTCTCTGACGAAAGCGCACCTTTGTAGTCATCGAACAACTTTCCCAGCTTCTCCGTAGCCTCTTTTACCTTCTTCTTCTCCATACTGCTTGAAGAGCCCGCCTTGGCCGCATTGGATATAGCGACCGGGTCATTGTAGAAATCATCTACAGCGGCCTCGACACGATAGGAGTTGTTCTTAAGCAGCCGCGTAGCATCGGCAGTCGAGGCATTCGTGATGGCACGGAAGCTACGCAGAGCGGCTTCTTTTGATGTTTTGGTGGACTAGTGAAATGGATGATGAAATTGGCCGAGCGAGTATGTCAGACAACGGATTCACAAGAGTTAATGTGCCAACAAAGGTATCCTGTGCTACCGCAAAAGTGCTCGTTCTGCCTTGCGAGCCACAGCGCATCATGCTGGACCATGTGCAGCGTATATGTACGGGCAATGCTAGTAATAGGACGCTTTTCTCACCATCTTGATAGATAATCGCACACGGCTGCGATGATTCCAAGTATGCGAGGCGCTGCTTCTGGTTTCGCGTCTGGCGCCAGGATCTGGGCCACGATACCCAGAGACTCTAGCTGGCTGTGTGCAGCCGCGACGAAAGCGCGAGAGAGGGCCACGCGGGCTAGTCGGTCTCCAAATTATGTCGTCAGGACCTCCGCGACATCGAAAGCGTGCTACACTAGGAGACCGCTGATTAATTCGTGGCGACGGCAATGGGAGCACAGCACCGCCTGCTTCAAAGACATGCATATATTACTTTCGCTGACCGCTTTAACCCATTCCGCGCTCTCCACGGCTGTACGACATGCCGCATGACGCGCTGAGGCGGGTCGAAGATATTCAACTGACCGTGCTCAGTACTGAGCGTACACCGCATGCTAAACGACCAGACCCATCCCATTCGAATGTAAATAAATGCATGGCAGACCGGATGGACTAAGTCAAACGATGCAAATACAAGATGGGGCAAGCAGTGTAGATACAACAGATGGGCAGATAAATGAGCGTGTGGACGCATGTAGATAACCTCGACGCCGTAGACCTTGGCGAGCTTTGTTCCCTTACAACTACAAAATCAAAAACGACCGCTCTCAAGCGCCTCCGCTCCGGAAGGAGCGGAGCGAAGCGAAGCGGAATACAACTGTGGATGATGCTATCGCGCGATCTCGGACTTAATCAAGCTGGTGCGCTTGTTCACGAAACTCGACGCCTGCGAAAGCTTGCGCGCATGCTGCGGGCTGGTCGTGGCGTCTCCGCCGTCCGCAAGGAGACTGTCGAGCTCCTTACGCGCCTCCTCCTCTCTCTTCGGACGCTGAGGGGTCAGAGCGGCGGGTGAAAGTGGCGGCACAGAACTCGGCTGCTGCGGCGACTGCGGCGACTGCGGCGGCTGCGACGCGCCGGTTGTGCTGAGCCAGAAAGGCATGTATGTCGCCCAGCCTGCGGTAGTCGCCGCCGTGGGACTCGCGAGCGAGAGTGTAGGTTGATTGGAAGCAGCGGCGGCGTTGGCATTCAGTTTCTGTAGCGCTGCCATCGCGCCCAGTCTGGTGCTGTCTGCGCGGCTGGAGGACGTGCCGCCTTTGGACGCGGACGATGCGCCGCTGAGCGACCTGCCGCTCTCCTCGGCATTGAGCATCGATACGAGGCCTCCTTCGATGCCATTCTCTTGCAGCGACATGGAGAGGCTCGCGCTGGAGCGATGGCCCTCGGCCCGCGTGGCGAGCGAAGGGCTGCGGACAGACATGCCTGAGAGTCGCTTGGGCAAGCGGAGACCGGAAGCAGTCGAGATGGCGCCGCTGGCGGTGCTGTCCGCGACGGAGTCCCCATCGTCACGGTCGTCCTCATCGTCATCGTCATGGTATATGACAGACGAACGCACGCTACCGGAGCCCGCCTCGGACGGCGCAAGGTTGCTAGGCATGCGTCCAAGACCCTTCAATGCGGAGAAGTGCTGCAGCGCCTCCATGGATGACACGCGGCCCTTGGACATGGACGGCATCGGCGACACTGTGCTCCACCCCACGTCATGTGTAGCCACCGGCGGCGGATCGATCGGACCGCCGCCGCCCCTGACAGAGGTGTCGGGCGTCATCATTTGCGATGAGAACGCGTCGGCCAGTGACGACGAGGACGCAGTCGACACGCTGCGCGAAGCGAGGCCCGTAAGCAACGAGGGCACGTTCCTCCCCCGTCGCAAGCCAAAGCCTGAGCCAGTCCCATCGATTTTGCTGCCGCCAGGCTGCGAGGGTATGCGATCGTGCTGGGTTGTCATTGTCGCAGCCGACGGCGGCGGAGGCGGCGCTTTTATGAGCGAACCGAGCGGCGAAGCCAAGGGAACAGTACCGAGAGTCGACGATGAGAGCGCAGACGATGTGTTGCTGAGCGAAGCGTGCGACGCGGCGCCAGACCCCACAGGGCCGCTCATAGCGGAAGACTCCAGCTGGTTCTTGGCGGCAAATTCGGACGCAGTGTCTGCCGCATGATGGTCCGAACGCACTTGCCCCTCCTCCGCGGAGGGAGCAGTAGGTATGGTGCGCTTCAGCACCTTCTCCAATCTCCTCGCTGCCGTCTTGCCGATGGTAGCATTCTCATCCTTGGCCTCGACGATGCCCATGAGGCCGTTCCCGCCACCGATGGACGGAGATACGAGCGGGTTGGAGAACGACGGCATGCGCCAGTGCGACGACGATGCCGGGGATGCGGATGGGCGCAAGGTGGAAGAGAGTTGAGCCGGGAAGGAGAATTGCGGTGAGACCATGCTGGCGCTCGCCGTCGGCATATCTGACATGGTCCGCGTCATGCCGCTGCCACTGCCTTTGGAGCCAATGCCCAAGACCTTGCACATGTCCAGCAAGCCCTGCATGTCGGCATTCGCCTTCTCAACCCACTGCATGGCCATGCGGTTCCCTTGAAGCTGCAGCTGCAGCTCAGCCTCGCGCTGCGTCATTGTCGTGTCCAGCGCGCGCTCGTACGCCCGGAGCCGCGCAAGCTCGTGGCGAGACGAGAGCGTCGATATAACCAGCGCGTTGGATACCTCGAGCGCGTGCATTGTCTCCATGAGCAGCGCGTCCAACGCCGGATTGTCGTCGTCCTCGACCTCGTCAGCGTGGTCTTCGAGACGCAAAGGAGCCTCTTCGGACGTGTCCGCGTCTGCGCTTCGAGTGCCTTCCGGCGTGGTAGGCCGCGACGAGGAGAACGTGCCAGGCTTGGCGCGCCTACGATCGGCGCCATCATGCGAGCGAGCAGAGAACAGCGAGGGCGCCTCGGCGTCTGTCGACGACAGGTCAGTCGCGACGTCGCTCGACCGCCGAACGACGACACGGCCAATGGCGTCGCTGTCCTGTGGCACATCGGCCTGTCCTGGTTCATGATCTGGCTCGTCGCTCGCCGACGATGGGCGATGGTCTGAGTTGACGGCCGTGTCGCCTGTCCACGTCGACCAGCGCTTACTCCGTGCGTTACTGCTACTGGAAGGCGCAGGAGGGGTGGCAGCGGCGATGGCCGTAATAGCGGCAGCTCGTCCCACCGGGTTCTCGTTCCGCTTTGCACCTCCCGTCGCCCTGCGCACTGGTGAGTCTTGCGCTTTCGGCAATCGTTTGTTCACCGCTGGAGCAGCGCCCGTAGCAGATATATCCCCTTCGACTGGAACCTGGGCGCTCGATGCTCGTGGAGTAGAGCCTTTGCTCACAGCCGAAGGACGACCGACAGCGCTCTTTCCGAGAAGAACGTGCTTGATCGCTGACGCTCTCTCAGAGCCAGGTGTCAATGATACTAGCTTGTTCATCGACTTGGACGAAGGCAATGTGGGTGGCAGTGTGGATGCACCCCTCGTAGCGGATGCCAGCGCTGGTCTACCCTCCGGGCTCCTTTGCGGTGCGTTGGTCTGACTGCGAGGGCTGGCTGTGGATGTAGCTGGTCTTTGCCCTGCTGACAAGCCAGAGTTGGCAGCGAGTGCTGCCGTCGTGGCTCCTTTGCGAGAAGGAGAAGGCGTCGGTGTGCCCCGAGAGGTAGGCAGTGCGCCTGATGTCTTGAGGGGAGCGCCTCGACGCCCTACAGATGCTGCTGGTCCGACAGCAGTCCTCGATGCTGCCACGCTTCCAGCGAGGCTAGCGCTGCGGGTATGCTTCCTTCCCTCTATCTCGCTCTCCGTGCTGGGCTTAGTGATCTTCCCAGCACCGATCACGCCACTTGCCGTGCTTGCGCTTCGCTGGCGTTGTTGTTGTTGCAGCTGCAGCTGTCTGGCCGACGAGGAGCGTGGCAATACTGCACTGGCACGTGGTGGAGGGACCCCAGTTCGAGATGATGATGATGATTCCGCCATAGGAAGAACTGATGTCTGTGTCTTGGTTGACCTTGAGCTCCCAACAGCCCTGGAAGCGACCAAAGAGGCCCTCGGGGCCTTGACGGACGAACCATTCGGAGTGTTGCTGCTGCTGCTACCGGTGGTGTTGCTGTTGATGGTGGTGGGCTCGACACGGCGCAGCCGCGACGGCCCAGGTTGCACAGACGCGCGATTCATCCCCTTTGCACACTCTATTTGCTTGACCGCGTCCTCTATCGAGAGAGGCAGGCTGCACTACCTACCGGCTTTCGTCGAGCACATGCATCGAGTTGTCAGTCAGATGGTCGTGCTATAGGATGTTCATTTTCTCCAGTTTATAATGCGAGCACTCACCATGGGACTTGACCATGATAGCACCTTTATCTTTTGCCACTGAAGACCGAACAAAGTGTCTTCCGTACTAGGGATTCGTGACAAGCTTCGTGAGCGATGCGTGGGGATGGAGTGGATGGGCGCTTGAGGTGCGAGTCACCACGCGGTGCCTATCGAGCTTTGCGGTAGCTTGGCAGACAAGCGAAAGATGCAGCTCTTCCCAAGAGAGTTGAGCTGACTGTAGCGCCGAGCGCAGCCCATGGTCACAACGACATACAATAACAAGGGAGAACGAACGAGATGCATCAAGGATGTTTGCTCTTTGGACGGTCACAGGAGTGATGACGCAGCGATTATCACATCGATATCCATCCAGCCAGATCTGCTGGGGAGTGTTGCTGCTGAGATGGTGGGCGCGGAGGCACGCAGCACTGCAGCAGTGCTGTGTTCGACCTGCCTTCAGCGCTCAGGGGGAGGGTACCCAGCGCAGCACGGGCCGCACAGATCAGCTCGGCGCTACACGTAGACAGTCCTTTGACCGCCTCATTTATTTTATTTTGTTTCTTGGCCCCTTCTCGGTTCTCCCGGCCGATAGGCCATGCTGGTCACACTTTCCATTCACCGCCGCCGGATGATACTGCGTGATGCGCAGCGCCGGCACAGAATACGAATATTGTCGTTAGCTCATTGGACCTCCATCGTCAGCTTATGCAAGTAGCATTCATGCAAACATTGCTTCTTCAACCCAACGTCCAGATTACGCACACAACCTCGCCGTCGGACAGCGCAATGAACACGTGACGCGCGCCAGCACCTGCACTAGCTTTTTCACACCCTCTTTGTTGCCCTTGAGGCACGGCGTAGTGTCGGTGTGCGATCGAATTCCTGCCCGGCCTAACCATCTGATGGCCCACGACATCGTCCACAGCAGCCCCCACATTCGCAACGGAAGGGGGGCGGTACAACCTCCCTTTTGATACCTTTTTTGTCGCAAGGCGCTCTGCAGCAATGCATTCGGTCTCGCACAGTCGCGCAGCATCCGGCGCGCTGGATGCCGCCAAATCGCCGTCAACCAGCTCCTCCGAACCTGCTCAAGGCGCCTCACCCGAGTCGAGTGATATACCAGGCACTGCAGCGAGGTCCTCTCGTTCATCTGTCCCCCTTTCTGCTAGCGGAAGTAGCAGCACCGCCTCAGCATCGGCGCCAGAGCCCGCGCCAGAAAGCTTAGCGCAACGCCGCACGAGCATTTCCCATGCAGCAAATAGACTGTCGCAAGGCGCAGCAGGAACAGACTCTGCAAATACTTCATTTGGATCGGGGGGAGAACGCACAGCGACGGCAGATGTTGCTGAGCTAGTGAGTGGCCAAACCTCATTCATGGCCAAAGCGTGAGACGCAGTGGTGTGTGCAGGCCTCTGAACCGCTGACGGCGCCCTGCAACAACCTTTTCTGCCTTTGACAGATGCAATCTGTGCAGCACGAGCTACGTACACCCGTGCATGGGTTGCTCTCCATGCTCGAATACCTGCGGAAAGACATCGCGCAATCCGCCGCGTTCAACCTGCCCGATGCCCATCCGCTGCTTGCCGCTCGGGCGCCGTCGCAGCCGCCGTTGCAGGGTAGGACGCGTCTATTCGCTTCGGCTCGAGCGCACGCACACACGCATGGTAATGCGCACGCCAACATGCATGTGTTAGCCAAAGTGGCGAGCGTGCAGGCCAAGCGCGCCGCCCAACACGTCCTCGACGCCGTCAGTTCCACCGGGCAGAGCTTGGCGCAGGTACCGAGCCAGCTGCGCCTCCCGTCGCACGTCATGTCTGCTGCCGCCAAGTCCAGGTGCTTTGGCTCGCCGGAGAGTGCGAGTGCAGCGGCAGGAACCAATCCGCCTGCTGTACCAGGGGAGAACGGCGAGGAGGCGAGGGGGGCTGATGCTGCCGCGGCGCACGAACACGAAGGCGCCGGAGGTGCAAAAGCGACAATTGGGCGTAGTAAATCAAGCCCCGGCGCTCTCCCCATGGCGGCGGTGATGACGAAGGCGAACTCGGCAAACCACTCTACTTCCCCCCCATTCTTACCGATCGTCTCGTCCTCAACACCGACATCCGAACACACTGTAACCACATCCTCTGCCTCATCCTCTTCACCTTCCCTCGCCACCACGCCAGCGAGCTTGACGCAACCGGAACCGCCGTATACCAGTAGCGCTCCGACGACGCCTTCCGGCGGCGCAGCGGTTGGCAGCGAATCAGACGGCGCGACACCGCCACCACTTTCGTTTCCGAAGGGCCACCTATCCGCCGCCACCGCCTCGGATCTGGCGGCGGTGCTGCGCGAGGAGCGCCGGAGCTTGCTCTCGCGGCTCGACGGCGCGCTCGGGCTCGTGGAGAGGCTGCACAACATCCTGGACGACTACAACGACTTCGCCTCCGAAATCCTCCTTGCCGACCGCGACGCAGCACACGGATTCGGAAGCTGGGCCGCGATCGCTCCCACTACCCCGGTCATCGACACTGCGGTTGAGCCACGCGCAGCTGCCCTTGGTGCACCCACATCGCTCGCCAATGCCTTCCGCGGACTGGCGCTACACGACGCCTCCTCGCTGCCTGTGTCGAATTTGGCATATGTGCATCCTGCCATATCTGCTCCTATCTCGACATCGACATTGGCATCAACGCCGAGGGTAGCGCAAAGCGACGCTTCAGAAGCGAATGTCCACACGCCGATGCTGCACTCGCGTTCTCAATCTCGCTCGCGAATCCTCGCTTCGGCATCATCTTCGGAGCGCGAGATAGACGGCATACCGCTGACCTCGCCGCCAGCACCGTCATCCAACTCAGCTGGCCTGGGCGATTCCGCTCACGGGCCTGCTGCTCATCCCGGCAGGGACTTAGAGTCCAAGGATGCGATACTGGACGAGCCGGTAAACTTTGGCACTCTGCTGGACGAGGTCGCGTGCGAAGCTTGGAACCAGCAGGTGCGCGCGCTCAGGGCGGAGGACGCTGATGCGAGATTGCCACCACCCCCAGAGCTCATCTTGCGTGAGTGGCTTGCTGCAGCCCCCCTTTCCTCCAAATTTCGTGCGCAGGGTCAGAGAGATTAACGCTACCGAACTTATAACCCGTGTGTACCGAAATGCCCCGTGTGATTTCAGAGATTGATACGTCACTTCGACACGTCAAGTCTGTCGTGTCCGTCACGACAGTCAAGAAGCTGATGCACAAGCTGATTTCGAACTCGCTGCGCTTCACAAAGGAAGGTTACGTGGAAGTGTCCGTCATGCCTGGCATCGCAGGCGAGGACACACTCGACGCAGCACAAGCCGAAACTGACCGGTACGCCGAAGCGGCCCTTGCGTCCGAAGCGCTGCGCTCTCCAACGCCGCCAGCGATACGCAACGATCTCATCTCCATCGTCGTGGAGGATACGGGCGAGGGAATGACGTCGACGTTCATGCAGGAGAACCTTTTCATGCCGTTCCAGAAAGCGAACAGGTTCAAAGCGGGTGCGGGGCTATCGATGACGCTCTGCGCCTCCCTCGTCCGCAAGCTCCGCGGACGCATGCACATTGCCAGCGACGCAGGAAGAGGCACCATCGTCACTGTCACCATCCCCGTGGTGCATCACTACAATACCGACATTTCCCCCGGCCAGGAGTTGCCGCCGAGCAACGTTGATAGACTCGTCTACCTGTACGGGTTTGAGGGGATGGGGATGCAGCGGTTGGCGCAAGCCATCACTGCGCAACTCGCTACATTCGGCAACTTCTATTGCACGACCTCCATCAAGGACTGCGACTACATTCTGCTGCCAGAGGAGAAATGCATCCAGACGGACGCGGGCGTGGAAGCAGTCTTGGCACAGTGCCGGCCGGGGGTCAAGATCGGGGTTCTGCAGGCGCACGAAGATGTTGGCATCGAGCGAGCTGCTTCCTTGAACCGCAGCGAACCGCCCGTCTTTGTCACACGCAAGCCTTTCGGCCCGAAGGCATTTGAGGCGTTGCTCGGCGCTTACAGCTTGTCGCAGCTCAGCAAGGCCATCGATGGCGAAGTATCCGGTGCACTGGCTGGTGTCAAGGCGAACAATGGCAAATGCGAAAGCAGCTGCAGTGAAGGCGACTACTTTAGCGCGCAGAGCCTTTCTGAGAAGCAACATCTGAAAGAGAACAAAGACGAGATACAGGGATACTCCGCTTCAGTCGGCAGGATGGACGGACAGGCACTCGTGGGATCGGAGACTTCTGGTGATGGAGAGGATGAAGAGGGAAAGCAAAAGACTGTCGAAGAGCGTACTGCAAACGAAAGGCTGTTCAAGGCTGCTAAGAAGAGCAGTCGAGGTATCCTTCCAGATTTGTTGTTCGCCCCGTCGACCATGGACGCCATCCTTCGAGCTCCGCAAGCGCGCGCTCCCTTGCTGCCCCTCCGGCGCAAGTTTGGCTCGACAGGGCAGCAGGACAGCGAGTCGGGTCGCTCACCATTGTCGTCCGCCTTTCCCATCTTTGCGGGCTCGATGAAGTCTATCATGGAAGGGCTCGCTCACATGCACCAAAAGATCATTTCCCCGAACTTGCAAGCATCCCCGGACACGGCAGCAGACGCTTCCACCGAAGAAAACCAAGGTAGCAACGCTCGGCCTTCCAAACCTGGAGAAGCCCTGCGCAGGACGGCGACTAAAACGGTTGCGGCGGCGGTACCGCCCGCGGCCGCGTGCGACACTGTTCGTAAGCAAGCAGAGGAGGAAGCAAGCGCTTTCAGCGTGCTCTGTGTGGAGGACAACCCGCTGAACATGCGCGTGATGACGCAAATGCTCAAGCAGTCGCGCATCCTGCAGTTCAGCGCGACTGACGGCGTTGAGGCGGTGGAGCTATTCAAGGAAGTGCGGCCAAGCGTCGTGCTGCTGGACATCAACATGCCGCGCATGGACGGTTTTGAGGCGTGCGAGGAGATGCGCAGGTTCGAACGAGAAGAGGTGGAGCAGGACAAGCTCCTAGCATTCAGCCCTACACGGAGAGTCGCCAGTCGCATCGTTGCCGTCACGGCGCTATCGGACGACTTCCACCAACAAAAGGGCCTGTCCGTCGGCATGGACGACTGGCTCACCAAGCCGATCAAGATGAATACGATCAAGAAGGATCTGGCCGTGTGGAAGGAGGAGTGGGAGCAGGCCTTGGAGAAGAGCAAGGCGCTCGAAGGGCAAGGCAGCGCCGCCTCTGTGGCCGAAGTATATGGTTCGACGCTCACAGCCAGGCAGGGGGACGCGCCGGTCGCGACACAGCCATAGCACGGATCAGAAGGTCACAGGATAGCGGGTTGCATGCCCCTCAAGCTATATTCAGGAATATTGGCAGCGGCTGAGTGCAGAGCATTCCAGACAGATCGGAAATCATCACATTGTATTTTGCTTGCACTCTACGAGGGAAGCCCGCTAGCACATTGCAATATTCCAGAGTCCAGCGATCAGACATGAGCGCATCACTGATGTTGCGATGGCGAGCCAGCAGCTACTTCCATTCGTGCATCACACACGGCGTAACAATTTCTATGCCGATGCCCAGCTTTTCGTTTTGTAGAACTTCGTCATGTGAAGCCATGCGCTTCGATGTCGACAGATTAGTTCCATGCCATCATTACCGGCCGCCGGGCGCCCTGTCAGATGTGGATTACCATGTCTAGCTGTTGATTTAGCATCATCAAGCATCTCGGACCCGGCAGCGAAAAGGACCACAAGCGGTTTGATCATCTCATCATCCAGCTCGCCATATTCGCGTGATCTGACTTGCGCCCCTCCGGGTTCGCACCGCCCAGTTGGGCGAAACAATGCCTCAGACCTTGCACCTCATCGATGACCAGTGCCGATTGAGGGATCAAGGCGAAGCAAGGGGCAAAACACCACCAAAAAGCCACGCCTCGGCGCCTTGATGCATGCAACAGTAATCTTATTTGTATAGAGTGTTTCAATGTGCCGTAGAGATTGCAAGATGAATGAACCCCTGATGATATTCTTGCGAGCCGTGTTGTATGCATACATGGCATGATGATGCCCTTTGCATGCTGGTGGTGGCAGACGAAGAGATGTGAGGCGAATCAATCACAATCATGCATCGCGCGAGTGTACCTCTCTGTATACATTCCACCTAAACGTGAAACTATTGAGGCGACCACTGGCACGGATCAGAAGGGCGTTTGCGCACAGAGCCCTTGAATTCTGTGCTTGTTGGGTGCCGCAACGCATTGACTCGTCACGCATTATCTCGACCTCGATCGTATGCGATGCGATGATGAGGTTGCTTGCTTCTTTCTTGCTATAATACAATGCACTCCACTCAAGCAATCGTATCCTCGCGAGCAGTGCCTACTCAGCGAATGCGCATTCACCCGTAATAGACCAGCATTACCGCTGAAAGCACTCTCGTCACCATCTAGCAATGTTGGTCCCTGCCATGTCACGCGCCGGAACGCGTGCATGTCAATCTATCCTCAACATCAACCTTCCGCAGTCAGCTGGTTCGGCGTCGACCTTCCCATCTGCAGGTTGTCTGTACTGCAAACGTGAATATCAACTTTTCGCGCGAAATTCCTTCGCAAACAGCGGCAGTATCAATGGCGGCAAGAGGAGCATTGGTGTTGGCGAGAAGGGACGAAAGGATGCTCGTCTGAAACTTCCGCCAACCCTCTCATGCAGAGCAGGGAACTTTCCGCGTTGCCCAAGACGAACATTCTTGCATTCTTCGACTGTCAGCGCGATCCGCAAACCTGATCCTGGCGGAAAGCCTGTCGGCCCTAATGATCGGACAGTCTATGAGTGAGTGCATTCGACTGAGGCTGCGTGTACGCCTGAAACTCTCTGAACCGATTTTCACTTGCCCCGACTGCCGTAGCGACTTTACCAACATCTTATCTCCCAATGCACTGTCACCATCCTCTCCTTCAGGAGATCTGGGCTCTTTGGCAGAGGGTCCAGTGACAATCACATCCATGTCACCGCAGAGTTTCACACTCTCAGACGGTCTCGTGGTCTCTCAGCCTCTACTTCTGCTCAACGGCCAAGTCTTTCTATGGCTCCCGCCCGCTTTGGATCACAGCCGGGCGGCGCCGAACGGACAAGGATGGGAAGAGTGGCTGGAGCAAGCAGGAGGAAGAGATGAGATCTGGAAGATTTTGGAAGTCATTGCTCCCAAGCCAGGTACGTAATCGTCGATTCTCACTACTCTACCTAATGGAACAGCCCGGCTAAATGCGCACTTGCGTACCTTCCTCTATGCAGAAATTCTGCTTTTTGGTACAGGAAAGACTGTGCTTCCCCCGCCTCAACAGATCAGAGCCTACTTGGGCAGCAGCCTAGGCATTCAACTTGAAGTCCAAGACTCACGCAATGCGAGCTCGACGTACAACATGCTGCAGGAGGAAGGGCGTAAAGTTGCTGCTGCGCTTTTGCCAGCCGGTGGTTGGAATGGCACCTTGAAGAGCTAGATTCGATAGTCTTGCCTGATAGCCTACTTCCCCTAAATGTACACATACTCATATGCAGCAGATTACAATGGTTTGCTCGTTATTGCCGCCAGGCGCGACAGCCTGGCTGCAGACGGCCCTTCGGCCCGACTGGCCTCATGACCGGGACGGTGGAGATACCTGATTATGAATGTTGCATCGCTTGAAGTGTCAGACAGCTGTGTGAAGGGCAATACCAGATGCCCAGTCTTGCATGTGCAAGAAGGGCGTGGATGCGACTCACCAAGATGACACCATCACCTCTTACGAAGAGCATCTCGCTACTGCGCTTGACAGCCTGAGGCAAAGAATGTGGTATAAGAGTATTAGCGATGATCCTTGGTTTCTTCGCTGCAGATGTAGGCTATTCTTGAACCCGGCCTGCATTATTTGCACAGTCTGCAAACACGAGACTACGAGACGGAAGGGCTCACCTTGACGGTGTCTGATTCGTCGACGAGATAAACGGTCTCCTCCACATTGCCCAGGATGAGGTTCATGTGGCCATCGTACGCCTGTAGAGCCATTCAGAAGCATCAGAAGAAAAAGAGGGGAAACAAGGTCAGTCTGTCGCACAGACCTGAGTGTCGGACCTTAGGCGATAGGGCCGGCCATGATCGCAATGGCGCAGCAGATCTGTCCTTCGTGCGGGTTGATTTGTAGAGGATGCCAAGGAATGCCACTCACATGCAGCGTGCCTCGCACCTCTCGATCACCACGTAGCTTGACGTACACCCGTTCTGAGAGCGACAAGCGAATCAGGTCGAACGGTTCATTTACACCACTGGCAATTCCCACGTCCGCGCCCGTGTCAGCCATCTTGCTTTCCGATGCCTCACTGGCGTGCGCTCGAACAGGGAGCGACCAAGTTGTACTGCGGCTTCGCTCGGGATTAGTGAGCGTTTTGCAGTGTCGTCTAGATTGGATGGCAGAAGTACTTGAACTCAAAGCAGTCAGCAGTCAGATATTCAGAAGCTGCAGCCGTCATCCGAAAGCGCGCGATTCCGGGTGTCGAAGACTGCTCCTTCATGGAAGTGTGGCTGGGCACAGCAGTGAGAGAACAGAGGATCAACGGGTGGAAGGCTCGACGCGATGATCGCTATAATAGTAATACATACACTCGCGGAATGCCAGAATGACTTTTGACTTGAGATCAATCAAGACTTCTTCTCCAACCCCTCGTTCACCGCACGCAGTTGCTCAAGGTACGACTTCGACGGCGTGCAACCGAGCACAAGAAAGCAGATACTCTGCGCGACGAGTGTCCAGCTGCAGGAGGGAAGCAAAGCTTGCACCTGAGGTTCCACGATGGGGAAACATTACTGCGGTACGTCTCCGCTTCCACCCGCTCCTTGACTGGATGCATCGCTCATCCTTGACTTCTGCAGACTATTGCGACGTCTTTCTCACGCATGATTCCACATCGGGTACGTCATTACCTGCGTTCAAAGTTGATATTGTGCAAGTTCAGAGGCACTGATCCCGCACCTCCGCGTTACGCATAGTGAGAAAAGCGCACAACAGCGGAAGAAATCATTTGCAGAACGTCCGCGACTACTATGTCGGCGAGTACTATTCCCCTTGAATATGCGTCTTTTTCAGTCAGAGCTGACTCTATCGATGAAAATGTGTGGCGGTATGTTCTCTTAGGCATCGATAAGGCGCAGGCGCAAGCGATCATCAATTCAATCGTTGCGAACTATGATGCAAAAGGACTTGCACGGCCGCAAGCCTTTCAGCAAGGAACAGATGTGCAAGCGATGGGCTTAGGACATCCACCCCCCTTTGCAGGGCCGGGAGGGATGGGCCGAGGTCCCCCAGCCGGAGCATGGGGCTCGCGGCCACCGCCGCAAATAGGCTCTGGTGCTCCCATCCGACTAGGCGTCGATGCCCCTCAACAGTTCTCTGGGCCACCACCAGGCATGGGCATGCCCATGGGCATGGGGGTGCCAAACGGCATGGCAGGCGGTCCGCGTGCGCCACCAAATTTTGCCCAACCTCCCCCGAGCTTCGCTCAGCGTCCGCCAAATTTTGCTCAGCCACCACCTGGCTTCGTCCAGGGGTCCCCAACAGGCTTCGGTGGACAGCCTGGATCAGCACAGAATCCGCCGCCGCAAGGAGCCGTATATGGTCGACCACCACCAGCTTTGGGCGCACAGCCAAGTTTCTCCCAGGGGCCCCCGCCTGTAGATGCTGGAGGGCCGCCACGGCCGCTGGGGGGATACCGGTGATCGTCTGGCATCATTCAGATGCCCTATTCGGCTGGTTGGATTGGCGATTTATGTTGTATAGTAGTCGTGCAAAATTCTGGCTAAGCTACAGTTATGCGTCTCTACTCTTTGCGAAGCTTTGCCTTCTTTCGCTTTTTGTTCCCTGATGCAGCGGCAGCTGCGAGCTCTGCCTTGCGCTTGTTCCGCTCTCGTGTTTCCCCAAACTTCTCGTCTTGCATCTCCAATTTGGCCGTACGCTTGGCCGTCATGACCTTGTTGAGCTTCTCCAAGATCCGTTCTTCTCCCACCTTCTTCCGCCCTTGCGTGCCTGCTGTGTCTGTGTAACCCTTGAGCTCCTTAAGCTGGACGCCGATCTTTGCCTCGATGCTCTGGATCAACTCGACATCGCGTTCGGTCACAAAGCTGACCGCCCAGCCCGATTTTCCGTTACGCGCGGTACGGCCGACACGATGAACGTAGTCTTCCCAGTTGGCAGGAACATCGAAATTGACCACGCACTGCACCTCGGGAATGTCCAGCCCACGGCTGCCGACATCCGTTGAGACGAGGATGGGGACGCGGTGTGCGCGGAAGGCGTGCAAGTTGGCAAAGCGTGTAGATTGAGGGAGTAAAGAATGCAGCGATACGTTGGGGATGGAGAGCTGCGTAAGTAGGCGCGAGAGCTGCTCTGCGACGAGGGACCGGTTGACAAATATGATGGTCGGCGTCGCTTTCAGTCGGCTCTGCACTTCGTCCTCATCATCACTGTCGTATCCTTCTTCCTGTCCTTGTGCTGCGTCGTCGTCAAACACATCTTCTGCTGCATTCTTATCGCCAGAGTCATCTGCAGTGGCGTCAGCCTCTGTTGCATCTGAAGGAGCCCGTATTCGCCTTCCAGCTGGCGAATGCTTGAGCAGATGAAAGAGGTGCACCTCGCGCATGTGACTCGGCACGAGGATGTACCGTTGGATCAGCATTTCCGGTGTGGTTGTCGGCTGTTCGATCTTGCACACCAGCGGAGGACCTTTCTTGGGCCTCGCTTCGCCCGCTGGTAATCTACGTAGTGCACTCTCGGCATCTTCTTGGCCCTTTTTGACCAAAGCATCGATTGCTTCGGTCAACGTAGCGGTGAACAGGAGGGTCTGCCTACGCTCAGCCGGTGGCAGCACATCATTGAAGAGATACTGCAGCTGCGGCGCAAAGCTCTTGGTGAGCAAGCGATCCGCTTCATCCAGAACGACGAATCTGCACCTGCTTAGCAACCCTCCGACCGCAGCCGCGTTGCTCTGCAATATGTCCACAAGGCGACCAGGCGTAGCGACGATGACGTGCGGTCTTGAGTCGGCCAGCTGCGATGCCTGTCGAAGCTGATCTACGCCACCAACGACAAGAGCGCAATTCAATCCCATAGACGCGCCGCCATGCTTCACACCTTGCGCCACGGCCAGGAACTGCTCATGCAACTGCACGGCGAGCTCGCGTGTCGGCGTCAAGACAAGGGCAAAGCCAGCGACGGGATCGACGTACAGACCTTGCAATATGGGGAGCGCGAAGCACAAAGTCTTGCCTGCTCCCGTCTGTGCTCCACCAATGACGTCCCGCGGAACCGCCGCTGATGACGAGGCAATGGCCGAGGAGGAGGCCAGGATCGGCGGGATGGTCAGCGCTTGGATTGGTGTGGGCGTATGAATGGACAGGTGCGAAAGGGAACGAATGAGAGCTTGGCTTACACCAAGCGATGCGAATGTATAGGAAGATAACGAGTCTTGATCAGAGTCATTATCCTTTCCTTTCCCTTTGACATCGAATTTGATGCTAGTCTCGCTGGAGGGCATGGTGTCGACTGGGGGCATACTTTGCGTCCCATCCTCGGGCGCAGGCTCCCTTCCTTTATTCCCGCAGTCAATGGAAATTGCTCCGACATCGCCACTCTGTGGTGCCTTTCCTTGCGCTTCATTTCTTCGGTTCCTTTTGGCTAGCTTCGCCACGCGTACCCGTGAAGGCCCCGGCTCAAAGTCTGCCGGCTCGGCCTGCAGGGTGTCCGCCATGCTTGTAGAGGCGGCGCTGTGGTGATACGCGACCGAGCAGCCTGCTATAAGTCGATAAGCTACCAGGAGAGTGCTATCCAGAGGTTCTCCAGTACTTGACACGGTGGTCGAGAGGGGGGTTGCAGGTGTGTATCAGGCACAAGAAGACGCCTGTGCGAATGAGGTGCGGATGGATGATTGAGAAAGAGAGGCGAGACTAGAGGGGAGCATAAAAGTGTCATAACTGAGGAACCAACGTCGGAAACACGGAACTCGGGGCACACTTTTTTTTTTTGGCCAGCATCTGTGCACACTTGGCATAACTATCAACGCATCAACAATTTTGACATGCTGCTGCTATTTAGATTGGGCTATTGGGTTTCTTCAAGACGTGGGCTCCTACATCGTCCGTTCCCCATCGCTACACCTTGCATGGACCTGTGGATGCTCAGAAAGTGCGTGACTAAACGAACTCCGAAATCCAACCCAGAGTGTTGATTGAGTGGACGGAGTCCCGAAAGGTCGCTTAAAAACGATGGAGAAGAAAGGCAGCGGCGGCTCCCAGCTGTCGCAACTCAAAGCGCGGGTTCACTCCGAAGGTCTACACGCATTCGCTTCAGCAGGCGGCAAAAAGGGAAAGGGAAAAGGCAAGCAGCGCGCTGCCAACGGAGCTGGTGATGGCGAAGGACAAAGAAGAGGGGCCAAGTTAGCTGCACTGTCGTCTTCATTCGCATCAGACTTCGACACCAAGCTCACCAAGCCAAAGCATGAGGTGCTGGGCAAACGCAGCGGCCCTTCTACCGTCAAAGGCGCCATCGGCCGACCAGCACAAGCCAAGTCTGGTGGCATAGCAGCTCGAGAGGCGACCTTGCTTCCAGAACTGCAAAACCGACACAAGAGCGGGACATTCGTTGATCGACGATTCGGAGAGAACGACCCAAGTTTGAGCTTGGAGCAGCGCATGCTCGAGCGCTTCACCCATGAACGACAGAGGGAACGAAAATCGCAGGACAGCGGGAGACCAGGAGGGAGAGGTAAAGAGAGCGTTTTCAACCTGAATGATGGAGAGGAAGAAGGTCTCACGCATTATGGCCAGAGCCTCAGCACTTTCGATGACGATGATGACATGCTCGGTCTACCGTCTGACGAAGAAGGCCGTGAGTGCAATTCAGGCTTGTTTCAGTTCTGCAGCCTTACTGAAATAGAATCGTATGCCAGCACCTCTGCAACTGCCCGAGGACGCGGAAACGGAAGACGCGGAAGGCAAAGAGGATCGCCCCCGCACAAAGGCAGAAATTATGGCCGAAGTCATGCTCAAGTCCAAGATGGCCAAGCACGAAAGACAGCAAGTCAAGGAGGCTGACGATGATGTGCGGCGCGAGCTGGACGATGAGCTCGATGATCTTCGCGGCTTGCTCATGGAAGTACCCAGCGCGCTGGCCAATGGGGTACACGCCAGCGAGCCCATGGTCAAGAGTCGAAAGAGGCTCTTGGAGGAGGAGATGAAGGCTCGGGAGGAAGAGCGCGCCAAGGTGGGCGTGCCGCGGGAAGTTCCTGTAGAAGGACAGGACAGCAGGGCAGCGTCTATTGCAGCATTGACGACTGCTGCAGATACGCACAAAAAGCCAGTGTCTGCGCTCGCGCCGGCACCAGCTTCGGGGCCCGGTTACGATTCTGTCCTGCGCGAGCTCGCTTTTGAGCGCCGTGCAAAGCCGAGTGACAGGCTCAAGACTGACGCTGAGCTGGCAGCCGAAGAGGCAACGCGCTTGCAGTCGTCAGAGCGTGCACGACAGAGGCGCATGCGCGGCGACGATGAGGATGACGACGATGCTGGAGATGCTGAAGGTGGTGGCAAAAGGAAGCGGGGCAACGGGAAGGAAAGGGCGAAAGCACGGCGAGTTCCAGGTGGAGACGACCTGGAAGATGACTTTGATCTTGGCGGCGTCACTGCTGGCGAAGCGTATGGGCTTGGCCAAGGGTTAAATGCATTGCGGGATGATGATAGCGACGAGGGTGATCAATACATGGACAGCGTATCCGATGTCGAAGTGGATTCGAACGAGCTACAAGCTGCAGCTTCTCAAGATGGCGATGAGGATGAGGATAATGAGGGTAACGACGAGGAAGACGAGCACAACTACAACGACTTGGCGGACTTGGACGGCCTCGCGGAGCCCGGGGAACAGCTCGATTCTGACGAAGAAAAAGTTGCCGGCGCTCATGCTGAGGCGCTTGTGGACAGCAGAATGCGGGGAAAGAAGAGCGCGAATGCAAAAAAGGCCTCGAACGATTCGTCGTCGAAGACATCCGGCTCGACGCTCCCTTTCACCTTCCCATGCCCGGCAACGCACGACGAATTCCTGGACATTCTCGAGGACAACAAAATTGCAACCAAGGATGTGCCAACAGTGATCAAGCGCATCAGGACGCTGTACCACGCGAGCCTGGCGGAGGACAACAAGAACAAGCTGCAAGTGTTCCTGCGCGTGCTGGTCGATCATGCCATCTATTCCGCGGACCAAGCCCAGCGAGCCAGTGCCGCCGCTGCCGCGGGGGCCTTGAAGAAGAGCGGGAGTAGCGCTGCGGCACGAGAGGCGGCCGTGGCTGAGACAAGAGTCAACGTGGCGCTTCTCAACTCGCTGCTGACCCCCATCTTCGACATTTCCAAGACATACACTTCGAGTGCCGCGCACATATTTGTCGCGAAACTGCGACTAATGCAGCGAAACCTGACGCGCGGACTCGCGTCGCAGTCTGTCGCGTCCACGTCGCCATCTTCATCAACCTCGACCAAGAGCGTCGCGCGGACGTGGCCGGGCTTTGCGGAGCTCTCATTCTTCCGGCTCGCGGGCCTTGTGTGGCCAACAAGCGACCGGCAGCACGCTGTCGCGACGCCGATGATGATTCTCGTCGCTCAGTACCTCGCGCACTGCCGGATCCGTGCTGCAAGCGCGATCGCCGACATGGCGTGCGGCCTTTACCTGTGCACGCTCGTTGCGAGCTTCGAACGGGACAGCAAGCGGCTCGTGCCGGAGGCGCTCAACTTTCTGCACTACGTCTGCGCACTACTTGCGCCGCTGAACAGGCGCGCGAGGGCCAGCGTGCAGGCCAAGGCGGCCGAGGCGGGTATTCCGATGCTCGATTTCGATGCGGAGCACATGCGGAAGCTGCGTCTGCCTTTGCGGGGCAAAATGAGCGGACAACCGGTCAAGGGGGACTCATCAGGCGTCGACCTGAGCAGCAACAACAACTGCACGGGTCCCGCTGATCTGCTAGGCCTGCTCATATTCAACGACGACATCTCAAGCGATGCGGGCGAAGCAGCGCGCGTGCAGCTCTTCTCAACGTGCCTTTCGTTGCTGCAGACGTTCTCGGAGATGTGGAACGGCAGCGAGAGCTACGTCGAGCTGTTCGAGCCAGCAGAGCAGCTTCTGGCCTTGACGCAGCCGTTCCTGTCCAGCGCGACGAAGGAGCCGCAACAAGCCGGTTTTGAGCGTGTCAGTGAACAAGCGTCGTCCCTGCAGGCATCGTTGGGCAAGCGCATCCAGTTCGCGCGGGGCTCGCGGCGTACGCTGAGGCTGCAGGCGCACCGTGCGCTCGCGATCGCCAGCTACGTGCCCAAGTTTGAGCAGAACGGCTTCGACCCGCGACGGCGGCAATTCGACCCGGACGTGGAGCGGGCGCAGCACGCCAAGCTCACGGCGCTCGTCAAGAAGGAGCGCAAGGGCGCCGTGCGGGAGCTGCGCCGTGACGCGCAGTTCGTCGCGCAGGTACGCGAGCGCGAGCGCCAAGAGGAGGAGAAGGGGTACAAGCGCAAGATGGACAAGATCATGTCCGAGTTACAGACGGAGAGGTGAGGAGTCGCTTTCTATTTATCTATCTACCTATCTTTCTTCGTTTGGAAATGGCGCGTGCTGCACACAGATACTGATTCGCTTATGTTGTCTTTGTTTTGCAAATCAGGTCGGAGGAGAAGAAGTTGGAGAAGGAAAAGGCGCGTATGAAGAAACGTCGTTGAGATGCATGCGCACGTACTGTACTTTTTTATCAGATGCGAATTCCAACAAGGAGACGATCATTTTTTCTCTCTCCGCATGCTACCAGGGCAAAGCCGGCATGGTGAATGCAGCGCCAGCAGCCCGCACAGGCCAATGATGTCGCCAAGGAAGCACGCTGCTGGAGACCGACACATGATGGGAAGAGGGACAGTTATCGGGTGCATGTACGAAGGCAGACGAGTATAACCTGCGTCCGCTCACGTCGATGCATTGACGAACGTTGCACCACAGCAGGAGCGGCTATGACGTGCATGTGCAGCCTAGAATCTGGATGCAGGCTCGTGATGGCTGCGCCGAACGCACGTCTTTTGAATCGTTGGATCAATCGTCAATCCTATTTGCAATGGTGGGCGACGCGGGGCAAACCCTCTGCGTGTACAAAGTATGCTCTTGTTGGCGAAGGCGGAGAGCACGCTGTGCTGCGTGCTCTTGGTAGTAGTAGTAGTAGTAGTAGTAGTAGTAGTGATAGTAGTGGTGGTATGCACGCTGGGCCAGATAGGCACGATGTCCTCCGAAGGGAGTCCCTTTATCTACTATGGATGTACCACGAATATTCTTATGCAGCGAGAGGCGTAATAACTTGGTTGCACGCCTGGTTGCTTGCGTCGAGAGTTACAGCAGTCCATTGGTCCGTGCACGCCCCTCGCACGTGAGCCCAGCGGAAGCACGAATACTGTCCAGCTAGTCCACTGCCGTGAGATGCCCGGCAAAGGGCCAGATCGTGGTCGCAGGCAGACAGCACTAGTAGTAGAAGTAGCAGTCAGTAGTCAACAAGTCTCATCTGCTCTGCTCTGCGCCACTTTCGAGTGCACTGGTCACTGGCACCGTGCGTGCCCACGCAACTTCTGTAACCTGTTCCGCCCCACCGCCCCAATGCCGTCGAGCTGTAACGTACGTACATTTGTGTTCGTTCATGCTGGCTCAAACGTTTGAAGTTCAGACTGGACACATCTAGCATCCATCCCAACATACCGAGCTCCCTTCGCGAGTTGCTGATGGTACCTACCCCTCCTTGAAAAGAAGCTCCAACAGCCCCCCGCGCCCGAAGAGAGCTCGTTTCAACCGATTCATCTTGGTCGCAATCTCGGTGAGTGATCTTCGCGCCCCCTTCTCCCCCACCGCTCTCTTCCACTCTTCCCTCGTGGGTCTCATCGAGCCAGCGAGAGCGCCGTAATGGATCGCACAGGCGCAGATGCAGCAAAAGGGGGCAGGCGCTGGTATTATCAGCTAGAGCTCTCGGACTTGTTGGACATCAACCAGATGGCGTTACGTGCGCCATCAGTGAATGCATACTTGATCACCACCCGCGACCATCTCAGCGTGCTGTACCGCTCGGCTCGTAGGCATCACCTGCGCCAGCGTCAGCACCTTTCCTTCGCTTCTAACTGCACGAAAAATGTTCGAGAGACATAAAACGCTGACTGTCGCTCCCGCGCGTTCCGCTTCTCTTCCATGGCCCATTTCACTCTTTCGCCTGACCACTTGCTTCGAACGAATCCGTGTTCTGTTTCCCTGACGACCTTCCAGTGAGTGACTCTCGTCTCTTTTCAATCGCATCGACCTGTGCGCGCTAGCCGCTGCTCCAGGGAGTTCGAGAAGTCTCGGAACTGCTTTTGCTGACAACGAATCATCGCGTATGCCTTACGATGACGGCGACGATGTGAACAGGTAGTAGCGCACGCAAAAATTTCAAAAATGGCTTCGCCAGCAGACAAGCTCTCCACGCCCGCCAATGGCCCAGCCATCAAAGGCAGCTCCAACAGGACACGCGGCGCTAGTCACATTGTGCGTTCCTTCGTTTCGCCTTTTTCTTTAAGCCCCTGTGGCTCTTGTGTGTAGCAGCAGCATGCGTCGCACTCCCCTTCCTTCGCTCACTTGATCCTGCAATGCGGCGCCGGTCTTTGCACTCGTTTGCTTTGTCCTTGCTCGGTCTCGAGTTGGGCGCCTAGGGACGGGCCCGACGATAGGAATCTTCGTTCACCCCTAAATGTGTGCCTCTCAAGCAGGCTCAACGGGCGGGCGCATTTGCTGCAATTGCTAGCCCACCCTTCTTTGGTCCCTGGGCTTTGCTTGGAAGACTTTGTGCTCCCTCGCCAGGTTGGGCGGAGATTCCTCAGATGAGCCAGGTAGACGTATGCATAGGGACGAAGGGCATGCGGATGCTGCGAGCTGCGCTGCTACTCTCTGCGATCGTGCCCGGCGTCTTTCGCGTGGCGGCTCGGGGCTCAGATCAGGAATCAGAACGACTCCGGGTGGTGCGAGCGGAGACCGGCCCAGAGGCGAAGGCAAGCATGGAAATAGGATCAGCAGAAATACCTGCCGAATCCTTTTTGCGTACGAAGCAGGATCTGAAATCATCTAAAGGCATTCGGGTTGCTGTATGCGGAAGAATCAGAGCGCAGACGTCATACTCATGACCGCATTTTTCCATGTATTCACTTGCTTCTTTCCTTCGCACAGGACTTCAAATCCGCCACGACAGGAGTTGCATCCAAGGCGATGCGCAATGAGCTCAACAAGCTCGTCGCCGGCATCGAAGACCCAGCGGCGCGCAAGGCGTTCGACACTGAAATGAGCGGTTTCTTCACCCTTTTCAACCGCTACCTCGCCGAGAGGGCAAAGGGCGAGAAGCTGTGCGTCTTGCAGATGAGGCGCTGTCATCGCTGTTGCCGTGGTGGGGCTGCTGACGAGCTTGTCATGATCTTTTGTCCGCAGCGTCTGGGATAAGATCAAGGCACCCTCCGAGTCGCAGATCACGCCGTACGACAAGCTGCCTGAGCCGACGAACCCGCACGACGCGCTCAACAAGCTCGCTGTGCTCAAGCTCAACGGAGGTCTCGGAACCACCATGGGCTGCGTCGGCCCGAAGAGCGTCATTGAAGTCCGCGATGGGATGACCTTTTTGGACTTGAGTGTTAGGCAGATTGAGGTGAGAGGAGTCGGCAGAAAGTCTCTTTGGAAGGTGTCCAAGGTTGCCTGATCAACCATGGTGCATTCATTTTCCACACGGCAAATAGCACTTGAACTCGCAATACGACGTCAACGTGCCGTTCATCCTCATGAATTCTTTCAACACTGACGATGACACTGCGCGCGTCATCCAAAAGTACGCCAACCACAATGTGCAGATCCTCACGTTCAACCAGTCAAGATACCCACGTGTCAACAAGGAGTCGCTCCTGCCGTGCCCGCGCAGCGCGACCAGCGACAAGAACCTCTGGTACCCTCCCGGCCACGGAGATCTGTTCGATGCCATCAACAACTCGGGCCTGCTCGACCGGCTGATCGCCGCGGGCAAGGAGTATCTGTTCGTGTCCAACGTCGACAACCTCGGCGCCGTCGTTGACTTCAACATCTACCAGCACATGATTGACTCGCAGGCCGAGTTCATCAGCGAGGTCACTGACAAGACCAAGGCGGACGTCAAGGGTGGCACTTTGATCGACTATGAAGGCACGATCCGCCTGCTGGAGATTGCGCAGGTGCCCTCAGAGCACGTGGAGGACTTCAAGTCGATCAAGAAGTTCAAGATCTTCAACACCAACAACCTTTGGCTCAACATCAAGGCCATCAAGCGCGTGCTCGAGGACGAGGAGCTGGACCTGGAGATCATCGTCAACAACAAGAGCCTCGACTCGGGCGAGGCCGTCATCCAGCTCGAGACCGCCGTCGGGGCGGCGATTAAGCACTTCCGCGGCGCCAAGGGCGTCAACGTGCCGCGCTCGCGCTTCCTGCCCGTCAAGAGCTGCTCCGACCTGCTGCTGATCACGTCGGACCTGTACAGCCTGCAGCACGGGCAACTGATCATGAACCCGCAGCGCATGTTCAACCAGACGCCCGTCGTTAAGCTTGGCGACACGTTCAAGAAGGTCGCTCACTTCCAGAAGCGCTTCAAGACCATCCCCAACATCATCGAGCTTGACCACCTCACTGTCAGCGGCGACGTCGTTTTTGGAAGGAACATCACGCTCCGCGGCACGTGCATCATCGTCGCCACGTCCGGCAATCACATCACCCTTCCGGACAACTGCGTCATCGAGAACAAGCTCATCAGCGGATCTTTATCGTGAGTGCACGGTTTAACCCCCTATCTGTTGAGGATTCATTCTTTTGAGAAATGCCTTTGGCTGACGCATGCGGACTGCTTGGTGGCCTCTTCGCCACGCTCAGCGTCATCGAACACTGAGATGCTGATTGTACGTCTGCAGGAGTCCTCGACAATAATAATCACACACGGTCCCTTTGCATCCATCCACTCACCCAAAAGCGTTTCTAACGGCTGAACCTCCAGCGACACCGGGCTCCGCTTCCGCGTATCGCAACAAAGCATTCTAACAAAGCATTCCATCAAGTCTCCCTGAGCACGTACACCGCACGCGTGCGCCCCTCTCGAAATGAAATGCATAATTTGCTTTCTTTTCTGATATTATGCCTGGACAGGCGTTCTGCTGACAGCTATTACCTCACGGCGTCCGCGAGCGACTGGCTTTGTATTATGAACCAAGATCGCGCCGCGTTAAATACGACCATCTGCTGACAGTAGGCTGGCCTCCTCGCGCAGCATTTTCGACGAGGATGCAGTCGTAACCGAGCGCGTTGGTCTTCACAGGCGAGCCAATGACGCACTGGTCCGAGTTGACACCCACGAGCAGCAGCGTCTTGTCATCGCTCAGGTGCTGCGCCATGGCCGAGATGCCAGTGCCGGCCGAAGGGCCCAAAGGCAGCTCTTGTGCACCCAGGACGTGCACCACTTTTCCTCGGGACCCTGCTGCGCTTTTCGTCAGACCGTGTCCAAGTTCTTGTTCAGCGCTGTGTTCCACTGGCCTCTCATAAGCCCCTTGCCTGCTTGGACTTTTGTGCCATCGTTGTCGTCAGCGACGACAGCACCTATGTCGATGCACATAGAGACCATCACGGCAAAGGGCGTGAGCTGTCTGCGGCTCGGTCAGCGCGCGGCTAAAGTTATGGCTTATCGACGCAGACATGCTCGTCACCTCGTCGGTCAGCCCCCAGTTGAGGAAGACGGGGTTGATGCCGGCTCGGCGGCAGGCGGGTATCATCGTCTTCACAAGGCGTGGTGTGCGCGAGTCGTGGCTGCTCAAATGAGGCGAGCGCGAAGAGAGCCATGCCTACGCACGAGGCGGCAGGTCGAGGAGTAGAGCGCGGCGCGGCAGAATGCTTTCTGCGATGCAACCACCGTCACTGATGGACTACACTGCGCGGACAACAGGCTTGAGTCGGCACGAGGTAACAGGATGAAACAGCTCCAGAAAACTCTTCTTGTTCACTTTCCATTTCCCTCGCCAAAGGCGATTTGGTCTCCGGGTCGGATCTCCGTCATCGTGGACCTGCCGTCACGGTGGCGAGCGCATGGTTTGGTCTAACAGGGTCCGAGCACAGCGACCGCCTTTAGGGGAAAGTGATGCAGATACTCAGTCAATCGCGCATTCAATGTGCTCTTTTTGTTGTGCAGCTTCTGGTATGAATCGCCTGATTTCAGAAAGGTGGGCCATGTGTCCATAATGTCTGATGGTGCGGGGGGATGTGAGACGGACATGCCTCAGATTCCGACGCGTGAAGACCTGACCATCCTCGAAAGTCGAACTGCTTTGCTTCAAGTCATCAACCTTTCCATTGCCACGGCCATGTTTGGTGTCAATTCGTGAGAATCTTTCTTACAGGCAGCCATCCCTCGCTATTCTGAGCCAGCAATACCTATAGCAAGTCGATTCGTATTTTGTCATGGATGACATCATGAGCCTGCTTCCTATAGCGATAAAGAGCAATGCCTGAATGAGGCCATAATCGATATGAAGACTGCGATAGTGGAGGCTTTGATGTCACAGTCATTTCACAGCGGCGGATCGCCACTCGTTCAAATACTCTCGCATCGACACCCGCATGAGAGCAGTCTCACGGCCGATGGTTGTTCAAAGCTCTTCTAAGCCCGTGAGTTCGACAATGTACTGCTTGACCAGCTCATCTCCATTGATTCTGGTCAACGTATCGATAAGGTTCAATTCCATACTTGCGTTGACCGAGCCAAGGAGCAGCTGCAGAGCCAGGGAAATATTTCGAACATCCATTTCCTAAGCTCATCTCCTCAACTCGCCATTCGATTGTGCAACGAGCTCGAAAAGAAAGGTGTTAGTAAAATGTGATGAGAGAAGGGGAGGAGGAGGGGGGGGGGGACAGAAGAATTCGGGGCTCGCATCAGTTTACGCATGGCGCATAAAGAAAACAGAGTTCGGCGTCTTTCGAGGGAGGAGCTCGAATTTATCAACACCGTCGTGACCAATGCGTTCCCTACAATGCCACCAAGCGAAAGGAGCGACCTTTGGGCCGTTGACATGGACAGCATAAAGGTAGCAGCATGGAAGTCAAGGATGGGCACGATAACTGGCGACGATGTCTTTGCACTCGAGGAGATCCAAAAGGGTGAAGAAATATTGTAGTACACTGGCGAGGCCATCATTAAGAACGAAGCGAGCATGCGTGGTCCCAACACCAAGATGGTTCACATCTTCGGAACCGGCCCGTAAATTGACGGGGCTCACGGCGGAAACAAAGCCTCGATGTTGCAGCACTCCTGTACGCCCAACTGGCAGATCGAAACAACGTGATTAGCTGAGGATTGAAGCGGACTACAAAGTCGAAGCGGGTGAAGGGCTAAGCAGGGGTTACTTGATGGTTGTCGGTAGTGCCAAGGAAATGACCGTCTGCTGCTGTAGGTTGTATAAGTGTCACAGGTCGATCGGTCGCGTCCGAGCAAGCGAAGAGCTAGCAAAGAAACATAAGCGCTCGCGCAATGGAATGCTCAGAATACGAATGCGCTCAAGGTATATATACAAGAGAAGAGGGGTTGAGTTGGGATTGCATAGAGATGGAAGATTCATATTCCAAACTTCTTGTTTTCTCTACTCTTCTTTGTTCTCTTTGCACGGGAGGCCGCCATCGTCCCGTTGCCCACAACTCTCTCGCCCCGCTCCCTTCATTGTCTTCATTCCCATCGCCCTGTTTTTCTTCATCTTCCAAGCGAACGGCCTGAAATCTGTCGCGATAACGCGCAACGGACTTGCTTTTGTCATCCTCGTTCGCACGGTAGCATCGATCCCGCTGTGCACGCACTCCTCCTTCACAGCAGTTGTCCTACATCCAGTCGGTTACAGGATGGGCAGGCTGGCCCTCTTACGCCCGGCGCTGTCACCCGGACTTCAAGCGGAGCGACAGAGGAAGAGCAAATACCGCCTGCACGATTTCGCATCTCGTGCTTCTCAACGAGGCAGAGCTCTGGCAGCACGCGCCTTCATGGCCCAATATTCAGCGCTAATGGTAAATGTCAAACGGGGTATATTCGGATTCGAAGACAACACATCTTTGAGGAGGCCTCTAGGCGGCCCAAACTGCATCAAGCAGCTACCGGCTCCATTGCTTCCAGGTTCTTCTCGGCATCTCGCGCCTCGCTCATCAGCCCTTCCAGCTCTACCTTCCTGAGCGCATTTTGTTTCTCGAAAGACTGAATCAGCAGGCGGACGGATTCAATCGAACTGAGCAGCAGCGGCGTGGACCATACCTGGCCGGCGATCAGCGTCGTGTTGTTGGAGTGTGTCCCGAAGTTGGTTCGTGGAACTTGCTGCAACGCTCGTCGAGCTGCCTCGCGTCGCTCATCGCTGGCTTGCGCGAGGACTTCTTCGCCGTCCTCTTCATCCCTGGCGATGACAGAGTTGATGTCGGCGGTGATCGACTTGCTCGGTGAAGTGGTTGGAGTTGCTGCAGCATCGTTGCCCTCAAGGTCACCACGGTCGAAATCCGTGCGAGAAGTGTCGACAATCACGTCGCCTTTTAACAATTGTTTGGCACGCTGATGCAGCTCGAAAAAAGTTGAGTCATTACCCGTGCCACTGCCGCTGCCCAGGTCTTCTACACGACTTGGCACGGTAGCAAGGCGGCCCGTGTGACCAGGGGAGAGAAGGCGCGCGATGGGTGTGGGCGAGCCGCCTTTACCATCGACCTCGCGTCGAAGCTGGTGCAAAGAACGCTCGGGACTGCCAAACTGTGCGCCTTGAGAGGCATCCCCCCCAGCACCGCTGCCGCCACCAGAAGCAAGCCCAACTTCGTCTTCTGGCATGGGAGGAAGGCCGACGCCGCTGTTGATAGAGGCTGCTACGACTGACTCCCAATCGCTCTCTCCATACTGTCTGATGAGGAAGTCGGTCAGGACGCGCAGGCGCCGCCGAAGCGTCTCTACTTCGATGGTTTTGCTCTCGTTGCTGAAGGTCGAATGTAATGTTTGGGTATGGTCAGCTAGACGGAAAAGAAAGGGAATCACATGGTATGTCAAAACTCACTCTCGCTGCAGGCCTTTGAGGATCTGTAGGGCACGGGAAACACTCAAAGTGAGCAAGGCGAATGAAGGATGAATGCCGGTCAAAAAGCACTCACTAGTTCCTGAGAGGCAAATTCTCGTTCCAACTTTACCGCCGCCTGTCGTGTCAAACCCCCTCCCTCGGTGCGCTGCGTCGTGCAAACGTGACTCCGGAGATGTAAGCCACGCACTCAGCAAACACGAAGATGGGACACCCATTCTTTGTGTATCTTACCTTCTGAAGGAGCTTCACTTTCTCTTTCTCCATCTTTAGCGATTTCTTGTTGTCCTCGAGCTGTTTCTCGAGCGCGATGATGCGAGCGTCCTTGCCCTCGCTCAGCTCGATCAGCTGATCGACCTGCCTCTCGAGCGCAACCTGTTCTTCTTCTGGGTCCAGGTATTCGTAGTCTTCGAGTATATTCGCTTCATCGCCTATCGTCTCTGATGTATGGTCGGGCTTTTCATAGCTTCCGTCTCCATCGGGCCGCTCTTGTACGCCAGAGTCAACATCTGAGTCTGAATCGGATTCATCTCTTCCTTCGCCATCGCGTTCATCGTCGTCTTCTTCTTGTCCTTGTTCGTCCTCCTCCGTGATGGACAAACTGCTTGGCTTCCTTCTGTTGCTAACTCCAACAGTCAGCGTGGTCGTCGCGTTCGCCCCTACGCTCCTCCTGCCTGTCTTTAGCTGTCCTCGGGCCGAATTTGCTGCGCTTGGCCCGGACAGGACGTCAGTGTTATTGCCTCTGTTGGGCGCTGGCACGTCGCTGGGCACGAGCGACGATCGTCGCCGTATCCGCTCGAGCAACGCACGCGTCGGTGTCTGTGGTGGCCTGGAAGGCGAGACGAGCATGGAGCGTGAGGGAACCGCGTTGGCGAAAGACTGGCGCCCCTTTTTGCGCGTCGCCAGGCCGGCGTTCGCGTTCGTTGACATCTCGCACGATATAGAACCACTTGCGTTAGTGGACCGAGGCACCAGGTCAGGGAAAGAGTCGGTGTGTTTATAGCTTGTACAGAAGACCGAGACGCACTTACGTCTCGAAGCGTTAAATAACACCAACAAACAACAGCTTATTAGAGCGAACGGAGAGATGAAAGACTTTTCGTGAGTGTTGTTCTCTCGCGCACATCTTTGCGCGCGTTCGTTTTCCAACCGCCGTCACGTGGCCCTCACCGCTCGCACGGACCACAACAAGCACAACGCAATCCCCGATCCATTGCGTCTGCTTGTAGCTTCTTGTTTCCAACCACCGTCCGTACTTACTCCGCTATTGGAATTGAATGCTGCATATCCATAGGCGTATCTACATTCCTCCCAACTCAGAGTTGTAGTTCACTGGGCATCTGAGTGAACGAAAAGTTTGGGAGTCATCGACCTGATCAGTCAAGAAGCGCCAAGGATAAAATTCGGCCATGGCTTCCCTTCGAGGGAGCAGTGCGCAGGTGCTACGGCGCGGGTCCCTTTGGGGATCATCCCTGGGCCAAACAGCCGCGGTAGCAGCACCATGCGCTGCCTCACGCGCAACACTCAGCACACTCGTCAACTCTTCCTCTTCCGATTCGCTCAGAAGTAGCAGGAAGCCTGCTTTGTCGATCCAGCTGTGCGCAGCTGCGAGTGCTCGAGGCTTGCGGCAGGCTCGTGTACTGAAGAGCAGCGCTACTATCTTCAGCAAGGATCGCAGTTGGGTCGACAAGGGCGAGGTCACATACGACGAGCTGAAGCCCGAGACGGAGGCGCCAAGCGGTGTATGTCGCGAACATAGTGAACCCGGATGTCTTTCTGATAACTAGAGCTAAAATCCAATTATCATATGTACTGGCAGCACATCACCCTCATCGACGTTCGAGAGCCAGATGAGGTGGCGCAAGGCATGATCCCATCCTCGGTCAACGTCCCACTCTCGGAGTTTAAGAGCGCGTTCGACGTCAATAAGTCGTCGCGTGGCGCATTCTCGTCCAAGTACGCATTCGATCGCCCGGGCTTCGACGACAAGATCGTCTTTTACTGCCGTAGCGGCAAGAGGAGCACCGAGGCGCAAGACTTTGCACGCAAAATGGGCTGGTGGAACGCGAGAAACTACAAGGGCAGCTGGCTCGACTGGGTCGTGCACGCGAAGAATGAGTGAACGTGGCCGCGGATGGACCGTGGCATTTGATTTGGTCTGAACCTGGCGCATGCAGATTATGCTTCTGTTGCCCGCACGCGTGGAAAAACTGTATGCCTACTTCATTTGGCATCTATGAACATCTGTGCTGGCTAGTTCTCTTCAACTCTGAAAATGACACGATCAAGTCTGTCCATTCGCAGCGTCTCATCCTGTTTGGCCTGTTGAGAAGGTGTTGCTCAATATACCACACCAACAATCTCATCCAAACATCTAGGAGCTTGGCGAGGGCTGAGCTTGTTTCCTTGCTGGAAGTTCCAGGATCTGGATGATATCGTCTCTAAACCTGGCCCCAGAATCTAAACGGAGGAAGGGTGGCTAAGGAGTTTGTTGGATACATGAGGCGGGGCAGTATACTCGAAGTTCTAGCGATATCGCACCGCATCGCACAGTCCTGTCTGTCCCAAGGACCAACCCCGTCTTTTCGGACATGCCAAGATGACAGCGTTGCAGATCGATAGCTACATATGAGTCCGCCTTTGAAAATGCTGAAAGGGGGGAATGGTGAAAAGAGTATACAGTTTGCTCGTGGCGACGAGGTACAGAAAAAAAGAGTGAAGAGGGCAGAATCCGTCTGATATAGATAGGATCGCATCCAAAGCATGCGACGCGTAACCGCTGAGCCCCACCCAAATGCGAAAGTAGTGAGGTGACCACTGCGCACACCTCGCGAGGGCGTTGTATTAGGGGCGCTTAACTTTACTTTTGGGTGATGATGCAATCCACTCTCCCACTCACCACTCTACTGCGACTCGTGTGTCACATGACTCGCAAAGATTGATAGATAGGTTTCGGAAACGACGCATACATACATACATACATACATACATACATACATACATACATATAGAGAGATACATTTCGGTGGGGAGGGGGGTGAGTCGAGCGAGTCACAGTCAGTCGACTCGAGTCATACTTGCCTGCCATTTATTATATGGGGAATATCGGAAGCCGGAACTCGCAGGGGCGTGGGGATGGATGTCACCTACAATATGGCTCGAGGTCCTGAATGACTCGGGTGAGGTTCGAGTGCAAACAGTCAGACCAACGGCCACAACAGCACTCCAAAGCTGTGAGACTGGGTGGCCAGCGGCAGGGAGTACGGCTCGCCGCATACTTGTGAGCATTTTGTCGGCGGCTGAAGGCGAGGGAGAAAAATAAGAGAGTTTGTCAGTGCCGAAGAAGTGCACCGATGCTGTCATACATGCCACGCGGGTTTCTGGCGATACAGCACAGCCTGATCTAGCCTGATTGACAAGGTCCTTGCACCCGATGAGGCGTTCACGGCTGAGCAGTCGTCAGCTATCGTATATATGGTCACCATGCGGGAGAATGCGAACCAAAGCGACGCCAACGAGTATCGATTGTGCTTCACCGTAAACCAGCTTTCAACATTTAATGTTCAACGAGATGATTGCTGATCATGCTTGAAGAGATCACTCTCGTTGGGGCATTTCTTACACCACATTAAAAATGACCTCTTCACACGCTCACTCCGGCAGCCCGGAACCGTACCTCTCCTGCATTCCTGCAACCCTTGTTTCGACGCTATCAGCACTCAAGCTGCAACCCAAGCTGGAAACGCTTTTAAACTCCTACCTCACTGAATGTAGTTCTGCTTCCGGAGAAGACAGGAAAGAAGTAGCGTTCGCGGCGCTCGAAAAGAAAGCGCGACCTATCCTGCTCGATGTTGGTACGGGTAAAAAGGGCACCGCGGAGATTTTGGAAAAGTGGAAGGCACTCCCTGTCGAGCCCGCTGCGTCTGCCCAGCCATCGGAAGAGTCGCACTCGGTTCCATCGTTGACAAGTGGCGGTGCAGCGATTCGCGCTCAGGAAGATGATCAGCCACAGGAGCACGCCAAACAAGACGAATCAGGTTCCGCCTCTATCGAAGGCAAGGCTCCAAAGGTAGTCAAGGAGAATGGTGCGCACAAGATGACTGCGCGCGAGCGGCGTTTGGCAAAAGCAGCAGTAACGTCATCGGCGGCGTCCTGTGATCAGACTGAACATTCGAATGCAGCCACCACTACCTCTCCCACCTCAAAGGAGTCTCCTGTGTCCAAGCTCGTCGACGCATCCTCCGTGCAAGCTCACGCCCCGGGCTTGACCATCCACGCTACGTCGCAAGAAACGCGCTTCTACCTCGATGCAATCGAGACGGCCAGCGGGGAGATTGACCTGAAGAATGTGACCATCTCCATTGGCGAGGGCGGACAGAAAGACTTGCTCGTCGACGCGCATTTGAGGCTGAAGGGGGGTACGCATTATGGACTCGTTGGTCGAAATGGGGTTGGCAAGGTGAGCTGTCAGGACTACGCTTCGGTTCTATCGCTTTCTCTCATGCTCACATTGAGCTTTCTCGGACTTTTATATATGTTGCTCCATTAACGACTGATCGTTTCTGCAGTCCAGTGAGTAACTCGCGACCAATTTTACCGCTCGGCAACGCGAATAGATGCTGATGACATCGCAATTCATTTTGAGTTCCAGCCTTACTGCGTGCGATGGCAGACCGCATCATCCCTGGACTGCCAACAAATTACAAAATTCTGCTCGTGTCACAGGTAGAAAATGAGCTCGTCGCCTTCGAAGGAGAGGAGGACGAACAAGGAAAGAGCAGCGCGGCGCCCATATCGACTGTGCAAGCTGTCCTTGCGGGTGACAGGCAGCGAACGCGCGCTTTAACAGAAGCCAAGTGTGAGGAGAGCTCTATTTCCAAGGCTTTGCTATGGATCGCTAAAAAGATGACTCGCCATGCCACACAGCTCTCAGTAAAGCGCTCGATACTGACACGGACGCAGCGATATCACGAGCCGTGGCCAGCATCGTACTCGCCAGGCGGCGCGATGAGCTGGCCGAAGCAAAGCGCATCTCGCTGCGGCGGAGTGGTGCGCGTGGACTTGAGGCGCGGAAAGCACTGATTGCGGCTGAACAAGCGCTTGACAGTGCCGAGAAGACCTACGCGCGCGTGTTCGGGCTGGATGCTAAGGCGGTAGGTGCGGATGCGAATGCAAATGCAGTTGCTGGAGCAGCAGCCGCAGCAGCAGATACGTCTGCAGGTGCAGGTGCGGATGTACAACGTGACTGGCGCGGTGAAGCTGCCGAACTTTTCGCTGCAGCACAAGTCGCGTTGGAGGAGTATGAAGCCGACACGGCCGAAGCGCGCTGCGAGTCGATCCTTAAAGGGCTTGGATTCAGCAACGAGCAACTGCATGCTCCTTATATGTCCCTGTCCGGCGGATGGAAGAGTCGCGCCAGCTTGGCAAGCGCGCTGCTCAAGCCTTGTGAATGCCTTGTGCTAGATGAGTGCACCAACTTTTTGGACCTTCCCAGCGTCGTCTGGCTACAAGGATGGCTGAAAGCCTCGGAGAAGACGATGGTTGTCATTAGTCACGATCGAGAGGTGAGCCCAGGGTTCATCGGATACCCTTCTTGGCTTATGTCACGTGCTGAAACTCAGGCACGCTCTTACTGCTCGCCAGTTCATTGACCACGTCGCCGAAGAGCTCATCATTCTACGCAAGCAGCAGCTGACGTACTATGACGGCAACTTGAGCTCGTACGAGCAGACGCAGCGGCGCAAGCTCAAGAATGCGCTTAAGCAGCAAGCAGCACTAGATCGCAAGCGCGAACAGGTGGAGAAGAGCATCGCTGATGCAGCCAAACAGGCACGAAAGACGGGTGATGACAACAAGATGCGTATGGTCAAGACGAGGCAGAAGAAGCTGGATGAGCGATGGGGTCTCGAGCGTAATAGCAAAGGGCACCGATTCAGGCTCAACGCTATCGAGAATGCCGGCTACGCTCTGACCCTGCGAGATGGCATCGACATTGATGTGCCTGATGCGGACATTAACTTCTCGTTTCCTGACCCAGAGCGGCTGCGCTTCCCCGGTGCGCTCGTTCATCTTGACCACGTCACGCTCTCCTACCCTGGAGCGCGGCGCGCGACGGTGGACGATGTCACGCTGACCATCGGCCAAGGGGAACGCGTCGCGCTGATCGGACCGAATGGCCACGGAAAGACGACGATCACGAAGCTGATCCTGGAGCACATCTCTCCGACAACCGGACGCGTCGAGCGGCACTCTAAGGCTACGATCGGCCTGTACGAGCAGCACACCATCGAGCGTTTTGCAACCATGCGCGCGGAGAAGGGAAAGCCGCCCATCACGGCTCTGTCCTATTTCCTCTCACGTATTGCGAACATCGAGGCAGGTGAGGGCGCTTCGATGGATGGCCCCGCGCGGCGCTTCCTCGGTAGCCTCGGTCTGCGCGGTCGGACAGCGGATGCGCAACCGCTGCACACGCTCTCGGGTGGGCAACTAGTCCGGCTTGGTCTTGCGGAGCTGATGTGGGCCGCGCCGGATCTGATCTGTCTCGACGAAGTGACACAGCATCTCGACAGCGACTCGATCGATGCGCTCATGCGCGCGCTGAAGCGCTATACCGGCGCGATCCTGCTCATTAGCCACGATCGACATGCCGTTAAGCAGCTAATCGAGGGCAAGAAGAGCGACCTGGTGCTCGGATCAGACGGCGAGGAGAATGAGAGCAGTAATGATAGCGACGATCATGCAGGCGCCAGCTCGCGCGAACATGGGAGCGTGTACCTCGTGAAGAAAGGGAAGACCACCTTGCTAGGTGGCGGGATGGACAGCTACACTGCGGAAGTCCAACAGGAGATGGATGCCTGAGCAGCGAGCGAGAGAGCGGCTTTCTCTTGTAGTGTATATCTGCATGGTTCTGGTAAACGAATGATACCGTATGGCTTACAAATACAATGTGTGGTCCTCGTAGTACAAACTTGCGGTTAGAAGCTCAAATACACTAGTCGTCATCCTCATCATGTCCGTCGCTGCTATTGCTCAGTCTCTCCCACGAATCATCGCTCCGCACTCCTGGACTGGTAGGTCGTGAGAGCGCCTTGGCATCCTGTGGTTGTCTCCACACGTTGGCTTCGCTGCTGAAGCTCTCCGAGCCGCTGGTGCTCTCGCCTGCTTCCGTAACATTTTGGTCAGCGGTTTCACCAGGTGAGTGTGTATGCATGTTCTCTGCGCTTCTGTGTGCGTGCTCCTCTGTCACCAGAGGATCCTCGTGCGAAGTGCCGAGGCGCATCGGTGGGGAAGTGAGGGTAAACTCTTTGTCCTCGTGTTGGCCATCGGCGTGGTTGTGCGAGTCACCCGGAGAAGGAGAGGCCACGCGCAACGGGGAGACAGAGTGAAATGCCTCCGAGCCGCTGTACGCATCGCTCACGACGGACAGAGAGCTTACAGGCGTCTTGGGAGAGTGCAATGGTGAGCGCATAGCATGCAGGCGATCTCGGTCGATGAGCGAGGCGGTGCTGAAGTATCGCTCCGCCGCAGCTACTTGTTCGTCGTCGGCGTTGTCATTGTTGTCGTCAGATAACGATGATGTGCTTGCATTGCCGTCACGGTCACCGTTGCCGTCACCATTTTTCACCGCTGCTTCAGCGAATCCGAGTTCTGTCAAAGAAGCGGAGAGGTGAGTGTTGTTTAATGCAGGTGATTCGGTGCCAACTGTATGGTGCGGGGCTACAGGTTCGTCATCATGATGCTCGGTCGACGATGGCGGCTTGATCGTCCGAATTTGCGGAGCAGCATCGAGACGCGAGAGAAGTTAGCAGGACTTCGTATGTGTGCGTTCTTAACGCTCTGATACTTACTTTGGCATCGCTCCATTGCGGCCAGACACCAGGACGATGCGTATCCGTTGCAAAGCCTCCGTCGCCACCACGCGCAGCTTGTTCGAGGCCGCTCCTGGCTATATTCTGAACCATTCTAGTCTGCCGTTCGTGTAGCTCAAAGTCAATCAAGTCTGCATCCATCTCTCGCCTCCATGCCTCGTCGGGAGTCACTGGCTGTACGGCATGGGCCTGCCGCCTGCGCAGTCGAAGTTCGTCAGGCGGCGGATCGGCTCGCCAGCCATGGTGGTCGTTAGCACCAGCACGGCCGTCAGATTGGCGCACATGCATCTCACGCAAGTCATGCTTGTGCCCGTGTTCAACTCTGCCCTCGTCGTCACTGTCGCTATCGTCGCCGTTGGCAAAGTGACCGTGCGGGTCGCATGCGCGGCGCACTTTACGCCTGAAGCGGGTAAAGTGGCCGTGCCACTGCTCTTGGAACTGGTGACCCAGGATCGGCTGGCCCTCGCGCATCGGCTTGAAGATCGTGTACTCGAGCGTCACCGCTGTTGCGACGCCGGCGATGACGACGGTCGACAAGATGAGCGGGTTCACCATCGTGATCTAGCGATCAGGTTGATGCGTGACGGTGATGTTGGGGGTGGCGGTGAGGGTGCTGCTGCGCAATAATGCACTTGCCCCTCTTGACAGGCCGACGAAATCGGCTCAAACGTTCATTAGTACAAGGGGCGATTCGGGGAAGAGCCGTTACAAGCAATGCAAGCCGAGGCCTTTATGAGCAGTGTTGGCGCTGATGAAGAGCCAGTCAAGTCGCAATTGCATCGTCCAGGTCCCATAGACGCACCAGCCGCCAGGCGAGTTCCTTTTCTTTCTTTTTGACCCACTAGGTCCTGACTTTGACAACAGAGCGAGCCAAGAGCGCTACCTCCGGGATGCCAGCATTATCCTTTGCGACATGCTGGACCGACAAAGGGAGGCGACACGACAGCAGCAGACGATCGGCAGACATGGTACGACTTGTATTCCAGCTCAGACGAAGATCCACGGTGCGCGGTGGACAGCATACCATGTTCGGGCCTCTATACTTGGCAAAAATGTGTATCTATGATATTCTTTATAAACAGAGGCACAATAAAAAAAAGAAATACAGCACATCTACGCCTCGGCCTTGGCCCGTTTCCGTGAAGATGAGCGTGAGCCGCCGCTGCCGATGGCATTCGCAGCTGTATTCGCACGCGATACACCCGCTTCAGGAACATCCTCCTTCTTTGCCCTTTTCAGAGCGCGAATGCACGAGCCGGCTGTCGAGATGGGTTTTCCGTCCGCTTCCGCCGCGGCCGACTCGTCATCTTCCTTGGCGTGCGAGGATCCGCTGCGACGCTTGCTCTTGGGTTTTCCTGGGCTAGCATCGATATCGGCGTCGCCTTCGGCTTTGTGGAGCGACATCTTCTTGCTGTACGTTCGGCTATGCACGAACCCATGCTGGCGGAGCGGACACGGCCGTGCTTCCCTTCCCTTCTTCCTTTCATCCTGCGCACCTGCGGCGCCTGCGCCTGCGTCACCGCTCGCAAGCCCCGACTGCTCTTCTAGATCTTCTCTGTCCCTCTCATCTTCCGCTCCGCTCTGCACGCCGCCGTTCGACGAGCCGTTGTCCATCTCGACAGTGGCGAATCCGCGCGCGGAGCATGCGCCGCACATCTTGCCGTGCTTAATGAGCAGGACGTGCAGCGGGTACTTGAGGGGCGGCGGGAGGCGCTCCTCGAGGTGGTAGCATGTCTGGTCGCGCGTGGCAGTGTCCGGGACCCAGCCGAGCATCTTGCTGAGACGCCAAACGTGTGTGTCGACGGCGATTGTGTCGCGGCCGATGCAAAACATCAACACACACGTCGCCACCTTGGGCCCGACGCCAGGGAAGGCGAGCAGCTCGCGCATAATCGCGCCGTCCGCAACATCGGGTGCGTGCAGGTGGTCGAGCGACAGGCAGCCGTGGCGCTGCCGCGTTTGCTCGAGGATCGCGCGGATGGTCCGCGCCTTGCTGTTCGCCAGGCCGCCGCAGCGGATTGCCTCGACGAGCTCGGTGTGCGGCGCGTCAAGGATCGCCTCCCAGTTTTGCCGCCCGAAGCGCGCAACGAGCGACTTGTGTGCCGCCGTCGAGTTGCGGCTCGACGTGTTGCACGAGAGCACCGTACGGATCAGTGCATCGAGAACGGACGGTCTACGTCAGGTGTCTTTCGATCAGCTTGTCTCTCCATTGCACCGTAAAGTGTTCTCGACACACCATCGCGCCAAAGCGAGACTCACACATTTCCACAACCCCCCCAGTTGTCGTCACTCTGCGGCTTTCGGTGTCTCGGCAGCATAGTCTCACCTGCCTCCTCGCCCTTCCTGTACCCGTGCCAATCAGCGAGTAGGTATGCAACCTTCTCCGCCTCTTCTGCTGTGGGATACGCAAAACCGGGGAAGGGGCCGGCAAGGGACGATTGCGAGTAGGCGGCTAGTTTGCGAGCGGAGAGCTGTTGCGACTTACTTTCAGCGCTGTCCGGCGTCTCTTGTTGCTTTTCTGGGTGCCGGTCGTCCTCTTTGGATAGAGGGCGGACGCTGTCGGTATTCGTGGTTCTACCGTTGCGCCGCGCGCGAAGAGTCATGAGGGCAGGAGCGGCAGTGGCTGTGGCAGCTTGAGGTGGCGCTGGTACGGTTTCCTGCGTGACAAGGAGGCTTGCTGCTGCCGTGGCGGCTGCGCGACGCCGCATTATGAGAGCGAAGAAGCTGATGTGGGCTCTGACAGTGCGTTGGTGAGCGCCCGGCGTCGGCGTCAGAGAATAAGGGCGAGGAAGTGGGGGTGGGGTCAGCACGGTGCTTGTTGTGTGCTCAAAGCTCGCTCGAGCGCCCGGCGCTGCTTCCCGCTACCGTCAAATCAGGGGCCAGTTATGTGTGCGGTGGATGGACTACACGTGATATCGATGGAAATGTCGGCAATCGTGGCGGTCGCAGTGCGAGGCGGGCGAGCGTGCCGTGTCTGCACGATGAACTGACGGCACAAGCACGGCTTGGGCGAGGTTAGGGGAGAGGCCGTAGCAGCGGACCGCGATCGCGAACGTGTGGAACCCTGTGCCAGTGCTGAATCCTCCGCGGCGCCGAGATTCGGTGAGATGGCAAGGCGGTGTGTGGATGCCCAAAGGTGCTGCTGCGTTTGTCCAGCAATGTCTCGTTGGCCTCGCTCATACCTGCCTGCTATCTCGGAAGATGCCATCATGCTCACTTCTCGTGTCAGTGGGCCATTCGCCGTGTGCAACAGCAGCGAGTCCCGAGTTCCGATCTATTTCTAATTTCATTTCTCCATTTTTGGCTGGAAAAGAATGAAATGCTATGCGGAGTGGGCTAAAGCTCCGTGCGAGTCGTGCAGTGCCGCACCATGCTAACCTACTGCTCCAGAGTGTGTTCGATTTGCTGTCCGCGTCGGCAGGTCTCCCATCTTTTTGTCTGCCCACGCCTGCGGACGACGTCGAAGCGTGTTCATTAGCCTGCGGACAGCCAGCCAAATCGGCACGAAGTGGGTTGTAGAGCTATCGACAATGTTGGCGCGGACGACTAACCCCTGTCTTATCCCCGCGAACGATGCCAGAAATGAAATTGCTGTCACGAAGAGCCGAACCAATACTATTGCAACCTTGTTGGCGATCGACAGGTGTGTCTGATTAATGTATGAGACAGCACGACACCTTGGATGGCCTAATGTGCGTCCCACCCATTTCAGGCTCCAAGCAAGGAGTGGGGAGTATGTACTGGAGACGTCTGGGGTAGGTTCTAATATCAAGTATAAGATATGAGATGAGGAGGACGATGAGTCGATGATGATGAAGAGTCGGCCAGGACACGGGGGTGCGCTGCGAGGAAGCGAGCTTGATCTGCTGGAGAGAGTTGCTGCCAATCGACTCTCCCGGCCCTTGTGGTGAGCGCAGCGCGGCGGGTTATGTACATTTTTAGCGCAGAATGAGAAATGAGTGTGGAATGCGTTCCCCAGCTTGCTCATCGCTCGCAGGGTTTGCAGCACCTTCACTTTCACCACCTCCAACCCCCTCCCCATCCAGCCTGCTCCCCGACCTCGCCCCCGCTGACGACTGCTTGGTTGCCCCCCCGGACAATGGGGTTTCTGTCCAAAAGGAAATCCAACGCACCCCTCTCCTCCCTTGCCCACACTCTTTCGTAACAGACTACCACACACGCGCACTCTCTTTTCAAGGCACCCCCATCTAGTCCCTACCCACGATGCAGCCCATGACCTTCACCTCCCTCTACACCCTCCTCTCCCTGGCCCTACTCGCCCTCGCTGGCGCCCAGCTGGCGGAGGCAGCGACGACGCCGCGTGTGCAGGCGTCCAATCTGACACAGACCGCCCAGTCCAAGCAGCGCGCAGCGGCCATCAAGGTCAGCTTCCAGAGTAGCTTTGCCGCGTACAAGCAGTATGCTTTCCCTGCAGACGCACTCCTGCCGCTCAGCAAGGGCAAGCAGAACAACCTTGGCGGATGGGGCGCTACCGCCATTGACGCCATCACAACTGCCATCCTGATGAACGACACAGACATTGCCAACAGCATGATATCCTACGCCCAGACGGTCAACTACGGCAGCACATCCCAGTCGACCATCTCGCTGTTCGAGACCAACATCCGCCACCTCGGAGGCTTGCTCTCCGCATACGAGCTAACGGGCAAGAAGAACAGGAAGCTCGTCCAGCAGGCCGAAGTTGTCGGCAAACATCTGCTCAAGGGCTGGGTTGGCTCCAACGCCATCCCGTTCAACTCGCTGCGCAACTGGAACACGTACGGCAAGCCAGACGCGAACGGCGGGCGCGCCATCATCGCCGAGGCTGGTACCCTGCTGCTCGAGTTTAGCAAGCTGAGCAAGTACACGGGCAACGACACTTATCTCTCGTATGCGCGCCGCAGCATGGCCGCTATCGTCAAGTCCCCTAGCGTCTTCCCCGGTCTGTACGGCCAGGGCATCAACCCGGTGACAGCCCTGCCGATGGACGACTACGTGACGTGGGGTGGAGGCTCCGACTCATTCTTCGAGTATCTGATCAAGTACGCATACCTTGCCGGCAACTCGTCCAGCATTTTTGCCGACGCGTGGATCCACAGCATCCAGTCTTCCATCAAGCATCTTCTCGTCGTCCCGCAGGGGCACCCGGAGCTACTTTTCCTGTCCGACTACGCCAAGTCGTACGGTGGCGACATCCCCCGCTGGTCGCACCTCGGCTGCTTTGCGCCTGGCAACTGGATTCTCGGCGGGAAAATCCTTGGTGTACCAGGGTTTGTTGACTATGGCTACCGCCTCGCCAGCTCGTGTGCGCATACGTATTCGGCCTCCGCGACGGGCATCGGGCCCGAGGCGTTCGTATATAAGGAGAATGATGGCAGCACCAACGGCGTAACCATCTCCAACGAGGCGCAGTACAACCGCGCCGGCTTCGACTACGACTCGCCCGCGTACGTCCTGCGCCCTGAAGTGATGGAGAGTGTCTTTTACGCCTGGCGTGCCAGCGGCGACCCCGCGTGGCAGGAGATCGCGTGGAACGCGTTCCAGAGCATTAGCAAGTACTGCAAAACAGACACAGCGCTCGCCGCAATTCAGCAGGTCAACAATACCGCCACGGGCCAGTACGACGATTCGGAGAGCTTCCTATACGCCGAGTTGTACAAATATCTCTACCTTATCTTTGCCGATCCCAACGTTGCGCACCTCGACAAGTATGTCTTCAACACCGAGGGGCACCCGTTCGAGCTAGACCGCCCCGGCGCGTTCCAGGCGCGCCACAGCACCGTCGTGCCCTCGCCCCAGCCCGCTATACAGAAGCAGCCGACGCGTACGCACACCGCTAGCATGGTGCCCATGCCTGTCTTCTCCAACATGCCGCAGGCAGCCAGCGCGTTCGTCGGCGCCGTGCAGAGCACCGTCGCGCGCGCCCTCGCCAGCGGCAGCGCCAGCGGCGCCAGCGCGAAAAAGGCAGCCAACGCGGTCAGACGCCACTTCCAGAAGAGTGCGCACGCATTCTCGCATCAGCACCAGCATCAGCACCAGTTCAGGTACCCGCAGGCCGCCCACGCTTGAGTTCAACTGGCAGCGTCAACGTTTTTGAAGTATCGTCCCGCTCGCAACCACCGAAGTGCCATCCCATCTCATCATCTTCGCATTCTTTCGCAACTTTGTCAATCGCGCCTGGGAAGGACTTGCGCTTTGCCCATCCCACAGCTTTTCGCCTTGCAAGCATCCCGCACCCCGGCGCCATTGCAGCGCTTTAGCTCGTTCCTCGCGAAAAGAAAGCCCTTCAGCGCCGTTGTATTTATCCGTCTACTTGCAATCGCAATTTGCCATGACACGCGGTGCACAGACATACCGTCTGTTCGCACTGCTTGCTTGCATGCCTCACGCCGTTACCTCACGGGCTGCTCGAATAGGCGTGCACACGAAGGTGGGTGGGCATTTGACGCGCGTCGCGCGTGAGATGATTGCATATGCTACACGATGAATGAGGGAATCTTCTTGGACCCATCCTCCCGAACACCCGGTTCCTCCTCTCTCTCAGTCAAGCCCGCCCTTGGCGGCCAGCGCAACAGGGTTCGCATGGACCGTGACACCCTTCATGCGTATTTCTCTGCCCTTGGTCGGGCGATTCTTGGCGTCGACAGGGACCTTCTCCATCACGCTGAGCGTCCCGCCATCTTCGGCGCCATCGATCACGCGCCCAAAGATGGTGTACTTGCCGTCCAGATGCGGTGCCTTTCCGTACGTGATGAAGAACTGCGATTTATTCGTATTCGGTCCGGAATTGGCCCACGCGAGAATCCCGCGTGCGTTGAACTGTGCAACGGGGACGAGCGTCAGCACGGACACCAAGCGAGACGGCTTCAGTCGTTCTTCACACGAGCGACTATGGGGTCAAAGGGGAGATCAGACGCACCTTCAGAGTCGATCGGATCTCGTCAGGAAATGGGGAGCCCCATATTGACTGGCCACCTTTGCCGGTTCCAGTCGGGTCGCCCGTTTGGATCATAAATTCTGCACGGTGCAACGAGGCAGGAAAGGCACACAGCACATGGTCAATCACGGATCCGTTGTAGATGAGTTGCAGATTCTAATGTTGGTCTCCTACCTTTAATATTGCGGTGCCATAAGACATCGTCGTAAGTCGCGCTCGCGCACAACGCCAAGAAGTTCTCCGCTGATCGCGGTACCGCCTCGCAGAAGATCTCTACCTGTTGATGCATAAACCAAAGCGGTGGTGCGTTAGCTTTTGCTCTGACCATGGGTGAATGTGATTCTGGAAGGGTTCAGAAAGGAGATGTGCTGGAGGTTTGAGGGCTGCTTGATCACCTTCACGTCACCCAGATTCGTATGCAATGTCACCGACATGTTGACGGCAGCATCAGTCGTGGGCAGCGGTCTCGCCGCACAGTCCAGCAGCAATGGCGGCAGCCTTGAGGAGATATCTCTGCGTGTCTCTCCTGTTTGTTTTGACCAGAGCGCCTGCCTTGATGACTGCCATTTACACTTTGCCTGTAGTGCAAAGAGCTATTGGACTTCAGGCGTAGGCTCGAAATGGACCTGAGTCTCAACGAGTCGAGCAACATCGGAAATCGCGAAGGGGAACTATCAACCGAATCCGGTGTATTTCCGCCGTCATTTTATTACCACACCTCTCCTTTAAGAACCAGCATTTGGAATATGAAGGACGGCAGGACTCAGGACTGCGACAACAAAGCTCATGATGACGCTCGAGACGAAGGAGAGCTCAATTAACAAGATTTTGGGGGTTTGCCGAGCTAATGATGAAGCGTCGCGAGGGCGGCGGAGTAAGGACTTTACCCAATCAGCGCGGAGGGCTCTTATTCGGTCTCGGGATGATGTGTCCACCATCTAAGGCTCGATCGCGTGCACGATGAAATGCCCTTCTCATGGCCTGGTAAGCTCCTCGAGCAGAGCAATCGTAAATTCCGGAAAGCATATCGTATTCGTGCGCCCAGAAGCTCAGCAGGCAGGGTTGCGAGGCAAGGACGCCGATGCGATCGTTGAAATGTTCATCACGCATGGCATACGTGGTGCGTGCCTGTGTGAAGACATCCTAATGGCGTCCGATGCAAGCAAAATTGAAACGCTTCTTATCCCTTACTTTCCGCCGCAGGCTAGGCTACACAACGGGGCGCTTCTCTTCCTCCGTTGTGTGTATTTCATACATGCCATGTTTGATGTCAATGCGAGAATAGTACTTCCGTGTGAATTATAGGATACGATGTGAAATGCCCGTTATCCATGCTGATGCTCCCGTGAGAATAGTCGACATTGCCGATGCTGGTGATGCTGAAGAAGATAGTTCGATGCTTTGTATGCCAAGTGAAATATGCGGTAGTAGAGAAGTGTGCGCAGGATAAGCGGATGAAGGTGGTGCTGAATGTCCCAACCGTTTGTTGCTTCGAAATTCGCTAGCAACTCTTTCTTGAGCACAAGGGTCGTCAGGTTGATGGGTATGGGAGAAGCGCGTCGCACATCATGCCACCACCATGGTATGGTGTTAGTTCACCTGCGCTGCATGCTCTTCGCGGCTGGGCTTCGTGGCCAAGATCACATCCCGTCGTCATGCAAGTCTAGGCCCAGGAAAGGATGCTGCAGCAGCTGGGACGCGGTAAGACGACGCGTGCAATCGAGATGCAGGCATTCCCTGCACAGGTCGACGGCCTGCGCGACATCTTGCGAGTACTTCAATGGGTCCGGATGGTCGCCTGGGTTCCAGAGCGAAGGATTGACGAGTTTGATCCAGTCGGGGATTCTGTGCGTCTTTGCTTCTTCAACGGATGGAATATTGCATTTGAACGTGCGATCTGCGGGAGACGTTTGGGTAATAAGGCTGTCAGGATGCAGAGCTCACATAGACTGACACTATTACCGCTTTATCGACAAACTCACTGTGTAACATTGCGCATTGCTCCATGCGTCTCCTGCCGAAAATGGTTGCAATCTCGAGCAGGGCTTCATTATCGTCATTGGCATTGAAGAGCGGGAAGCGCTTCGTCAGGAAGGCAAGCATTACGATGCCAGCCGACCAAATGTCGATGGCTGCATGCGTGGAGCGGCGGGAGAGGTCGACATCGTCAGTCGAGTTCCTAAGCCAAGACGGGCATGTACCGAGGCTACACTGCCACACTCACAGACGGTCTGATCCTGACACTTCAACAGCACCTCGGGAGCTCGGAAGCCCCTCGTACCCGCACGGTTCGCACGCACGCTCGGACGCGGATCGTCCTTAAGGTATCCGACGCGTTCAGGCGGCGCCATGGCGGATTTCAACTTGCTGCTCGCTGGCTTCTGCGGTCCAAGTGCACCGCCTGGCAGCAGGTGCGTGCTGTGCACGGCATGGTTGATGGCCGTCGTACCATGCGGATCGGCCACGCTTGGACAGACGTGGTGGCATTTGCCGCGCCATTCTAGCGGGTCGAATAGCTGGTGAGAAGAGTAAAGCGTCAGTACGGACAAGTGGTGTCACATGCCAAGGCACGAAAAGATCACCTCGGCGAGACCAAAGTCACACAGCGTACCATAACCCGTAGCAGGATCGTACAAGAAGTTGGCGGGCTTGACATCGCGGTGCATGATATTCTCCGAATGAACCGATTCGAGCGCACCGAATAGACAGCGGAAGTAGCACTTGAGGTCGCTTAAGGGGATCTTGCGGTAATACTCCTGTTTTTGGGAGAGAGAGAGGGAAAGAGACAGAGCATACAGTCATTTAGCATCTCATCATGAGGTATGACTCGTTGCTCGGTCGGTTTGAGACACACGCGAAAATCCTGGTGACGGCTATAAGGCATGACAGCCATGATCTGATCCTCGTGGCGCCAAGCAGTAATGAGGAAAGCAACATTATCGTAGGGTCTGGCATGAAGAGGAGGACAGGAAGAAGTTCAGCAGGAAGGACAGTGGGGATGTCGGCCGAGGCCTCCATTCGCACGGCCTCTGGCATTTGAACGTACCGCATTTTCTCCATAAGCTCTAACTCGTTCAAGATTCTAGCTGGAGAGCTCGTCACGTAGATCCTCTTCAGCGCGACATAGACCGTTTTCCGCGTGCTTGGAATGTACCGGCCAGTTGCGTCCTGCTTCAATGTCTTCCATGTCCACCATCTGTTGAAGTAATCCAGATGGTTCACGTCGATTGCCTTGTACACGGTCGAGAACGTGCCTGTACGTGTATTGACAGCGAAGAGAGTGATTGTGTGCTCAACCTCAAGGAACGAAACAGATCGGACGCGGATGAATGCGTGCAACGTACCTTCGCCAAGCTTGTCCACGATCTGGTAGTTCTGCGCCAAGCCGCGAATCGAGCGCTCCAGCGCCTCGATCTCATCTCCGATCTTTTCAAGCTCCTGTAAGGGTGAAGAAGGACAAGGACGTGCGTAAGTCAGCCACTCAACCATATGTACTACTTGGCTGATGTGCGGTAAACGGACTTCAGGTGGCCTCTCGATAGGTGGTTCGCTGCTGCTGTCCATCAAGCCCGTCTCAATAGCGAATTCAGGCGCTAGCGGTGAAGCAGTGTCTAAGTCCGAGCGAACATCGTCCTCGCCAGTGCCCGTAGCATCGTAAGGGTGCCCTCCTGGTGGAAGGACAGAGGGACTCGCGCTGGTGCCTGCTCGCGACGCCAAAACCGGATCGGGTGACGGACTGGCGGTACGCTCCTGGAGTCGAACACCCTTGGACCCGACACGTGCGCCGAGCGTGGCCGAGCGAGCGGGCGACCGCGGAGGTATGCTAGGCGCTTTGGGGCTGCCGCTGGTGTTGGACGCATGTGAGGAAGTCTCCAGCGCTGGCTGGATCGTCTGGCCCTCTGCAGTGGTGATGACGAGCGGCGGAGCGGTGACGGAGCGCGCTGGAGCGTGCGGACTGACGCTGATGGGCTTATCGATGGCTTTCGTATTGATCGCTTCCGTGAGCTCTTCCCCTCTATCACCCGCCTCGGCTGCATTGGTGGCCTGCGCCTGCTGCTGGGTAGGGAGTAGCGCACGTGGCGAGCCCGTGCGTGTTGACCGCGTTCGCAAGCTGGTGGCTGAAGTTGGGTCTTCTAGCGGTGATGGTGCTGATGCTAATGCTGTGGTTGCTGGTGCTGTCGGATCAGGCGATGTGACAGGACGCTCGGTAGAGCGCAACATGGATGGAAGACCCTTGCCGAGGCTACCATGAGCCTGGCTCGTCGCTCTGGACTTGGACATGGCGATGTCACTTGCTCGCTCAGGACGATCTGCTGCTGATGACTTGCTCGCTGGAAGCAAGTCATGAACGAGAGAAGCGACAAGTCGGCTTGAGACTGGTGGTTGTGCCCCTATAGTCCGCCGTTGCCTCACTGCAGTTGATGTTGGTGTGACTGAGTCCTCGCAGCAGGAGCATCTATCGGGTGTGCGCTTTGTTGCTGTGCGATGAGGAGTCGGTCGCGTCAGACTATTATAGGTCGACTGCTGGGTCCACAGTCACAAACCATTCAATGTACCCTGTAACTCTTTGTCCAATGCGCTTGTACCACCGCACCTCCGTCCAGAGCAGGCCATCACGAGCTCACAATCCATTTTCTCATACCATGCTGTGTGTAATAGTCTCGCTGGCCTGTGATTGCGACAACAGGCGGCAAGCTCGTACGAGCCCACTGCCCAGTGCCTCAGCCAAAAGTCTGCGAAGTCACTGTTGCTGGGTGTTTGTGTGATGGGATGGGCCAGCTTGCGCGAGATGAGCAGAGAGACGCGTCGCGTGTCGCGTGGTCGATTGGCAAGAAATCACTCAGCCACAGTCAGCTCTCGCCACGCGCTGCACCGCACTGCTCCGAGAGGCACCCGTGCGACATTCCTCTTCATCTCATGCTTCTATAGCCCCTCGACCCTGCTCTCTCCCAGAGAATACCGACTTGCACCAGACAGATCTTGCTTAGCCTCCAGCAGGCCTGCCCGCGAAGCGGTGCAGGAGGCAGACACACTCCCGACATGCCCGCTGCTGTGGTCCGGAGCGGCTCAAGCGCCACCCCTTCTACCGGCAAGAGCTTATCGACCAGCACGAAGGCGGAGGCGGTTAAGGCCCAAAGCGAAATCCTGGCACGCAACTCTGCACGTGACTCTGGTACATTTGTCGATGGAGACAGCGGAAGCGAGGATGGAAACGACGAGGACCACGGCTCGGCGATCATGCAGGCGAAACGCGAGGGGCAGATGCGGGATGGCCGCACTTCTCGGGGCAACGCCGCGGAGAGCGGCAGCCAAGGCACGTCACGCAACCCCGCTAAGCGTCAGCGGACAATCAACGACAACCAAGCTCGACGTGATGAAGGGCTTGAACGGGAGCAAGAATACGAAGAGTATGAGGAGCCGGAAGAGGATGGCGAGGAGCCGGAAGGGGCTGAAGCAGAGATCGAGGTGGAACGCGCTGTTGCCGAACGAGATGCCCATGACGCGTGAGTAGTAGCCATGAACCTCTCTCCCATCATGTGTGTGTATTTGTGTGTGTATATATATGTGTGTGAAAGAGCCATGCTGAACCCATGAGCTACATTTGGATTTGGCAGCTACATCCCTGGCTCGATCGTACGCGTAGAGCTGCATAACTTTGTCACATACGACCACGTCATCTTCCACCCTGGTCCCTACCTAAACATGATTATCGGCCCGAATGGTACAGGCAAGTCGACGATTGCATGTGCCATTGCTCTCGGGCTTGGCTACAAGCCCGCGCTTCTTGGTCGCGCAAACGATGTGGCCAGCTTTGTCAAGCAAACCAAAGGCATCGGCTGGATCGAGCTAGAGCTCAAGGGCCACCCCGCGCAACCAAACCTTGTCGTACGCAGGAACCTCAAGGAGAAGCAAAACACGAGCAACTTTCTCATCAATGGTGCGTTTCTGCAGATAACATTGTACCACTTTATAGGTCGAGCAAGCTCGACTGATATTCTGATTTGTAAGCAGGTGTTAAGAGAAGCTCAAAGGAAGTGACGGAAAAAGTGCGCGAATATAATATTCAGATTGACAATCTGTGCTCATTCTTGCCGCAGGACAAGGTAACTGAGTTTGCTAGGGTGAGGACATCTACTCTCGCGTTTTATCAAATTGGGGGCCCAGTTTGCGATGACAGAAGCTTACTGTATGCACTCTGTCGGACGGGCACATTTTTGCAGATGACGCCCAAGGAGCTCTTGGTCGAGACGATCAAGGCCGCGGCCGATGGCGCCACACTGCTCAAGCACTACCACCGCCTGCTCGATTACAGCAAGATGCTCCGGGTGATCAACAGTGAGCTGCGGACCAGCCGCGAGGAATGCGAGCAGTTGCAGCAGCAGAACCAGCGCCTCCAGCGTGACGCGGACCGACATGCAGAGCGGCAGCAGATGGCGGAGCGCGTCGAGATTCTCGAGGTTGCGCTGAAGATGGCCGAATTGATGAAGGCACATCACATGGCAAGGAAGCTGATCGAGCGCAAGAGAGTCTTTCGGATGCGGTTCGTCGAGTTCACCGCTCGCATGAAGCCGCTGACAGAGCGTCTGGAAGAGGTGCAGGAGATGGAAAGCAAGCTCAAGGCCACCAACAAGGTGCAGACTGATCACCAGGAAAAGACGCAGAGGGCGGTGCGAAAGCTGGAGGGCGAGCTAAAGAAGTTGGCGATGTTCAAGCAGAAAACAGAGCTGGAATTGGACGGCCTGGCGAACAACGAGCGTGGAAGGGCAAAGCAGGTTGAGACGCTCAAGGAGGCCATCGCCGAGCTCGAAGAGCGCGTCGCGGCAGGCGCACCGACTGTGGAGACGAGCAATGTCGACAAGCGGCTCGGTGACATTCGTCGACAACAGGTCGGGCTCATGCGCCGAGTGCAGGACAGCAATGAGGAGGCATCGAGGATCCAAGAGCAGGCGTCCACCAACAAGCGACAGGTAGAGCGCGTCTCGACGCAGTTGCGGAACCTGAACAGCGTCAAGAACGTTCGCTTCGAGGCGCTTCGTAGCAGCGATGCCGGCTGCGCGAAAGCGGTCGAATGGCTGCGCGAGAACAAGCAAATGTTCACCGGGCGCGTCTACGAGCCTGCGCTGCTGGAGCTCGAGGTCGTTCCTGAACACAAGAACTTGACACACGCGGTCGAGCGCCTGATCTCATGGAAGCAGCTCAAGACTTTCGTCTGCGAGCTGCGCGCCGACTACGACCTGCTCAACCAGAAGCTCAACGATGAGCTCAAGCTCCACGTCAACATTGAGGACATCGAGGGCATGCACGAGGTGGAGCAGTTCCAGCCTCCCATGAGCAGACAAGATGTGCGCAAGCTCGGCTTTGTCGATTATGCTATCCACCTCGTGAATGGCCCAAATGCCATCCGCGACTTTCTCTGCTTCAAGGCAGGGTTGCATAAGATTGTGAGTGAATTTTGCGTTCTTCTTTCCTCTGATTAGCTGTTTTGGACAGTCACTCATGCCGTGCGCCCGCTTCCTCTTCTCTTACATAGCCGGTTGCCGTGGATTCATGTGCTGTCAACGTAGCCAGAATCGAAGCTAGCAGGAAGTTCAATCGTTACATTGTTGGAGATGTCAGCTACTCCATAACCTACTCGCAGTACAACAACTCTGCTTCCTCCGAATCTCAGCTGATCAAAAACGCGCGGAACCTCGTTCATTCCAGTACGAATTGCCTTGCGTGGTGTCCAAGCTGAGCCGCGACGATGCTGACCTGTCCTAACTGATTGCACCGCCCTCATCAGTCGATCGCAAAAAAGTCGAACAGCTCGACAGAGAGATGAAGGAGCTGCACGAGCAGATGACGACGTTGCAGGCGAGCATGGCTAAGATCGAAACAGAGAAGGCGAAGGTGTCCGCTGAGAGTACTCAGCTTGACGAAGAGAAGGTATGTGCATATTGTGACGCTGACGGCGCCCGTCCCCCGCGCAGTATCGTAGCAACGGCTGACTTTAGACCTCTGGCACTACAGAATGATCTTATTTCCAGGAAAAAGGAAGTGGAGCGTGCGCTCAGGGCATATAATGAAGACAAGGTCAATCTCAGTGAGTCTTTTGGGCATGCGCTTGCACATTCGCTTCTCACCTTCAAATCTCGCCTTTCTTTACAGACGCGAAGCAGGAAAATCTGAAACGTCTCCTGGAGAAGCCAAGCGTGGAGGGCCAGAGAAAGAGGCTAAAGGCTAAGCTTGCGGACGCTGCCATCCGATTGACAACGCTGGCTCAAGACCTTAAGGTGAGTATAAATACTGCCCCGGCTTCCGCCGCCATCAGTAGCGCTTCTGGCATGAGTCCTAACATGCATCGCGTCCCCGCAGAGCCATCGCCTCACCGAGTTGCATCAACTGCATGAGTCCAATCTGCTTCGCCTCGCTACAATCCAGACTATAGCCAATTTGAACAAGGTCAAGGAAGTCATTTCCATCGCGAATGGCGAAGGCGACCAGATGCGAGAAGATGCCCAAACTTGTAAGCCACACAAGGACTGCCCGACTGTATTGAGGATTCGAGCTGACGTCGTACACTGTGGCTTCCTTCAGTGTCTCTCGACCTCAAGAGGGCGAAAAAGCGCGTCATGCGGCTGCACGCCGAGTCACACCAGGCATTACAAGAGTGTCCGTTGCACATCACGCAGAAACTGCAAGAGATGCAAGAAGGCGGCCTGCCATCCAGAGACGAAATGTTGACGGAGCAGGCCGAACTTCGCGCCAACTTGGATGGCGCACCGCAGATCTCCGACGATATTGTCCGCCGATATGAGGAGAAGAAGGCAAAAATCGAGGAGCTGGAGCGTATTATCGAGGAGAAGGAGAACACGCAGGCGCAACTGACGGCTAAGGTCGCAAAGTACCGCGCAAAATGGGAGCCGCCGCTGCGAAGGTTGATCAACAAGGTCAACGAGAAGTTCTCGGATGCCTTCGAACGCTTCAACTGCGGTGGCGAAGTCGCTCTCTCTCAGGGTAACGCCACTGGCGAAGACGCGGACCTGGCGTTCGAGGAGTGGTGTGTTGAGATTCGCGTCAAATTCAGAGAGAAAGAGGAATTACAGCTCCTCACAGGCGAGAGGCAGTCTGGTGGTGTACGTCTTCCCTAGCGCCATATGCGTCCAAGAATTCTCAACGTGACGGTCACTGACTCTTGCCTTCAAACACTCATCACTTTCAGGAACGTTCCTTGTCAACGATTATGTACTTGATGAGCTTGACCGAGTTGGGCTCCTCGCCTTTCTCTCTCGTCGACGAGATCAATCAGGGTATGGACCAGCGTGCCGAGCGACTCGTGCACGACCAGATGGTTCTCACTACATGCCGCGCCAAAGCTAGCCAGTGAGCAAGCGCGCGCTCCTGCTAGATCCTTTTCGTGGGATGTTGCTGACGCATGTGTTCCCGCTAACTTGCACAGATACTTCTTGATCACACCCAAGCTGCTGACTGGCTTGAAATACCACCCGCTGATGCGCGTGCTGATCATCAACAACGGAGACTACCTGCCGAGCAAGTTCAGCAGTGAGTCTTTCCTGTTACACATTCTCACTCTTTTTGCTCGGAAGTACGGCTCATTGATCTCATCTATTTTCTTCGTAATGTAGTGCGAGACTACATTCAGCCTAAATCAAATACAATCACTGCGCGTGCCTGAGACATATTCCAGCGAGACCGACAAACAAACAGACAGGCAGGGTGAATGCATTCATGCAGTGGATAGATCACTGCCGTGGCTCTTTCATCTCCCGCATTTTCAGAGATGTTGTACATTAGAAATGATAAAACACTTTTGGACTTGATTGCTAGATCGTGCTTTCGTGCTGGCAGGCAAAAAGCCCGAAGGACGTTGAGGAGTGTCGCTTCTTCATGCGACTGGCAGATGGGGCGAATTGGTATGCCCACACACTTCGGGGCGCACCTTTACAGCTTGATTGCCATAATGAGCCAGCTATTCCAATTGCCGTCCGCGATATAGTGACTTTGGGCCCGTCTGCCTGTCACAGGCACCGCCTGCGCCTGCTTGTGGCAAGGAGAGAACAAAGGTGACGCGCGACGTTCCATGTTCGACCCAGCCAGGATCGGCCTGTCAGAATTTCTTTAGGCTGAGCACTAGTCGTTCGATTCCAAGAGCGGCTCGGTAGTCGCTGAAGGTGCCGCTCAGTCGAAAGCTCCTTCTCGGCCAGCTATCCTGTCCCGTCGCCGCTGCAACACCCATGCCTTCTTGCACTCTTTGCTATTGGGCGTACAGGACAGAGGGTCCTCAGCGCACTAATCACCTCTGACGGAGCCGCGGACGGCAAAATGGCGTATCACTAGGAGACTCACTAGTTCTCAAACATTTCTGTACATTTCGACCGATCATACGAGTTGTCCTCCAGACACTTCATGCTCGCTTTGGCAGCGTGAGCGCACGGATCAGTGAACTTTGACGGCGCCTTGCCGCTCATGACGGCGACAAAGTCGCGTGGTTCACGCGTCGAGATGGGCTCCATTGTGATACTTGATCATCAATCCGGTCGAGGGCGCAGTAGCAAGCGGTTTTAAGGATTCTGCATACTTTGCAGACGAGAATGTTGTGTGGTTGCTCTCAGCGCATGGGTGAAGGTAGCGCACATCTTATTGGCTCTATGGGGCAGCCGGCAGTGGCGGCGTTCCGAGGGAGCCTGGCAGAGCTCAAGAACTAGCCACAATCCGCAATTGGTTCCTCCATAGGTGAACCAACAATCACACCAGTGTCAATGAACCTGACGGAGTCGACATTCCAATTCTCGCATCTTGCTGGACGAACTGACCTTCGTGCCGCATAAGCTGTGCTGACCCTGTCACATAAGGCTTCACGTACCACAAGCACACTATTGTGGGTGAGAATACCGGCGATAGCTTCTGCTCCCGCGTGATCTACCTTTTCACTTTTTTCTCGCGGTCTCGATCGGGTGTGCGCCTTCTTTGGCTGGGCTCTTGATCTCACGCTTCCCACGTTCATTTCGCATAACTCTCCATCCTTGTCCTCATCAACGTGACCTGGCTGGTGGTTTGGTCCGCGCTGGAACGAGCTATCCTTCTCATCTCGCCAATCGCAACTAGCAGCCGACACATCCAATATGGCGACTCACCGCGACGCACGCTTCCCAGGCAAGCCCTACATTGACCCAACGCCACTGCCTTCCGATGTGCCGCATGTTGAAGAAATAGGCACGACCAGCGCACCGCTCAAGAGCGCTTCGTTTTTCCTAGGTAACTTTTGCAAAAAATACAATGAAGACTTTATGCTCTGCAAGGCAGAAAAGGGGAGGGACCCGAAAGAGTGCCTCAAAGAAGGGCGACGGGTCACTAGGTGCACACAGGACTTGTGAGTATATTTATGCTGGAGATTGAGGTGGGAATTAGAGGGGGCAAAGATCTTTGGATATGCTTCAAGAGGCACGTATTTCCTCCTTGTGCCGTCAGTGGGTAGCATGGGGGTCAAGGGAATATGGTGGCTTTTAAGTAGTCCAAGATGCCGGCATCTTGGCGCTCAAACAAGGCTCCTCCCTCGAAGAGGGTAACAGACCGACTACTTTTCGCCTTTCGTGTGAATGTGCTACCTTTGTTCGGAGTTCGGCTTGAAGGGCTCTTGACAAGCAGATTCTATGGCTAGGATTGCACTAGGACGGAAGACCATGCTCGCGCCCTCTGAAGCCATGCTAATCATCCGTTCTCTTTTACATCTATACACCCATTTTGACACCTATTGCACCCTTTACATGGTCTTCTCACACTCGCACACTGCGCGCCTTATTTTCCCGCGGCATCAACCAAAAAAGCATCCGTCAATTGACCAAAGCCTGCGGGAAAGAGTGGGAAGCGCATTGGGAGTGCCTGGAGAGGAGGAACCAAGAATTCTACCCTTGCCGCAAGGAGGAGAAGCCATTCAATGAATGTGTTCTTAGCAAGCTGGTGAGTTCTCATGTTCCTGTTCAAACCCAGGAAGCGTCCAATAGCAGACTTGTGCGCGGCCGACTCGCTATTGCAAACATAAGCTGACTATTGTCCAACACTCATTTTCTGGCCTATTCGCATTACCTCCCCACCAACCACACCCTTCCTCTTCCCAAGGAACTGGAGAAGAACATCCCCGGATCGCCAGAAGGGCAGCCACAGATCCACGAGAAGAAGAACCCAATCTGGACTGGTGTTCAGCGCTGAGTGATGAGTCGAGACAGCCGAACGCGTGCGTTCGCTTGCTCGCGCTGGTCTGCACGTAGGAAGAGGCTGTGCCTGTGCTTGTGCTACCTTCGTTTCCCTGAAATGGCTCGGTACAGGCACATGATGTTCCAAAGCTAGAAAAAATAGAGGGGTTGGCACCAGTGCGAGGGCTTCTGCGTGGGCTCGAGGAGCACGCGATGTAGTAGGCAGTATAGGAGAATGCGAACGATGATCAGGCACTAGAAACATCCTTTCTCGCAAATGATCCTAGGTCCAACGATTCCTGCGTCGATGTGCTGGCATTGTGCACATGGGGCCCTCGTACATTATCGTGTCCCCGGTGCATTTTGGTATTTGGCTACTGTGACAGAATGCTTAATGTACCCGCTATCAGTGTATCCGTGGGCATCCCGGCGGTTCCGCCTCTTTTTTTTCAAGTGCGCAACCGAGGGTTGGCGTCCCAAATACGCAAGGTGGGTTCTTCCAACGCAGGGAATATGGAATGTCATTCCCCGCATCGTCAAAGACGAGCCACGCTGTTGCGCAACCAGAAACCTATTCTCTGAAGGTGTGGCAGGGCACCTGAGGCTCTTGCGACGAGATGCTTCGCCCAAGCTCCTCTCTGCGATGGCCTCGTCTTGCTGCCGCCTCTTTGAACTTATCTGGTGCCAGCTCAGGTCGGCCACAACAAGCCTGGCTCGCTCGAGCGAAGGCTCGCGAGCCGCCCCAACAAGCGCATGATGCCGACATGATGCAGAGAGCACGGTGCTGCCCCTGTCAAATTCGTCCATTATCTTCCTTTCGACCAGAAGCGCAAGATGCAGCACCGTCGCACTCTCGCCGTGCCGCACGGCAGACGCGTCCATCAACGCGATACTACAATGTCACAAAGAAAGAGCCTGCAAAGAGCTCCAAGGGCAAGGAGCGAATCGGCGGTAGCTCTGAAGATCCTGCGGCGGAAAATTCTTCGTTACGGAAATTGAACTTCGAAGCTTCTCGACAGATTGGACGACTCGTCAACCGTGTTCACCAAGCGAAAAGCGTTGAAGGCAAACATGCAGCTTATGATGTCCTCCTGATGCATTTCGAGAAGCGTACACCAAGAAGGTTAAAGCAAGGAGACGCAATTTTGTGGAATCAACTCATTACTGGTGCCATCAGTGCTGGAAAGCAAAAGGATGCGTTCAAGCTGTACAACCAGATGAAGAAAACCGGCGTGCAACCGAGCCCGAGAACGTACGTCGCCTTCTTCCGCGGCCTTCGAATCTTGCAAAAGCAGGGAGTCGAGATCAGTGTCGGATTAGTTGATGGGCTTGTTGAGGATCTGCATAAGCTTCGCAGTATGGTCACGGGCGAAGTGGTCGCGGTCAGCCTTGCTCGAGACGTGCAAGCCGGTAGTGCACTGTTTCCCCCCGCTTCTACTGCAAGAGAGGTCGATGATGTAGAATGGTACGACCTGCGGCTCTCTACTCCAGCCTCGCGTATGCGCATGACGCGGAACAAGGTGGTACGTGCCACACAGGCGGACTGGTCGCCACTGCTGCAAGCATATGTCCTTGCTATACCTCTGCTCGCCCACATGCGTCAAGAAGAAAAGGCATGGCAAGTGTACGCTGAACTCAGCAGGCGCTCGCCTGCGACCGGAAAGAGCGTCCGGCCGTTCCCACACAAAGCGATCTTCTCTTCGATCCTCGCAGGTCTCTGGGGCCAATTGGGAACAGGCGCAAAGATGGCTGCGAGCGCGGACAAGAGAAGCGCCGCACTGACGGCACCTGGACTGCTCAACAGGACGACCACGTGGAAGCATCGCCTGCTTGCCATCATCACCACTTGGATCGAGGAGTTGAAACGTGTACAGACGAATGATCTTCACGAGCGTTTTGTGGAGTCCATTCAGATGGACGCCGTCATGCTCTTTCAAGCCGTGCGCGTTCTCCATATGGTGGGTCACCGAAATCGGCGCGCATTCGAAAAGGCATGTTATTAGCTCTTCTGACACTCGTGACTGGTATTGCAGATTGACACACCAGACGCAGCTGCAGTAGCAATCGACATCTTCCAGCAGATTATCGGCTGGGTGCCTGCGCAACAGCGACAAATATGGACCAACGCTGAGCTAGTGCGCTCTACCATGCACAGGACCGAGACGCCTGCAGGCGAGCAGATCGAAGGCGTGCCTGCAAGAGAACTCTATCGCTTGCTTGAACAGTGTTGGGAAAAATCGGAGCAGAAGATTCCGTGGGAAGAGGTCAAGGGGAGATTCGCCGAGACACTTACGCCGCCGAATTGGAACTCAGGAAGGGCAGATGGTGCCGCTGTTGTAAAGCACGCAGTGTGATGTAGTTTTGCGTCTATCCCCGTGCACACATCTTGCCCCTTCCGGGGTTTTGAGTACGAAGGCAACAAGTTCGGTTGGACAGCGTCGCAAATGCGACTCAAAGACCCGCCATCGATTTCGAACTACGTAAGGTCCTGGTGGTACCATGTTGACCAGCGCGCGATTCAGCAGCTGGTGCCAGCGCGAGCGAAGAACTGCTGGGCAGCTTGCGACGACGTGTCGTCGACTCCTTCTTACCCGCGCTCGTCATTTCCACGTCAGTATCCTTCTGCTGTGCGGCTTCTTCTCTTTGCGCCGCCCACGCTTGGCCGAGAGCAGGCATGCTGGGGTTACGGTTTCGTGCGAACGTCAGTGCTCGAATACCGGTTTTGCGCACAGTGCTGCCATTCTTGCCAACGCTGGCGTGCGGCTGGGTCACGCTGGTGGTGCGCTGTCTGCTACTGCTGCCAGTACTGCGGAAAATGCCGTTTGATTTTGCTCGAGGAGTGCTTTCTTCTGCCTCTTTGCTATTGAAGTCACCACCAGCAACGGACTTGGCTTCGGCCCTGGATTTGCCCGTTGCGCCACCTCTCTTCTTCGAGCTTGAAGCTGCATCAGCAGCACTGTTCGTCTTCCTCCCCTTTTTGGACCTTGCAGGCTGTCTCGTGCTCGTCTCTTCGCTCGTGCTCGCCGTGGCGTCAGATTCGCTCACTGTGATGTAACCGTGCACATCCACGGCCGCAGGCGCTGCATTGTCTTCCGGTGGGGTAGGATGGCCTTTACGCTTCTTGTTGCTGCTGGCGACGCGCTTGACTTTCGATGTGTACTGGGATGACACGCGTGAGCGTTTGCGCACTGTGGTATGTGCAAAGGTGTCGTCCATGTGAATAGTTGCCAGATACATCTCTGCCTCAGGCGCAACAGATTTCCTCCCTTCTAAGTCTTCCTCGTCACCTTCCGCATCCTGATGTACTCGCTCGGCACTATTATGTTGCCTCAAGACAGAAGGAGCAGTAGGCGTCTTTTTAAGAAAGCCAGGCATATGCGGTGACCAGATGCTGGAGAGCGGATCGACGCTTGTGGAGGTGTCAACTTGGGCGTAGTCCATTTCTGAGCCGCCGCGACTAACGAGAGAATGTTGTGCGAGCACCTGTACGGCATTTGGCTTCGTTGCTGTGCGCACTGACTTTGCAGTTGAGAGTTTAACATCGTTCGCTATTGGGCCCTCATGTCGAGGAATAGAGACTGGCGGTATGAAGGCGTAATTTCTGAGCCCCAGAGGGGAAGGTGATGACCCCTGTGCAGCAGGAGCTTTGATGACGCTCGGCGGCGCAGGGAGCCCTTGCAATTGAGCGTATTTCGTTCGATCATCTTGTTGCAATGGCATATGGGCAAGGTGCGCCGAGGAGAGCAAGCGGGGATGCGGTACAACTGACCCTCCTGCCTGAACCGCCCGAAGGCTTTGGGACGAGCTAGGACGCAGAGACTTTTCTGCGTGGTTGGGTCGTGACGAAGCAGCCAAGCCGCTCTCTCCGCCACCGGGGCCGCTCGTCGAGCCGCGCTGGCCAGAGCTTACAGGTGACCGCCTAGTACTCGCTGGGGGAGGTATTAGCCTGGATTTGACTTTCGCGGCAGGGCCAGCCTGATGTACCTTAACGCCGACGGGGTTGTTGGAATGCTTCGAGAATGCACTCCATAGACTTTCGAGAGCGGCGAAGACGCGGGAGAGGCTGAGGGTTGAGACGAAGCGAATTAATGAACCTGCGTCCCGACAGCTTGCGAATGCGAGATCGAAGACTGGTTCGTACGGTCGAATGAGCGGATGTAGAAAACTGGCAAATAGTCTGCAGGCCGCCTGCAAAGAACAAGGGTTTCAAAAATCAATCGGAATCACTGATGGACAAGGGCGAGAGAGACTGACCTGATCTCTCGCCGCGAGCATCCAGAGCAGGAAGAAAAGCTTCATGGTTCCGTAGAAAGGAACGATCCACTGAAGCCAGGCTTCGAACTGCAATTCGATCGCTTGCCAGCAGTACCATACCACAAGCAGTGTCAGACTTGAGCGTAGCTTCTCTCTGCGAGCAGAAGAGCCCAGCCGTTGCTTGAATACAGTTGGACACGGGGTAGAATCTGCAGCACTCGTCTCGCCCAGCGGTATTGTGTGATGGGAAAGCGAAACAGAGGAACCCAGTTCGGCGAACGCTGCCTTAAAGGTGTACTTGTGGCTTCCTGGCTTCACTTTGGATGGCCGGAGAGCATGGTAGGCATCGAGGAGGTTCAAGAGGGCTCTATATAGTTGGTGAGACACGTCCGACCATCAGCGCCCCTTGATCCTTGTCATGATTCGCTGCATCCTGCATGAAAGGGAAGTATGGGCTCACATAGACACGCCCAATGCTGTGTTCAGCAGCCACATCGTGGGCCACCCTCACCACGCGTGGGGAATCGCTGTTTCTCGATGTATCCGTAGAATCATCTGCCCTTTCGCATAGTTGATTCCAGAAGCACTGACGTGGAAGTACCAGCGTGAGCGCTTGACACATAGACAACCTGACATCTGACACTGATCAAGGACGGGTGAAAGGTGATGATGGTCCTTCTTGCGTCTTGCTGTTGTATGTTGTGGCATACAAACGTCGCACGCGACGCGACCTGCTGCACCCTGGGCCAAAGTTAGGGTTGTGTGACCTCCCTTCCATTAGAGCAACATGCTCCAGGTTTGATATCCACCCCAATTGATTCACATCTCGCCATTTCCGTCATCACTTGCCATCAAGTCGAAATATTACCTATCCTTCCACGGCCACCTTCACCGTCCAAGAACGCGACGAGATTTTCAACGCAAGGCTGATCTAAGGACGCTTTGTGAGGTGTGCTATTATAAGTGCCGCCTCTTTTCACAAGATGGCACCAGGATTGATGTGGGGGCGAGCACCGTTGGCCGTCCTACTACCAGCTCGCAGCACGATCCGCTGCTCATGCGGCGCAAGGTTCATGTCATCCTCCACGGTCTCGCACAGCAAGGCGCCGTCTCTGTCTCGGCCGGCGCCGCCACCTTTACCGGCAAAGGAACAACGAGAGTTCGAGAAGCTCGTACGCGAGAAGCAGAGTGCGTTTCCAAGCAAGCCCAAGCCTTCTTGCAAACTTGGCTAGGATTGACCTTCCATCCTGCGCTTCCCCACAACAACCTCTGATTCAATGAAGATCTCAGCCCATTCTCAAAGAACAAGTCTATGGATGCCGAGGAACTGCATCCGCACGCTCGGAGAAATCCGGATCCAGACTTTGAAGGCGATACCAATCCCCTGACGGGCGAGGTGGGTGGGCCAAAGAAAGACCCGCTCTCCTGGCAGCGAGAGTGGACCTATGGCGGACGCGCCACAGACTTCTGATGCGGCAGACACGGTGCATATGAATGGCCTTAGTAGACTTAAGATGCGAGGAGCAGTGTACTTTGATTTGACAGACTATATCTACATTTCCCAGAAGATGGTAGCCATGTGTAGGTAAAGTTTATCTGTGACACCGTGCGTTCAATGCTCGCCACGGAAGGTGTATCTGTATTGCAGAGGCTGTTCGGAAAGGACGGGTGGGATTCAGTTTCAGGTCCCTATCCGAAACAACAGAGCAAGCGATGACACCTCTCTCTCGGGAATCTCCAGTTGGTAAAGGCGTTGGGCTCAGCGGTCCGGGTTATACTTGGTCGGGTTGGACTGCACGGTGGTGGGTCAAGATGAAGCGAATCTCAGCCTGTGCCAGCCCGGCTCGTAAACTTGAAAGAAAAGACTGGCTCGTGAAAATGCTGAGATGATGAAGAGATGGACGCATGGGAGCACTCATGGAACATGGGGTATGCAACATGCTGCCCCATGTAGCACTGCCAAGTTCCCACAGGTCCCAATATGTCAGCCGGATCATCCACTGAGAATCAAAGATCCCAAGGATACAGATGTTAGAGTGTGTTGCTCACCTGCTCTCCCATCTCCGCCAGTCTGCCTAGTCACAAATGCTTGTTGCTATCCAAAGAGTGTACGTTCATTATTTCACTCCCAGGAGCTCTCATCGCATGGAGTCGTTCATCAGCGCATCATCCCGGTGTCTGGGAACGTGGGGTGCAGTGAGCAGCAGCAGCTACAACCGTCACAGCCTCCTTGTAACCTTCTGCGGTGCAGGCAGCAGGCACCACACACATGTATTGGCGAGTAAGTGAGTACTGGTGTCGCCATCGCAATATCTTTGACATTAGAGTTCTCCTGGAGTTGCGCAGCAAAGTAACTTTGCTAGATGCCACCGTGGCAGACTGTCACAGCGACCCGCACCACTATCATTGCTATAGCATCAGGCATCGGGTATCAAAGCATGACACCAAGCATCCGAGATCAGAGACCTAGAGAGCATCAGGTGTGTACCAAATACCAGGGGTGATCTGCGATCAGCAGATGAAAGCCATGAACCATCCACCTCAGAAACCAGAGCATCAGGACCGACGACCGTGAGACAGACTAGTGGAACATGAGACCAGAGATCATCCGAGAGACTGAGAGGCGACTTGGCGCCACTCGGGAACTGCATGTAATTTAAAAATGATCTCACACACACGGAGCACGGACATGGGTATGGACCATGGTCTCATGTGTACATGCAGTGTTCACATCGCAGCCACCTCTTTGTATGCCTCTCTTACACGTTCTAGCCATCTCGCATCAATACATACTTACTGACAGCCGTTTTGCTACCGACGGCATGTTCTGCCAGAATGCCAATACCCTGAGATCAAGTTCCTTGAACAGCTCATGTGCCAATTTGCGCAGCGCGCACATCTGCGCCCATCCGCTGTCCAGCGTCCACTCGATTGGTCTATGACTTCGGCTTGTAAACTCATCTCCCAAAGTCGACCGCGATGCCAAGATGAGCTCGGGTGAGCCATGCACGACCACGGGAAGAGTGTGACCGCCGTCCGAGTATTTCAGGGTCAATCTTCATTTGCTTCCCGGGACGATTCGACAGGTACCTCGGCTTTGAACATCAGCTCTATACGGCATTATCGTGGGTGTATATGTAGAAAGGTTTGGACGAATCATCAGCTTTGCACACCTGTTTCTTGCCCCCCATACGGACCAACCAGCCAACCTGCTCTCATGTGTTGCACTCTCCTTAACTCCAACCCTTCTCTCTTCCTCTCAAACGCTTCCGCCCTCTTCCGCAATGTTCAAGCTACCCGTCCTCGCGCCCATCGTGGCCCTTTCGTCTCGGTCGCCGTTTCCCCAATGCTGGCACCGGCAGGAGCGCCGCTGACGGTCAAGAACGGGAAGATCTGCTTCTCTGGCGTGAGTGTCCTGTCCAGCCGGCATGGGCACTCTATACTGTGAGAGTACACCATGCCGATCAGGGAACCGTGGCATGGATACGCTTTGCGGTATGAGTGCGCCAGCAGCTACTGCAAGATGGTGCAGACTCAGCGCTCCTCGAGCAACCCGCATGGTGCGTGCGACATCATGAGGGTGAGCGGCCACGCCTGCTACAAGGAATCTGGTAGCATCTCTGGAAACCACGAGGCCTCCAAGTGCGCCATCAAACCGCTGACCGGCCCGCAGTACACCTGCACGAAGACGTCGACCGAGAAGCCGTACAAGGGTACAGTTGTCATCCTCGAATCCTCGTAGCTTGGCGCCAGCGCACCTGCCCAGCCGTACACCACCTTCTACGGCCACTACTCTTCAGACCACATTGACGGCGTCTACGAATCGGATACTGGCACCATCGCTGCTGCTTACGATGAGGCCGTTACCAGTGAGCATCATGAAAAAAGAAAGCAAATTCTCCGCATGATGACCTCCATATTTTGTTGGAGCCTGGGGTCCTGTTTACAAGATGGCACCTGACTCCTGGGTGTGCATCTCAGACCCATGCAGCACCTATCCCGTCTTTCTTGACGACGGTTGCATCTACGGCCAGTGCTTGACGAGGTCCAAAAGTCGGCGACGTCTTCTGGCAAGTTCTATCACACTTCGTGCAACGTCGACGATAGCACCACCTTCACGGACATCCCGGGCCGCATGCCTGTCAGCAACAACTAGCTCCTCTCGATAGTGCCCTCGGACACGCTGTCGAAGGCCTTGCACCCTCCTGCGTTCCAGCAGCCCGAGGGCCGCTGGACCAGTGGCCATGGGATTCACTCTGCGCGCGACAGCTTCTCGGCCTGGGCGCTGAGCTGCGTGGGCGGCCCCTCACTCTACCTTTCAACGTTTAGACGAAGTGAGCGTGTAACTTTCCGCAACTTTTGCCTTTTTCGCGTTTCACCATCTTGGGGCTTTGGGCTTTGGAGTTGTTCTTCTGTGATGGGTGTGCTCTTTATCGACCAGTTTCTCCCAGTATCGGGCTCACCATAGCAACCACCGAAAGCGAAGAATTTGTGCACTATAATGTCTTTCATGTTTCAGCTTTCTTTTGGTCGGTTTCACGAAACATATTTTCTTCCACAGCCTTCCTTCGGTCCGGAGTATTGCCTTGTAGACGGGATACGTAGTTGAGCGCTCTCCATGCCGGATTGCCTGCTCTTCCCGGCCGTCGAGCCCCACAAAGGTGGACACGTCGGACTGAGAAAGTCCTGAAGGCCACCGACAGTCGAGCTGAGCGCAAGGCGTCATGACAAAGATCCAGCACCACATCTCAGGCTAGGGTAACCGATGGCTGAATGGCGACACTAACGATTGCTGCCGCACTCTTCAGGTGAGACGTAAGGCACCCTTGCACCCTTGCCAGCCTGCTATGAGATCTGCGCATGCGCTTCGGACGACTTGCCACCGATCTTCATATTGACGTGCTTGGCGCAGAATGCAACACATTATCGCTAACACTGGTTTATATCTCTTTCGCTTTAATTCGAAGTAGGTATACGTTATGACCCCTAGTGGTAGGTCAAATAACATCAGCAGATCCATTAGCTCAGTTGGTTTAGCAGCGCTCGACTGTTAGTCTTTGGCGTTCAACTGTACAACAAGCGACATCGAGAGGTCGCTGGTTCGAGTCCAGCATGGATCGCAATTTTTTTGCGGCTTGAGGCACCCAACATTTTGGACCAACCCCAGGGTTAAGGAAACAAAATTCCTACAGTCCAACGAGTTTGTTTTTTCGGCTTCAGGTATTTTTTCAATGAGGATGTGCATGTTCGGTGCAAGTCCCTCATCGCCTGAGTGCAGGTTTCTTTTTGCTTGGTTGGTCAAAAGGCTCTTGGTAGGGTAGCATGTTAGGCCAGCTCTTGGCATGTCGCGGGCTACGCGTCGTGAGGTGGTTGCCATGGAGACCTCTCCTGTAAACTGCAACGTGGAAGGTGGGTCCACTGGGCGGTGAATAATTGGAATGGGTAGGCTGTTCAAAGTAAGGCGATGACGACGATGTCACCATGCGGCGCGCCGTTGGACTCTGTCTTGTCAAATGTATACGTGTAATAGAAATGTATCAAAGTCTTTTTACGTATGGACCAGCGACTTGACTCTGACCGATCGGCTAACCCAGACCTCTCGCGGGTCATAGATCACGTCGCCTTTTGTGCCAGTTGCGCTGCGACTGTGATTGTTGATACTTTTCACGACTCTGGCCAAAGTGGCACGCAGACTCTCGCCTCGGCCCAGGGCGGTCCGCGGTGCACCATTTCGATTGTTTCTGTTTCATTGCCGACGGTCCACTTATCAATGCGAAGAAATGTCTCACAAACAGCCTCGAGAGTCGCGAGGCACTGTCTTATCGAGCTCATCATGCCATCGAGCGCTTTTTAGAGAGCCCCATTCGAGGACCGATCAGCGGCGGATGACCGCAAAGCTGAAAGCGCAGATCGTGCTTCGTACTTCGCTTGCCATGTGCATGTATTGCGGATTGTCGTTCTTCGGCGGCGAGTGGCGTGCGCCCTGCAGTCAAGGCGGCGGTGCGGAAACTGCAGCTATATGTGCTTGTACATGACTACTGACGACTACAATGCCACAAGCGCACCCTTGGTGCAACTTGCCACTTATATGCGCGGGCTGTGCTGCAAAGAGTGCGTGGAGGACGATGGTGCGGCTGGGCTGTCAGCGATGCAGTCAAATTGAATCGGGAGATGGATTCGCTCGTATGTGAGACTGTACTGGATACATCAGGAATAGTATACAAATTTCTCATTGCAGCTCGGTGCAACTTGGTGAAGTCGTCGTACCAGTGTGCAACAATTGCACGTGATTATGTCGCCTGCATTCTGTTTGCATGGATCGCCACATCGCTTGCATACTTGTCAATGTACTGTACTCTACTCGTACATGGACTCACGATCATATAGCATGCGCCGGGGGCCTCGCATAGCTTATACGTACGGCTACCAGGATCTGGAATGTCGCATGTCGCAGGCGTTTGTCGTCACTGTCGTCACTCTTGTGAGAGGATTTAGTCTGCACTCGTGCGGCCGGGCCCCGTGGACGGGGCCCGGGGCGGGCTCCATATTTGCAATCAATGCACGAAGGGAGAGAATTTGCCGATTGCACACACGGGATGCGATGGTAAGATTGTGGACACATCGTACGTGCTATGATGCGATGATGATATTGGGATGAGGCTGAGGATGATGGAAACCGAGAGACCGGTGAGCGGATACAATTGTGCCGAACGATGCTGCAGATGGCAGCGAGAATACGCGGCCGTGCAGTGTGGATGAGAGACGTGAATGCAGCATAACAATACGCATTCTTATCACGACACCTGACTTCATCACGAGGATACAACATACAAATTCACGAAAGGCCCCCCGCCTTTGGCTTCCGACTAACTAGTCCCGCCTGGGTGTGTGGACTGATGTTGCGGTCGAGAGTGACGATGACGAGCTCATTTTTTCTCTACTATCATTCATGCTGCTTAGCGTGACCACAAGCACGACCATACGTTTTCCAGGCCGTTGCTGAGCGGCGCCAGCGGCAGAAGGCAGCACCATTGCGGCGCTAGGTACAATTGTGTATATATTTATATAAATGCTATGTGTATGTATATATGTATATATGTATGTATGTATATATGTATATATGTATATATGTATGTAAGTATATATGTATATATGTATGTAAGTATGTTCGTATATCCATATGTAGATCTGTCTGTGTGGATGTGACATGGACACTATGTAGATACCACCGTTGCAAGAGTTTGCGGGGTACCCATGTAGAAATTTAAATGTATTGAACCCATTTTTTGTCTTCTGATGAGTAAATTTGATGTGATGCGAAGCGGCCTGCGGGTGTGTCGTTTGCATACATATTGATTGGAAAACGGTCCGCATCACAGCGGTGTGCGGATGGCTACAGTGCCGCTGCCCACTCTTAATGCTCTGCTGTGGTGCGGTGGAATTGATTGGCAGGAGCGACGCGGCCGATCACACAAGCACCGCGATGCAGTGCACAGTCATCATCCTCATCCAAGAATACCGTTGCTGACTGGTGCCCTCGGCTGGGCGGGTGGTTTGCCAGAGTGCGTGTAAGCATCTGTTCCAGGAAATGGGTTCTGTCTGTATGTGCAAGTGCAATTCGGACCTTCGGGCCCACTGTCTTGATTGAGCCCACTGGTTCCTATGACGGCCGGGCACGGCATTGCAACGCGGTATAAGCTGCTGGAAGATCATCGAGCGTCCCAACGTTCTTTGGAACTCCAATCAGCTCGGTGCTGTTGCTGCTGCTGCACCGAGGGTGCGCACCGTTCCCCACACCGGCTGGTCGTGGGACACGCGATAAGTTTCATAGACCCTTTCTTGGGGACGGACCGTGAGGTTGCGATGGTGCTATCGATATGGATGAATGGACATGGTCGGGACGAATGTGTGCTCCGGAGAGTCGGCGGTGCGTTATGTAAGTGTCTATGTAGCTCAGTGTCTCGGGAGGGGGTGCTGTGTGCACCACGAGTTGATCACACATCCGGTCGACATTAGCAGGCCCACGGGCAGCGCCAGAGGGGAGTACATGGGACGAGGATGCGAGTGTGGTGCTACTCGCGCTGCTTGCCACAAGTTGCGCTCATCTGCCATGCGTGCACGTATTCGTGCATTCGTTCAGATTGATCGCGCGCGCTCTATGGCGAGGGAGAGTAATCCAACCATCAATATCCAGCAGCGGCTAGCCTCCTTCTAATTATCATATCCTCCTCTCTCTTTATACATATACTCTGCACACGACCACACCTCCTTCCAAAGGGAACCGTTCCATCATCTTGTTCGCCGGCTACCACTCCAACAACAACTATCACCCCGCCAACCATCCTACCCTGTTACCGTGTCCATCTCTTGCCTGCCTGCCTGCACTCGTCCTCGATCCCTTCTGCCCCACCCCGCCCACACACACACACACATCCTCTTGCCACAATGATCTCCAAGGCGCTCATCTGCCTGGCGCTCGCGTCGTCGACGCTAGGAGCCGTCATCAATGCACCTGCCCATATCCCAGACGCCTTCAAGGCCGCAGGCACTGCTCCGGACAGCCAACCGGTCACAATCACCCTGCACCTCAAAGAGGCCGACATGCCCGGCTTGACGACGCGCATGCAACAGATCGCCTCCTCTGGCGGTGCCTGGCTCACCCCGGATCAGCTGGCCCAGTACGTCACGCCGACGCCGACGACGACGAGCGCCGTCAAGAGCTTCCTCACTAGCGCCAAGGTCCCAGAGAGCGCTGTTTCATTCAACAGCTACGGCGACATTGCCACCGTCACGACCACCGCCGGCACACTCAAAACGCTCTTCCCTAGCACTGACTTTACGCTGTACAACTACCTCTCCAACACCATCGTCCGAACAACATCGCTCACCATCCCTGACTCCATCTTCGGCGCTATCAGCCACGTTGGCGGCCTGCTCGAGTTCCCCCAGATCATGCATTTTGCCCCGGCCTCGCTCGAGCGCGTCAAGGCAGACCTTCTCGACAAGCGCGCCGACATAACCGACTGCGACAGCTCGCACGTCACGCCCTCCTGCCTGCGCCATTACTACGGCACATACAACTACAAGCCCGACTCATCCAAGCTGGGCAATCCGGACATCACCGTCATGGGCTACATTGGTCAGTATGTCTCGCAGGCGGATCTCGCCGCCTTCCTGGCCAAGTACCGCCCGGATGCGGCCAACTACAACATTCCCATCGTCCTCGCCGCCGGCGGCATCAACGACCCGACCAACCCAGGCGTCGAGGCGATGCTCGACGTTGAGACGGTCGTTGCGGCGACCTACCCACTGAAATCGAACTTCATATCCTTCGGCACGCCCAACGACGCCGATGATATTTTTGCGCAGACATTCGACTACCTCCGCGTCTCGGACCACCGCCCGTCCGTCGTCACCATCTCGTACGGCGCCGACGAGAAGGGCTTCAGCCAGCCGCAGGCAGAGGCCATGTGTAACTCGGCCCAAAAGCTAAGCGCCCTCGGCACCACTATCGTCATCAGCTCGGGCGACAGGGGCATTGATGGCTCCGGCATCACCAACAACGATGTCTGCCTCGCAACCGCCCTCTCCCCCTTTATCCCAACCTACCCTGGCGGCTGTGAGTGACCATGGCCATGGCGCTGACTCGCTCCCACACGCGTGGGCGCGCTGCTAATTTTCTTTCTTTCTTCGTTCTGGTAGGCCCCTACGTCTCGTCCATCGGCGCGACGCAGGGATTTCCAGAGGTGATGGTCAGCGCGACGATCCCCGACGTGGATGGCTTCTTCAGCGGTGCCGGACGCTCGAACATGTTCCCTATCCCGTCGTTCCAGTCCAAGCAGGTCGCCACATCGGACTCATTGCTCAAACCGCTGCAGACGCCCCCCGGGTCGTATAACAAGACGGGGCGCTCGTTCCCAGACTACGTTGCCGCAGGCCTCAACTACGCGGTCATCGTCAAAGGCCAGGAGGAGCTTGTCGGCGGGACGAGCGCGAGCGCGCCGACGACCGCATCGGTCTTTGCGCTGCTCAACAATGCTCTTCTCAGCGCGGGAAAGTCAACGCTTGGCTGGAGCCAGCCGCGGCTGTACCCGCTTGCGAGTAGCGCGTTCAACGACATCCAGAGCGGCGGCTCCTATGGCTGCGCCCTCTCTAGCAGCGTCACGCCTATCGGCTTCCCCGCCCACTTGGGATTCGACGGCGCCAGCGGCATCGGCTCGCCTCGGTTCGAGAGCATCCGCTCCGCCCTCGGCGCATGAACGTCTGTTTGCATGCATGCATGCTCAGGCAGTCTCTCCATTCCACAACTATTTTGCGTTCTGTTTCACTCTTCCCTCACTCACTCGCTTTTTTGGCGCGCACATGCGTGTGCGCATATCTATATACACATACAGCCTTGTCTCCTGCGCGAAATAGAGAGGGCACATGTCATGTAACTTATCCGCGCGAGCGTGGCGCTGGATAATGCGTGCCGTATATTCTACGTGCCTGCCTGGACCGTCCTTGGGTGGCGATGTGCACCACCCTCCCCGCCGCCCGGGCGCTCGCATGGGCCAGCACACGGTTGCGATGCTTTGTTGGTGAATGGGTGTTGTCGTGCTGGCTACATGCTCAACATGCACCATGCCGTCCTGCGGCTTGCGCGGGCACGGCTACAGCGACGAGAGTCGCGTCGGAAGGCCTTGCATGTTCTGTTCACGGTCCGGCACGGTCGCGATTCGCAGGGCCGTCGTTTTCTTCGCTCTTCACGGGCGTGGGTCGCGCATCATGCTGTTTACAGGATGGTGACAGTACGTAGGTAGGTATGCACACAGATGGGTGAACCGCACGGGTATCCGATGCCATACCACATCCGCCGCTCCCTGACGATCTCAAAGAAGAGGTGTGCAAGATGATGCTGATCCACAACAGCACACTGTTCGGAGTGGGAAGTGTTGATAATTGGGTGCGTGTTGCTCGCTTTACCTGTGCTGACTTGGTGCGCGCGCGGGCCGAAGACCCCCGGGGTGCAAGCAACGCGAGCGAACCTTGGGGGTGGGGGTGACAGGTGAATGATTCCACGGGGCCAGAAGCATAAATCAAGGGGCCAATCATGCGCCACTTTCAGGGTAGCGCCACCGTCCAGACTGCTTCGATTGGGGAATCTGAAGGATACGCGAGCTGCGTTTCTGGGGGCTTCTGCGCACCCGTACCGAACACAAACCCGTCTAAGAGAACTGCTGGAATGGAGAGATGTGATCACGTGATCACGCGTTCAGCATCTCCCTCTTATGGCCCATGGTGGTCTATTGTATATGCACCGTGTATGCTCCCTAGGTTTGAATGCATCTAGCCAATATCCACTGCCTTTGTAGAGTGCATCCACATCCCTGCCCATTGGAATACTCTGACCGCCGACGGTCGTAACAGTACATGGCATAGAATGCGATCATCAGTCTGCAGTCAGTCGTCAGCAGAGGAAAGCTGCTGGCTGCGCCCCTGCGCCCTTGTGCGTCGTCGGCGCCCGGCGGCACCCAGTGCCCAGCGAGCTGACTGGATGAGGGAGGGGATTCCGAGTGCCTGTGAAATAGCGCCGTATATTATAAACGCGGATACAATGTGCATCTTTGCGCAGGATGGCCTCTCGTGGCCGATGCTATGAACGTAAGGCGCAGCGTTGGGTGCGCGACGCAGATGGGTTGAAGCTGCTCGAAGGAATGACAAAAAAGGAGTTGAGCCAGGCGCGGCGGTTCCGCGTGGTTTTCCAGCAAATACACCGGAATATATTTGAAATATCCGAGAAGTGATTCGAACTCTTACCTAAGAAGTGCGAGCGATCGATCGATCGACGGCGCAAAGAAAGACGAGACTCCATCCCATTGTCATCATAGAGTCGGCAGCTCTCGTCCAGCCTGACGTCCATAACCCTGGGCGCGTAAGGTGGAGCAGCGCGTGCGCCTCCCTGCCCGCTCCTCGACCAGCGGGCACCTCGCTCGAAGCGTTCGCCATCCTGCTCCTGGCCTGAAGCACTCAGGAGAACTCGACACGCTCTCGGCGATTGCTTCGCGGCTCTTTTGATGCTGCTCCTGCCGCAAACTGTGCTGCCAGGATCACGCCTCTCACCATACCAGAGATGAATGCGCAGCCCTGATCTGCGTCCTATTCACAAGCAACGCACCCTCTGCAGACAAGAACCCGCTGGGCAAGTACAGTCGGATCAACACCCAAGTGAGTCTCGCTCGAGCAGCTCAGTGCAGCAGCTAGGGCCGCCCGCCTCAGAGCAATGCTGACGACCGCGCACGAGCGCCGTCCTCGTCCTTCCTCTCTGCCGCAGGATGCCGCGAGCATCATTGATGGACACGCTGCTCAATCGGCCCTCGCAGTCGTACGCCGATCCCTCGACGTTGACGTCGGGCTATCGCAGCAGCTATGCCCCTTCGCAGCCCTCTTACGCCAGCTCCGTGCCCGGCACGGACTTTACTACTTCCAGCAAGCACAAAAAGTCCAAGCGCGCAGGAAAAGGTCTCTCTCGAAACTATAGTGTCAGCGTCGGCGCTGGGCCTGCGCCCAACATTCTTACCGTCGGCACGTCCGCCGGATTGATAGCCTGTGGAGAGGCGCGGCACCCAACCGACTTACCCAATGCGCTGACGCAACCGAGCCTGCTGCAGGGTGACATGCTCACGCTCGGTGGTGGCCTCGCGTGCATGAGAAATGCCAGACCCAGTCTGCAAGGAGGCTATTGCTTCGAGCCTGTGCACCCTTCCGCACCCGCACCCAGCGTCGCAGTCGTCGCAGCGGGCATGCCCGACTTGCAGAAAGGGAAAGAACGCTCCGTCGCGGGTGGGCCCATCTCTGCGCGGCCGCCTCTGGGCTCGATTGGCGAAAGCCCAATGAGGGAGGTTCCAGGCGTCGGCGGTGGTGCAGGGAGAGGGCAAGGTGGTCTGGACGGTCGCGGAACGTGGGGCCCGATTGGCGAAGCGATGGCTGTGGGACCGCCTCCGGACCGAGATGCGTCTCAGGCTGGCAGTGCCCGCTCGCGCACCTCATGGTTTTCCTCGCTGTCGCGCAGCAAAGGCAAGAAGAGGGACAACGAGCGCACACTGGTACACATGAGGTCCAGTCCGCACATCCGCGGCGCCATCATCGACTCGAGCGTCGCCCCGAGCCAGACGGCCGCTTCCAACGCTGGTGGAAGAGATGGGACCATTTGCGTCTCGTCATCGGGGAAGAACAGCGGCAAAAAGTGGTGGCAGCGCAAGAATAGCGACGACGCGTACAGCTCGCCCGCCAGCCCCAACGCGCTGGAGGGCCACTTCTCCCTGCCACTCAGAGACGGCGCCGCAGGCCTCGCAGGCGTCGGCGCTGCGAATGCGAAACTAAACCACTTTGCACAGTTCTATGGAGCCGAGCCTTCCTTTTTGCGGAATGGAGCTGCACATGGTATGTGTCCGAAGGGTGTGCACAACCAGGCCGACTCAGCGCCTGACTGGTCTTGTCTCGCTCGCCGCGGCTGCCCGACTCCTTCGGCATTACCACTACCCGCGCAAGACCTGGATAAGATTCGCGCCATGACAGCAGCCCAGGCGAGAGCCAGCCTGCCGCCCACCGGTACCGGCACACTGTCGCGCAAAGGAGCAGCGGTGGCTGCCAAGCAGGCTACGAGTGCCGCGGGTATCGCGCCGCTTGGGCAACAGCCCGCGTCGCTCGTGCAGCTTGCGGCGGGGCCCAAGCTCGCCAGGTCCAACTCCAACGTCAGCGCCGGCACGTTTGTCACCGCGACGCCGTCCATGCAATGGCGGTCGGTCAGCGAGGCGGGCGACGACGCCAGCGGCCGGCTGCTCCGTGCGCGCTGGTCAATGAGCAGCCTGCGTGACGCGCGCGCGGCCGCTTCATCCTCCCCTCCTGCCCTACCTGGCCGAGTGCTACGCAAGCGTGCAAGCCACTTCGACTGGAACTCGTTCATTTCCTCCGTCTCCGGCACCGACATCGCAAAGACGTGGGAGCGCCCCGGCGAGTCACTCGTCGTTGCGCCGCCGCCAGTTGCCTCCGCCGCGTTGCGCAGAGCTAGCTTCTCTGAGGGAGGCACCGTCACGGGCTATACACCCAACTCAACTGCCAACGGCGTTGGAAGGCGGCGCAGCGTCGTCGAGCGCGTTCGCAAGGAGCTTGAGGGTGACGCCCAATTCGACCTCCGCCAAACCGAGGCTGGCGCCGCGCTCGAGCAGGGCAACCTCCTCGCCTGCGCAGCCGCCAACGTCGTTGGCTCTGCCCCGCCCATCCTTGCGCCCTCGCACGGAGGATATGCAGTGTTGACTGATCCTCCGTTCGCCCACACCACTTTCGCTGGCACTACCGCCGCAGTCGACCCCATCCCGCGAGCCCTCTCGCCGGGCATCATTCTCCCGCACGCAGCGGCCGCCATCCCCGGCGTACAAACGCTGCCACTCGAGTACGACGCGCCGCCATCGGAATTATCCAGCCCGCACAGCCCGGGCTTCCCACCGCCTTTACGCGCTTACTCACCCATCGGCTCGTCCACGCCGCCCTCGGGTCGCGTAGTCGACTTTATGGGTCGCGCGTCGCTTGAAGAGCCGTATGTGGCAATTTCCGACGAGGGGCATGACGTGGAAGAGCAGCAGCAGCAACAGCGCGAATGGATCAGGCGGCATTTCGACGATATGAGAGACATGCTCGGGCTTGGAGGGAATGTCACTCTCGACCGGAGCCTCCCGCCCACGCCGCCAAACATGACGCCGGTCATTCCCGAAGAGAGCGAAGGGTCCAGCGGAGAGGAAGTGATGTGGACTTTATCAGACGAGTCCTCTTCTGACGAGGACCACAAATGCGAAGGAGCCATGTCGCCGCTGGGCGTTCTTCCGGAGGAGAGCGAGGATGACTCGGGTAGCGAGAGTGGGCAAAAGACTGGGCAGGCGCCGCTGCGCCATGACGAGATGCGACCGCTTGCGCTGGGCAACATCACGAATTCAGCCAAGAGGCTTGCAGCGTTCGATGCCGTGCTCAAGCGCAATACTGCGATGGGCGCTCGCCCTGAAGACAGTGTCGGGATAGGCGTGCCACTGGTTACGCCCAGACCGGTACATGCGATGATCGACGAGCGCGCACTTCTTGACTCACCCACCAGCGGTGCCGCCAAGAAAAATCTGCAGTCAGCGATCGACACGCCCGACACGCCCATGATCAAATCTGCACCTTCGCCTGACGCAATCCAGGCAGCGCCGCAACCCGAAGCGCCGCCCACGCCCATGAAGGCGATGCCGAGCGAGGAAACGGTGGCGAGCCCGACAACAGAGCGCGCCAAGTCTCCCGCCAGCGACAGCCACCGCACCGCCAAGAGCGTCGCTTTCGGTGGCGCCATCGATGACAGTGCGCATGCAGATGCCTCAGCAGAGGACGAGGGAGTCGAGACAGGGAATGACGACGCGCAGCAGCGCCCTGCGAGCATGCGCCAGCGACTGAGCGACTTGTCGCTTGGCACGTCCTTTGGAATGACCGCGCTCATCAATGGCCATGACCAAGTCATGTCGCGTTCCTCTTCTCGCGCCTCGCGCCACTCCAGCTCGGACGAATACCCCGGTCTGCAGCAACGAGCGCAGGCCGAGCAGGATCGTCTGCGAAGTATGAAGGTTGGCGAAGAGTTCTTTGGTCCGAGCTTGACTGCAATTTTGGATCGCTTCGGCGCGAGCGACCTCTCCGATGATGCGCTCAGTCGTGTCATCGAGACGGCCAGTCTCGCACCCGGGCCGGAAAAGCAGCAGCAGATTCAAGACGTCATCAATGATGTGCGCCAGCAGCGCAACACAGCTCCGGATACCAAGACGATTGAAAGTGCCATGAGTGGGCTCGTGCCAAGCATTGTCGCCGCATGGGTCTTGAATGAGAAGATCAACGACGTGGACGGTGTAGTCCTCACTCCTTCCACCACCGAATCAACCATTCGGTCAACCTCCACCTCATTCAACGACCTCTTCACTGCGCCTTCGATGCCAACTCCACAAGCCAACGCGACTCCCGCCAGAGTAAGCGTTCTGGATCGGCCTAGGAAACGAATGCCTCTGCTAACAGAGATGGGCGGTATCTCTGTCGCTCAAGGCCATCTGCTTGCAGAAGCCTCAACCCTGCCGCTCCGATCGCAAGAAGATGATCCTAAGACTCTCCCAAATGCAAACAAATATCCTGCCCCTTTGGCTACGACCACCGCGTTGCCTCCTGCCACACCTGCTCCGGCCCTCACTCCGGCCATCGAAACCACAGTTGATCAGGAGTCGATCCAAGCCAAGAAGGAGGAGAAAGCAGGCAGTGCTGGAAAACCGCCACCGGTGAAATCAGCCATGAAGGTGGGCAAGGAGAAACCCAGTCTGGCAGATACCCTCTTCAATTTTCCGCCACCCACTACTCCCATAGTGTCAGCGGTAGAGCGTCTGCCCATTAGTGAGACAATGGTGGACGAGCAGCTTGTCGATCAGGCCCTTGCAGTAGCTCCGCCTACTCTACGAATCGGCATCTCTGACGAGAACGGCAATGCGTCAGCCACCCCTAGCAGCGCTGACGGCTCCGATGCCTACTCGCTGCACAGTGCCTCTGAGGCGGAACTTACCTCTACGCATCCCCATTTGGAGGTGTTCCACACGCCAAACGGAACACCCGCGGAAGAAAGGGAGCAGGACTTGAGCAGGCCCGGAGGATTTGCGCAGTACGTGACCGCCAACGATCTGACTGCCCCCGCAGTGCTCATGCGCCGTCGTTCGAGCAGACGCAAACGCAAAGTGTCGGAAAACCCCAGCCTCAAAGTCGCATCCATGCAACGCTCTGAACCTTCCTCCGTTGACGATGAGTCGATTATGCCGGACAGTGTAAATCGCAGATCTATCGACACAACCAAGACCGAGTCCGACACAAAGACCACTCGCGAAGAACGGCGAAGCGTTGAGCAGGAGCAGGAAAAAAATGAGTCTCTGCAGGCACCACAACTGATACCACCAGCCATGCCTATATTCTGTGGCGCTGCCGCAGTGCCCGGCTCGGCCATACCCGGCTTCTCCCCAGTGGGTGCAGCCGCCGCCCCCGGTTCGGCCATCTCACCAGCAGTTGAGGCCTCGAGCTCGGCCCACATTTCATCCGACGATTGGTCAAAACCAAACTTTGGAAATTTTGATTCAGCCATAAGTGCATCCCTCGCATTTACACCCTCAGTGGCTCTGCCCTCGGCGGTTCTGAAGGGCACAGAAAAACGACTGCCTATGCCGCCCGCGCCTGACTTTGTTGTGAATGTAGGGCGCGCGGATGATCGAACGCCACTCGCACAGCCAATAGGCCCTACCTTTGGAATTCAGCTGATACCTCCGACGCCGCCAGCGCTTGAACATCGGCCTTCGTATGGGCTAGCATCGGCCCCGTCTTCTGGTGACTTGGCGACACCGCTGGCTGAGGAGCCTGGAGACGTAAATGTTTCCAACACCCTGCAGCACACCAAGTCGTCCGCATCGATGAAAAAGCGCCGCTCATGCACCTACGAAGTGTCACAGCATGCGGACCTGTCGCTGCCACCGGGCTTGTCGGCGACGATCGCTTTCAGCCCCCGCGAGAAGAGCGATGCCTCAGGCTTGGCGGCCTCGACCGGCTCTGTTTCCGCTGTCGCAGCACGACCCCTCAAAGGCTTGCCCAGCCTCGCCCAGTATGCACATTTCGGCGCGGCTCCCGTCGCAGCCTTCATGGAACCCCCGTCGAGGCGCCTCAGCCTTACGCCTTCGTCCATGTCTGGTCATGTGTCCTCTGCATCGGCGTCCTCTCCTTCCCTGCGTTCGCCCAGTCCCGTCCCGCCTTCTGTGCCTTCCAAGGATCTCCGCGAAGCAGCGCTTCACAAGCTCTCCCTACCTTCCAGTAAAGGTACCACTGCAGCCTCCTGCTCGAGTAGCTCTTCCGATTCACCGTCCATTTCACCAGCGCCGAGTGCTTCCGGCCGCTCGTCTCGTTCGCAGGTTCACTCCGCCTCGGCCTCCAGCTCAGAAGTTTCCCTCAGTGTCTCGCCTGGGCCTTACTCGCGCAAAACGAGGCAGTCTTCCCATTGTGCTCTTGGCAGTGCCAGGCCAGCGATGGACTCCATCAATGAATGGGAGAGTAGCGTGCCGACCAGCCCCGCTCGCAAAGCACCGCTGATCACCCCCGGCGCTCCATACTATGGCACCGCATCGACGACCACGCGCAGCGTCAGCTCTGTCGACACCGGCCTGTTGTCGGACAATGCCAAGCAAGCGCAGCTGGCTACCCCGGTGTCCGCCTTGCTGGAGCCGCCGGGCGTGCGCTCCCGCCGCAGTCTCGACTCGGTCCGAGGTCCGATGAGCCTGGACGGCCACTCGAATGTGCTGTCCACTCATCCGCTGTCGGAGTATTCCAGCGAGTCATCGCAGTCGGTCGCAAGCCTGCCAGCGGTCCTCGTCTCGTCGTATAAGCCTAAGAAGGATCCGAAGAAGATCAGCAACGTACTGGATGACATGCTCCACACGCGGACGACCATGACGACAATTGCCATTACCAGCGGCTCCTCTGCTGCAAAAAACGCCAAGCGCATCAAGCCAGCTGGCGATAAAGTCAGCGAGCGAGGCTCTGCGGAACTGCCTGAGCAATTGCGCGATGGGCTCACGTCTGCCAATATTTCTCTCACCGCGCACACGCCGCCGCCCCGCAAGATCTCCTCGACGCAGGTCCTGTGTCAGGTCATCGCGGTCGCAATCGACGAGATCGACCGTATGATTGTGCGCGAGAAGATCCGGACTGACTCTGCGTACGGGTTTGTGCCCGGCAGGAGCTTTTGCGGGAGGGTCGTCGAAGTCGGTTGGGAGGTCAAAGACTTTCGCAAGGGTGATGTTGTCTTCGGTCTGCAGGAGGCACGAAAGGTGGGCGAGCCATTGGAAAATGCATTTAATTACGCTGACTTTGGTTTTTTCTACACAGTGTGGGGCGCTGGCTGAGTTCATGACGATCAATCGCTACCTCGTCGCCAAAGCACCAGAAGACTGCCTGACCACCGAGCAGATCGCAGCGCTGCCGTCTACCGGTGTGATGGCGTTTCAGATCATGCGTGATCACTGCAGCGAGCTTCCTCGCGGGTCTCGCGTGCTCATCCTGAATGCACATGACGGTATCGGATTGCTGACCATGCAAGAGTGCGCCGGCCTCGGCCTGATCATTGTTGCCCAGTGCCCGCCAAGTGCGAATGATGGCTATGCAATCTGCCAGGCGAATGGCGCCCATGAAGTCATCGTTGGCGAGCCGCTCTGGGCCGTCAATTTGCTCCACGAGAGCAGCTTTGACTTGGTGTGTATCGGCGGCAGGCATCGGAGCTGGCGGTTGAGGAAACTGACCCAGTTCTACCTTGTCTCTATAGGTCCTGGACACGATCGGAGGACGCAAGCTGTACGATGCGTCGCGGCGCATCCTCTCCTCCGCAGGGCAATACGTGACCTGCTTTGGTGACGAGCACACGACGGCGAACCCGGACTTGCGCTCGCACCTCCGCTCGCTCCGCCGCGCATTCTTCAAAAAGGACCGCAAGCACATTGGCTACGAGTGGGTCGGTGCCGACTCGGGCGAGGACTGTCGAGAGGCGCTCGATGCGGTGCGTCGCGCTGCAGAGGTCGGACACATCTGCCCGCGCCTCGGTAGCATTCTCGCCATGGAAGACGGCGCGCGTGCGTTTGACCCGGTTCTGCGCGGCACACAGGATACCGCCGCTGGCGCCATCGTCGTACGCGTCAGCTGAGCGGCTTCCTGGCCTTTCCTCTTGCTTGCTTTCCACGCCTCCCACGCTCCAGATAGCTTCTTCATTTTTATTTATTTCGCACATCTTGCGAAATCGATGTCATGTGTTGTCGCCTTGCAGGACGGCGCAGTAAGCAGCATTCTCGTTTTTTAGATTTCGGATGAAGAGCATTGCACCCTCATTCTCTTTTTGAGCTATGGATTCTACTTAGATGCCCCTCTGTACACCAATAATACATGCATCTTGCGAACGATGGACGACCCATTGTAATGCGATATACATCCGTCGACAACAGAATATGGGAGCTGCCATCGAGCCGATCGGCAAGCCGCGATTACTCTACGGTGGACCGGCCGCGAGTTGACCTTGTTGCGCTTAATACTTCGTCGTAGATGATTCGATTTTGCTGTTGTGTTCTTTCGGATAAAGTTCTTGCTCTCAAGAGAATAGCACGAAGAGGACGAGATTGAATGAGGCAGACATTCAAGTGGTGCTGACAGCCGACCGACAATCAGGGTGACAAGGGAAGTTTCTTCGGAAGAAGGCGAGACAGTCTGCGCCAATCCGAATTCACAGCCTCGATGCAAGTATAAGAAGAGACAAAATTGCGAAGCCATTCGATTGCTCGGATCACACGATGGATGGAATGGGATCACATCATGCTCCATGCCCATTTGAGAAAGTATGGCATGCACCACTGAAGAAGCAGCCGCAGCGGTCTTCAAAGTTTGAACATGAACTTGGATCTTTGGATGGGTTTCTTTCATCAACCACGAAGCTGCCACAGGCCATTCTGGAAGGCCTGCGGGCGTATTTACTGACCCTTGCCAGTACCAGCGTTCTCGCCCTCCCCGCTGTGTCGGGGTATCGACTGAACACATCGTATTGGTGAAGAATGCTCATGGTGAAGGTCTTTGAAGTCAGCGGCCGTGGCGAGCACACACTGCCGCAGTGCCTCTCTCCCGCCATCTCCGATCCGGGAAATCGCGGAGAGCCGTGCTTGCTTGGCTTCGGGATGGCCATTGATGGATCGATTTCAAGCTACAGAGGCGATGAACTTTCGTGTCGATGCTGCGCATCCGATCACCCATTAAAGCTTTCTTGAGGTGCGAGGTGGCGCGGACCAGGTCGGCTCTTGTCGACACTACCGAAGGCGTCATGTGCGGCACCATTGAGACTCGCACGTTATACATGGAACTATATATCTATAATTAACTTCTCGACCGTTCTGCACATGGGGCACGCGGTTGCAAGTAGCTCTCGCGACGAATTGAATTTTGTACAACTGTGCAAATGCTCGCTTTCATTTGTCCTGTCCGATCCGCAACACATCAGAACGTCGTTTTCAGGACCACTGCAAATGACGCCTCTTCCTCCTGCAGACGTCGTTTCCTCTACCCATACAGGAGCTTTGCCATCGCAGCTCCAGCAAGCTGACGGTGTGCAAGAGACACCCGCGACGCTGGCCAAGCCTGCGTCAAACGTCCGGCTGCCGTCCAAGTTGGAGAGAGCGCAGATCGCCTCGGCGTGGCTCGACACGTTCCAGCAAGCGCTGAACTCGAAGAGCATCGACAATGTTCTGCAGCCCTTCCACGAGGACGTATACTGGAAGGGACTGCGCAAGCTCCAATGGGACCACCACTGAAAGAAGGGCAAGCCCACGATCAAGGAGTGGCTCACCAAGGGCAGCAAGTTGCTAAAGGGCCAGTTCAACAACACGCGCATGGAGGAAGGGGGCGCCGCTAGCCTTGAAGCTCATTCGGACGTGAGCTGTAAATGGCATGCCTGCGCTTTCTCTCGTCGAGGAATGAAAGTTTGCTGATCGGCCCTTTCTACCGGAGGGATCGTGGCCTCCTACACCTTCGAGACACACATCGCTCGCGGCCGAGGCTGCATCCGCCTCGAGCAGGTCCAGAGCTCGCAAGAATGGAAGGTGCGTTGATTGCCACTGGAGATTTGTCTGCGGAAAAATCTTGACTCGCCTCTTCGCCAGGCCCATTTCTTTACCAAGGTATCGAAGAGCTGATCGGCCACGAAGGAAAGAGCGGACTGACACGTCCAAAAAGTGTCGAATACCGCCAGCACATGCACCGCGAGAAGAGGGGCTTCGCGCAGCGCCAACCACCACCTGAACATGAGCCAGAAGTCGTCTTCGTCTTCGACGCCGGCCAAGCCGGCTTGACCGCAGCCGCGCGCCTGGGCCCGATCGGCGTCGACACGCTAATCGTCGAGCTTCTCGGCCGCGTCGGCGCCAGCTGGGCGAACGGGCAAGTCGCTCGCACGACCGAGGCTGGGACGACCACCTGCCATATCAGCCGTCTCGCGAGTATCGTCGGAGCGAGTCGCATGTCTTTTCAAGCATGCTGACGGATCGACCATGATTGATCTTTGGTGTTGTTTCGGACATTGCTCACCCCTAGCAACTCCGGGAAGTGTCTGCACACCACCTTCCGACTTTCCCGACTCTCTGCTGATGCTCCACACGCTCGATTCAACATTGAGCGGTCTTCTGCCCCAAAGGCAAACTCGTCGACTGGCTCGAATCCTACACGAAAAACTTGACGCTGAGCCTTTGGTGCAACTCAACCATCCAAGGCGAAAAGTACGACCAGCAGAAGGGGGCCTGGACAATTGAGACCGACAAGCAGGACTAGAAACGCACCGTAAAGCCCACATTCATCGTCCTCGCCACCGGCCACTCGGCCGAGCCCAACATGCCCAAGTGCAAGTTGCGTTCAGTCGTGCCTGCTTGACACTTCCGTTGGTGACTCCTTCGTCATCGCTATCTCTTGGGCGCGGAGAACGTTAAAGGCAAGGTCTGTCACTCTTTGCAGCACAAGACGGACGCCGATTTCCGCGGAGTGAAGCTCGTCATGGTCGACTGCTGCAACAGCGGCCACGAGCTGAGCCGCGATGCGTACGAGCTGGGAGCCGAAGTGACGGTGGTGCAGCGCTTTGAGCAGACGGCTCATGTCACCAAGCGTATGACTGTGTTTGACAAGAAGAATCTCGAAGGGCTCAGGAAGGCCGGTCTTTCGCTCGCCCAGGAACCTTAACCGCGATGGGTTTCTCCGCTGTACTTGGCCCGCGGGTGCGCCTATTACTTGGATGTGTGAGTAGGACTAACAGGGAGTCCGAATGTCAGCTTGAGAACTGAGATCCAAACGTTTGCATTACCTCGCGCGCCAGCGGCGCCTTGAAGCTGAACGCAGACGGCAAGATCAAGTCAAGCAAGGACAGGAGCTCGACCTTCTCAAGGAGCGCCACATTGTCTTTGCCGCTATCTGCATTTCTGGAGCATGGCCGCCCGGACGCAGCTTAAAAAACTCCAAGATTCGCATCATCGAGCTGCCCTGCGCTTGAGGCTGGCGACATGCAGAGCCCGATGGGATAGACTGACGTAGCTTGTCTTGGTGAATGCAGATTGCGCTGGCGGCGGTCGGCACCAATCCGCATCGCCACCGCGAGGATCCGGACGATCATAAGAAGCACAAGATGCCGTCTGCGCTGACGATCGAAGTTTTTCTCAGAGAGCTCGTGCAGGGTCGGCGTAGAGACCGCGACTTGATCAGCGGCGGGTCGGGCGCGGCAGGACGCGACGGGTGTCAAGTTTGGACGAGGCCGCCGCCAAGTCCCAGCCAAAGAAGTGATCAGAATCTACTCGTAGATGACGCAAATGCAGGCAGGCGACACTGCCTCGCATGTCACACTGCGCTCCAGCTCCTTGTACCCAATCACGGCGGGTACATGCAGCTTGCCGGGAGAAAAGTACGCACCATAGTTCGTAACCCTTGATGTGCCATATTTGATGGCTTCACAATCAGATGGCGTTTGGAAGGCTGTAGCGGGCTGAGCTTCCCGCACGTGACCTATGAGAATATGAGCATATGACTTGTCGTACATTCGTATAGTTGAGGCGCTGCGAGCAGCAGTCAATCTTTGATTGCTGGAGACGAGATTACTTTGGAGAGAGCCATCAGCCGAGAAGACGAGGAGGCGCGAGGATGGCAGCGCGTCTCCGCTACGCGCCACTCAGCGAGCTCATCATGTGAACAACAACCAAATGCTGCGATCAACCAACACTCAACATCATCATTCATCAAGCAGTCCGCATTCTGCTTTCAGGCTGTTATCAATTAGGCGGTCGCCAGTCCAAATTGTCGCTTCGGACAAAGCTTACGCTGCACTCAGGACCGGTTGGCAAGGCTGGACCGGTGCGAGTGAAATTGACCGCGCCCTGATTGCTTGTGTACCTGCTTGACTACCGGGATGGCTGCACAACCGCTGGACGTGGCGCTGGACCTGCTGCGGCGCTTGCCGCCGTCGAACATTGTCTCGAACCTGTCGACACTTGTCTCGCTCTTTCCGCACCTCGCCGATGATCTGTACTCGTCGGTGGACCAGCCGCTGCAAGTTCGTGTCGACAGCTCGCCCGAGGGTAAGGGGCGCGAGTACCTGATCTGCGACTACAACCGGGATGGGGACAGCTGGCGCAGTCACTGGAGTAACCTGTACGACCCACCGCTCAAGGGTGGCGAAGAGGGCGCCACGCCGAGCAAGGAGCTGAGGCAGATGGAGGTCAAGGCGAACGAGGCATTCGACACATACCGACAGTTGTGAGCGCAAGCGGCCATGGCGCTGCCGCGAGACGGCGCAGAACTAACCCGTGCTTGTGCTTGCTGCGCAGATACTTTGAAGGCGGTCTCTCGTCGGTCTACCTGTGGGACCTCGACGTAGGGTTCGCGGGCGTGGTGCTGATCAAGAGGGAATTTTCCGGTGCATCCAGCGCCTCGTGGAGCGCGATTCACATTGTTGAGGTCGTGCCCGACTCGGCTAGCAGCAAGACATTTTCGTATAAGCTCACATCGACGGTCATGTTGCGCCTCGAGCGCAGCGCTGGCAGCGCCGAAAGCAAGCTCGGCAGCATTGACCTTGGCGGCAGCCTGACGAGGCAGGCAGAGCAGAACAGCCAGGCGGCCGACGCCGACGCGCATATTGTCAACATTGGCAAGATGGTGGAGTCGCTCGAGAGCTCGATACGGAACAACATTCAGGTGAGGCTCAGACATACAGGGATGCGCTCCGGAGCGCCGCTGACGGCGTGCCCCCCCTCTGCCAGGAAATCTACTTTGGCAAGACACGCGACATTGTCGGCATGCTCCGCAGCATCGACAACCTCGAGGAGGCGCGCAAGGCGGACAATCTGCGGCGAGAACTGATGGCAAAGATGCGGCGGCCATGATTGCCATGCATTCACTTTTGGCGTCTCACCCGCGTGGTCCGCAGCGGCGCGAAGCCCAGCAGCAGGCTTTCACCAACCTTTGCTGATTGCGACGGAGCGAAGCGGAAGAGCATATACTCGCGTCCATTGTCAGGAGGGTCCAGAAATTTATTCACGGCGGCGTGCGTCGCAAGAGGTTTTTCCCAATGCTAAGAATGGCTCAGGTCCTCCCGCGTATCACGCTATCACGACAAGGACCGCCGTAACAGACACTATTGCACGAGTCTTGGGACTGGGCGAGAGTGTTGCCCGTCCCATTTCGGTCTGCGCGCCTCTCTGCACAGTCGCATACTTGTGGCCGTGATGACTGAACGTCTGCAAGTCGTGTAGCTAGCGAGAAATTGCGTCATTTGTGCACTGATGATACAATGGTTTCTGTTCAGGCTATGATAGGGCCTCTTCGTCAGGGCGGCTCCCACGCTCGCATCCGCTGGTTATGTATAGCTGCCTTTGGTCGTTCTGCTGACTTTTCTTTTGCGCCTACTGTTTTGCCTTTGTGCGCTCGCGCTCTTATCTGCCCTCCTCGCGCTTGAGACTGCGCACGCGGACGTAGCTGCAGCCGTCGTCGCCCAGCGACTCGCTCTCGACGTCGCTGTTGATCCTACCGACCTCGAGGTAGCCGCCGCCCTTTTTGCCTTGCACTCTGCGGTGCTGCAGCCGAATCTTTGGCTTGGCGTCTGCCTCCACCTGACGCGTCAGCTGCCACCTCGCACCGTGCTGGCTCGTGCGTGACGAGTCCGTGTCGTAGTACCGCGTCCCTGCCAGCGTCGCGATAATCGATATCCCCACAAACGCCGTCAACCAGAAGCGGTAAAGGTGTACCACGCCGGCGCCCAACCGCGGTGGGTCGCGCGGAGGTTGACAAATCAGACCGCCACGTACGTAGCCCACTGAGTAATCAGCCCCAGCTGCGGCGTCAGCAGCAGCGACGGCTACGTAAGGACCGGCGGGAACACGCCCAATAAGTACCGGCGGTTCCTCACCCCAACCACACCCTCGTATCGCAAAAACTCGAAACTCCGGTTCAGTGCGCCAAGGAGCAACAGGCCCCTGCGCTGAACGTCAGCTGCAAGTTTCAGCGTGGAGCAGCAGCGCTTGCGCCGGGTGCAAGTCCAGGCTCACATCATCGCCTGGGCGCGGGGGGAGATGTGTCAGCCCGTACCAACCCACCTACCCCGCATGCGGCACGCATCTTGAGCGACCATATTGGCCTGCCGGATCAGGTAGACGGGCGACGCCGCCGTGCTGATGTTCGGAATGATGCCCGCTGCGCCCCATACCAGCGCTGGCTGCGGCACCACGTTCGCAAACTCGCCCGTGGCCGACTTAACATCGACCGTTCGCTTTTTCACCACGGACCGGCCTGCCTTGCCCCCCCTAAGCTGGAGGATTCGATCGACTCACCCACTGAAATCTTCTTTGAAGGTTTGCAGAGCGTGCTTGGCGTCTCGCGAGGTCAGCCCGCTCGGCTGTGGATTCGCCACCAGCGCACGCGCGCCGGTCGACAGTACCCTCTACGGCACGCCCGTGCCCCGCATCAACACCACCGCGCGTGCCACAAAAGGCGGCCTTGTCAGGAGGAAGCGTTCGACGCCAAAGTATACCGTTGAGTACGCCTTGTTTGTGCGCTTCGACATCGAGAGCAAAAAGCCTTGCCGCTCATTTTGGGGAAATATGGCGATGGTCGTGGTTGGTGGCTCACGCGTGTGCCAATGAGGCAATGTCGTCATTGTGCAGCAGCAGGGAAGCGGGTGTGCAATGAATAGAAGATGCTTCAACCATGGCGAAAAATCGAGCGCGAAAAACAATAAAAAATTGCTCTTGGCCAGGCTCGAACTGGCGACCTTCGGATGTCAGGCTATCTAAGCCCTCATAGCATGAAGTCATATGAGACCGACGCGGTAACCAACTCCGCCACAAGAGCAGGGAAAACCTAGTGAACGCATAAATTATAGTTCAATCTTCACTGGGAAGAGAATGTGAAAAACAATAAAAAATTGCTCTTGGCCAGGCTCGAACTGGCGACCTTCGGATGTCAGGCTATTTAAGCCCTCATAGCATGAAGTCATATGAGACCGACGCGGTAACCAACTCCGCCACAAGAGCTTATCGAGAATAATCGATGCTTCAGAGTATCTGAACCAGTGGGGCTAATGTTGTTTGAATTATCCCGTGCGATCGATGAAAACACGATCGCGTGAACAAGGTTTGGCAGCCCCAGCCTGCTCTCATCAGCGAATGCGCTGCCAACTAACT